TAGTCACCTGAGAATCCACAAGTGATGGCTGGATCACGTAATGAAAAAGGCCTCAGCTGATAGCGTCGTAACACTCAAGTTATAATGACCTAACATCCAGGCCAGTGTACAGAAATGATATGTGGGTCTCAAAGAAATTTAGAATTCTTTTTTAGGGGGGATGGGAGCAGAGGTGGAGTTACTTAGAAATAAAGAAAGGAATAGCTGTTATTGAGGTGTATCATGGCAAGCATGGCCACAATCCAAAGTTCTGTGTTTCCGGGGCTTTCCATTGTCTTCTTTGGAAGAAATATCCCCGATTCCACACTGCATAGCCAGAGCCTTCTCGCCCTGCTTACAAAAGAAAATCACAGCATGTCACCAGACCCACAGCTTGGCCTTGGATGCAATGAAACGATTCGGGCTTTTCCTCAGATTTGGGCCAACGCAGCAGCCTGCTAGATTAAAATCGACAGACAAAATGACATTTCAAAGCTCTCCTTGTATGGCTTTTGAAAAGGAAGGGATGGACCCTGAGGTACCACACCCATGAGCAAGCTCCACAGAAAAGAAAATGGTAAAATAAACATCTGTCCTTCAGTGACACCATGGGTAGGGCAAATCTGTGTGTCATCTCTCCAAGAAAGATGTGCCTAATAGAATTAAAACATGTTTATTGTGCAACTTTAGGCCCAGATGTGTTTCCAGATGACACACTGTAAGTACAGCACTGTCAGCTAATTAGATTTAAAAACTCCTTTACACCCAAAATCTGAATGCTGTGACCTATATAAAACAGAATATATTTGCATAATTTAGTCAAGGAGAGGAGGAGGTACCCAAAGGGACCGGAAGGATCTTTCTGTGGAAGATTTCCCTCCGACCCCTGGATTCTGAGATCGGACCACACATTTTCAACCATTTTTTTTTATAACTCTAAAAAGAAGAAGATATTCTTAGGAACATGAATCCTGTAGACCAGAGGTTCACAACCTGTGGGTCCCCAGATGTTGTTGGACTACAACTCCCATCATCCCTGAGCTCTGGCCTTGCTAGCTAGGGGCAATGGGAGTTGTAGTTCAACAACATCTGGGGACCCACAGGTTGAGAAAGGCTGCTGTAGACTTTATTGCCATGGAATCACAGGCAACACACAACCTTGAATAAATCCATGCTTTTTCAAATGACAGGAATGGCTCCAAGAACCCAATGACTTTAATTTTGTAACACCACACGGCCGCTTCAATACATTTCATTACTCCGTCAAATGCCATCCTAAATAACAAAATAACAAGAATTTGCCGAGCTTTCCCTAAAGCATCTGAATATGATTATACAATCGTGACGACAACCATTCAAAGCTTTTTCAAGCCTCAAAAGCATTGTAACGGCTCACAAAATTAGCTGCCTACTGAAGCCTGTTAAATGACAATTAATGTGCAGCCTTGAAAAAAAAGGAGGAAATTGAACACTTCACATTGCACCGTGGCATTTATAGGCAGATGTTGTTCTGAGAAAGACGAAGGGGCTTCATTTCCCTCCTTGCCAGTCCTTTCATAAGAAGTCAGAACCACATTGGTATAAGACTGTTCCATCACCAGTAGCAGTGATTAGACAGTTCTCATTTTTTCTCCACATTAAATAAGCCACATATTATTTATTTATTTTAATGAAACTGTCTCCCCCCCCCCCCGCATGCCCATTTTCTTTGTTCCTAAGTCTTTTGGGGAATTTATTTCACCTGCGTCCATGTGCTCTCGTAGCTTTTTCCTGCTAGTCAATATACATGATTTAAAATAAAAATACCTCATCATTAAAAAAAAATATGCATCAGTGGTATTATCCACAGAGTAAAGCCCTTCTCAGTGTAAGTGGAGACAGCAGAATAAAGTTTGGGAAAGGCATGAGTAACAAGAATATCGCACTTACATGCAGACCTCAAGAGGCTAAGTCTCCCAGAAGGTTTTCCTGCATGCAGTTAAGCTACATTGCATCCCACTGACTTCTGCTGGATTTAAGTACTTTAGGGGGTATACATGGAATGAGAGGAGTTGCAGTCCAGCAACATCTGAGGGGCCATGGGTTCCTCATCCCCAGGTCTTTTTTTCCAGCTGGAACTCACCGGAACTCGATTCTGGCACCTCTCAGGTGGGTGCCATTGCCATTATAAGAGGACAAGGGAGGCTTTCCAGCACCTCTTTTTCTAGAAAACTCTTCCTGCTCGTCCCTATTAGGGCTGGGCAATATAGCGATTTGAAGTCCAGTTCAAAGTCCATATCACAGTTTTTGACCTGGCAATACATTGCAAATCATGATGCGTACACGCTATGCAAACAATCACAGTGTGGGGAGAACCGTGAGGCTGGTCAACTGTATACCTTGACATCGTGATATATCAGTACATTGCGACGTTTCGCGGGTGATACATCGGCAAGTTTAAAAACAGCTCCATCTTCATTTCAGACATTGCGACAGATCAGTTTATCACAATGTTTAGCGGGCGATGTATCACGAAGCTGAAAACCAAATACAGTGGTACCTCGCAAGACAAATGCCTCGCAAGACAAAAAACTCGCTAGACGAAAGGGTTTTTTGTTTTTTGAGCTGCTTCGCAAGACGATTTTCCCTATGGGCTTGCTTCGCAAGACGGAAACATCTTGCAAGTTTGTTTCCATTTTCTTAACACCGTTAATACAGTTACGACTTGACTTCGAGGAGCAACTCATAGAACGTGGTGTGGTAGCCTTTTTTGAGGTTTTTAGAGACTTTGGTGTTTTTTGAAGCTTTTCCAAAACTTTCCCGACACCGTGCTTCGCAAGACGAAAAAAATCGCAAGATGACAAAACTCGCGGAACGAATTAATTTCGTCTTGCGAGGCACCACTGTACTGCCTAGCCCTATGGTTCACCTCTAGATACCGTATTTTTCGCTCTATAGGACGCACCCGACCATAGGATGCACCTTGTTTTAGAGGGAGAGAACAAGAAAAAAAAATATATCCCCCTCTCTGCTCAGCGCCCCTTCAGCGAAGCGGCAGGAGAAACGCAGCCCCTTCCATTTCTCCTCCCACTTGGCTGAAGGGGCGCTGCGCAGCTCTCCCTCTCTGCTGAAGCCACGAGAGTCTTGCTCTCCCGGCTTCAGCGAAAGGAACCTGAAGCCTCCGCAGCCTCCTTCAGTGAAAGGAACCTGAAGCCTGCGGAGCACAGCGGGAACTCGTGCTGCGCTCCGAAGGCTTCAGGCAGCTATCCCTGAAGCCTGGAGAGTGAGAGGGGTCGGTGCGCACCAGCCAAGGAGTCTGCACCAGCCAATGCAGCCAAGGAGTCTGCATTCGCTCCATAAGATGCACACACATTTCCCCTTAATTTTTGAAGGGGAAAAAGTGTGTCTTATAGAGCGAAAAATACGGGTAGTTCCATCCTTATTTCAAACATTGTGATAGATTGGTCTATCGTGACATTTGGCTGGCAATATACCATGATGTTGAAAAACAGATATTGCCCAGCCCTAATCCCTTTCCTTTGCCTTCTATACCAAATTACTGCCAGCGCTACTGCCAGTGCAGACTCCTGGGTCCATAAGCCTTAGAAAAGATGATACCTGAGTCAACTCATGAATGGGTCAGGGCTCCTGTACCCATCTCCACTATCGCGTTCTGAAGAGCCAACTTAGCTATGGCCAACTCATTCTCCGATCACTGCCTTTCCCATCAGTATATAGCCAGCCGGGTTTCTGTACCACAAGAAGAGTGAGCAGCTGCAGTACATCCAAATCTCCTCTGACTGAAACATCTAGGACCCAGGAGGCAAACAAGCTGGAAACGATTCGTTGTATTGTGTTGCGTTGCATTGCATTGTGCATCAGAGGATGTGAGTTTTAAGTGCCTGATTTTCTTCTTCTTGCGAAATACAAACCTGCTACTGTCTCTAGTGCAAACTTCATGTATGCCATTCAACAATGTGCACCAAGGAGCACACGGAACTACGGTCCAAGCATTCGCTTCACTTTGTGCACATTCAAAAACAGATCCTTCTTCAAAAAGGAAAGGGAAGCTCCATGGAGAAATTCCTTAGAGGAGCTGAATGAAAAGATGAAGAAGCATAGCATAGCATTCAGGCCCAAAGATTCCTCATGCCTTTGCGACTCCCTCCATTTAAAATAGTGATCAATACAAGATAAATCATTGGGTCAGAGAAAGCAAGTTGTGACTAATGGCCCAATCCTGTTCATATATACCCAGGAGCTGTGCACATCTAATTCCATGGGCCTCAATCTCAAGTAAGGGTAGCATGTCCCATTGAAGCCAATGGAGCAGGTTAGTAACTGATTAACGCCAATCAAATCAGAGCCATTGTCTATACTGCAGATTTATACCTATCTTTGTCAGAGTTAAATGTTGCACAGACAACATGTAGAATACTTTACAATCATCGCATCCTTTCCAATACTTAATTAGGTTGCTCTGTTGGCTGCACTTAAGACGAAACGACATGATAAATACAGCATTTACAAGTTCTTCTGAGCATACAAAATGACCTCTTGGACAACCCCCAGTCATGATACAAAACCGCTGAAAATAAACCGAAACTTCCCTTGATTCCCGTCATACAAAAGAATTGCCCACTTTGTCTACACAGTAGAAGCTGAAGAGGCAACATCTATCTATCCCGACACATATCTATATGTACAAAACACATATGTAGATCTAGAGCTTGATTGATCCCCATGAAAACTTCAGCCAGTATTTCTCCGAAGGTTGGGCATCCAGAGGTCAGAGCATGAAACTTCAGTTGGTGGGCAAGACCAGCTCCAGTGTACAAACAAAGAGCAAGCACTCACATGCTGAGATATGCCAAGGCATGAGCACATGTGAGAAAGAAATTAAAATCCGTCACTTCCTTCAAGAGTAACCGAGTTCAAAGACTGACCAAAAAAGTGTGGGTGGGTGGGTGGGACTGTCTTGTTGGCTCCTGGAGTCATCCACTCAAAATATCGTGAGGGTGGGAATAAAGAGTCCTTGCTAATCAGCCGTACAGCTTTTCGGCTTTAAAAACAACGTTTTCCGTGTCGTAAATGCTTTTCCCGTTCGTATGTTCCCAGTTGCACTCGCTATTGTAGCTTTGACTATCGACCATCGTGGAGGCTGTGTAGGAAGGCGGGTTGTGTAGGAAGCACTCACGATTGTAGCTGAAGCTTTGACCATCGACGATCGAGGAGGCTGTGTAGGAAGCCGAGCGAAGGGCATCTGAGTGAGAAAAGCTGTGCCCAAGCTGGATCCTGTGTTGCTTCCAGTGTCTCCTCAGAACAGACTGGACCTATTTCAGGGAAGAAGGGGACAGAGAACAGGTTGACAAAGATGGCTGCCTCAGGTGCCATATCAGAAATACGATACGATAATCTTTATTGTCATTGTCCCATACAGAACAACGGAATTGAAAATCTACATCAGACATTCAGAAACCAACAAGCCTGCTATCCCAGCCTAGTTAGCCCCCTAAAAACTCTGATAACCCATAATTAAATACAATATACTCCCATAGAGACTACCTTACACTGCATTTAAAACCAAAATCGCATTTGAATAGAAACTGTTTCTCAGGCGGCTAGTCCTAGTCTTTATAACCCTGTACCTTCTTCCAGAAGGCAGAAGCTGAAAGAGATCATTTCCAGGGTGTGCACTAACCTGCGCTATCTCTGCAGCTTTCTTATGGCACCTGGTAGCATAGATTTGATCCAAGGTGGGAAGAGTGCACCCACTTATTCTCTCTGCAGTCTTTACAACCCTGGACAACATTGTTTTTCCCCTGACCGTCCAGCTCCCAAACCACACACACAGACCATAAGTTAATACACTCTCAACAGTACAATGGTAAAATGCCATCAACAGGTCCTTTGAGAGATTATTTTTCTGGAGGATTCTCAGAAAATATAACCTCTGCTGTGCTCTCTTCATCAGGTCTTTGCTGTTTTCTCCCCAGGTTAGGTCATCTCTCAACTCCATTCCCAGAAATCGAAACATAGAAAATGGCACACATTTGCTTTCCTCGCTCAGTGCCGGATTAAACCCCGTGGAGCCCCCTCCCCCAGCAAATTATCTCCTAATATGTTGGTGTTTTTTTAAAAAAAACAAAAAAAAGAATTTTAATAAACCAATTTCAAGGTCAAATCAATATTATTTTGATCGGCTGTCATAGGACCCATAGGCTAGTGCCTACTCTGCTTATTTGATAATCTGGCACTGTCTTCACCTTGTGCTCCTAATTTTGAATAGGTTATATATTTGAATTACGCAGGGGCTCAAGGACCGGAGGCACTGATACCATGGACTGGCTCTCCCACCTCCTCAATTCAGGTAGGTAACCGTGTTGGTCTGACACAGTCAAAATAAATAAAAATTTGTCCAGTAGGACCTTAAATTGGTCTCTAAGGTGCTACTGGACAATTTTTTATTTATTCCTCCTCTCAGTGTGAACAGCAACAGACACAATGGTGGAATCCTTCCTCATGCACTGACTCAAGGGGAGCCACACAAAGAATGCTGTTGGTCAAGGGAGCCATGGACTCGAAAAGGCTGAAACCCTCTGGTTTAGTTTCTGAAATTAAGTAGGCCTGGACCTGGTGACCCCTGGGTGGGAGATTGCCTGGTGACCTCTGTACAAATGGAAACAATAAATATCCCCAAAACACGTTGACCAACGTGAGATGTTCAGCATGATTTAAAGCACCATAGCATCCTAAACGTTATGCATCTGCATAATCTGGCAAGAGTTTTCAATCAGCAAACGTGATTCACATTTTTGTGGCGTTGATGGAAACGCCGCTTCCTGAATGGAGCTCTGTCTGCTTTCCTACCTTGTTTAAAAATACATGGGATAAAACAGATGAAGGCACACGAGGCCTGCGTTTGTTTGTAGAAGGACTATGGAAGGATGTTCTGTTTTACAATAGTTTCCGTTTATACAATATGGGAGGCCACCTGTGCAACAGGAAGCAGAGTTTAGCAGCAGCCTTGGCAAAAGGTATGCAGAACCCATCCCCTCAAAGAACCGTTGACATCGGGAGTGGAAGGTTACTGAATCTGCTTTGTCAAATATTGGACGCGATAGCAGCTAGGATACCTTATGCTCGGAAATGGAAAGATGAAGAAGTTCCCACTAAATAAGAACGGATAAGGAAAGTAAAGGGCTATGTTGAATCAGCAAAGCTAAAATAAGATAATTTAATGATGGCTGGGTTTTTTGGGAGGTGTTTGTGTGTGGGGAGAATGGAATCCCTTTTCGGATTATTTGAAGAAATATTACAATATGAGGAAGCCGCGACCAGGCTTCGAGCTACGAGCAACAGAAAGAATGTGAGATTATTGTGTCATGATAATGATGAAAAAAAAGGGAAGATGAGGTGCAGCAAAGAGGGGATAAGAATAACATCACAGAAAATGGGTTGGGAAGTTAAAAAGAAAAAATAAATTTTATTATAATGTGTATTGGAATTTTATGTGCAATTTTTGGAAAACTCATTAACCATAAATAAATACCCACTAAAAAAAGAGAAAGATTGAATGTCATCATGTTGTGCTATGTGTGCAGAATGATGCTAAAAAGTAATCAGCTCCCGAACAATGCCATAAGTCTGGATTTCCCCAGACATTACTGGGATTTCAAAGGTGGCGCTTCGTCCTGGATTTAGGCAAGTTGATCGAAAAATTGTGGATTTTTTGGCATTTTTATTTTAAAAAAGAAAAAAACCCAACAGCTTTTGGGGTGCCCTGGTTTTTACTTTTTGAAATATGGCAACCCTACGCTAGTATTATAATACCACCCCCATTTAGAGTGGCCTTGTACCCCACTTCATAGAGGGCCACCATCTATTTGAAAGGCTGTCAGTCTTCTGTTTAGAGGCGCCCTCTGTTTGAAGGGTTTTCCTGTCTGAGTTGGGTTTAAAGATAAACAACCATAGTAAGGAGGAGCAGGAAGAAGAAGAGTTTGGATTTGATATCCCACTTTATCACTACCCGAAGGAGTCTCAAAGTGGCTAACAATCTCCTTTCCTTTCCTCCCCCACAACAAACACTCTGTGAGGTGAGTGGGGCTGAGAGACTTCAAAGAAGTGTGACTAGCCCAAGGTCACCCAGCAGCTGCATGTGGAGGAGCGGGGAAGCTAACCCGGTTCACCAGATTACGAGTCCACCGCTCTTAACCACTACACCACACAGGAGGGAGCCTGAAGCTGCTGTGAGAAGCAGATTCCGTTCTCACACCAGTCACCTTGCTCATGGTCTTCCTTACTATGGTGGGATGTACTGGAATTCTGTTTAAAAGATCGTTGTGATGTCTAAATTTGCACATCATGCAAATTGCATGTGCAAATTGTACGCACAACCGTGTCCTCTTTTGGCTTCTCTTTCTTATGGGGAGAGGCTTCAGTTGCTATCCTGCCCCCCCTCCCTCGGTGAGGCAGAAGCGGTGCATTGCTGCACATTCATCATACTGGAGGAAACAGAAATATCCGTGTGTTTCCACAGCTGCTTATATAAACTGGGGTTTCAATATAATTTAAGGAAGTCCATGGGAGGAAAGTTTCCCATCACTTTCCCACCCCTTCCGTTCCCTGCATCCCATCCCAAATGGGCCCCTGACACTCCCCCCCACTAGAAAGGGTTTTTTTGGGGTGTGTGTAAGTAGCTGCTGGTCTCAGAGGAAGGGAAACTTTCCTTCCACAAACGTCCTTAAATTAACTTAGAATTTGAGCCACATAATTCCAGGAATCCATTTATTGGTAACAGATTCTCAGTGGTATTACCACTCCTCTGTGAATCTAGTACTGAATGGTACGGAAGTGTATTTCCTTCTTCAAAAGGGATTTTCCATCTCATCTCAACATCCGTTTTCTGTAGCAAATGACTAAAGGAGACCGATAACCCTAGCTTGCACAGGAGGACCAAGTAGTTTGTGAGGTACATGAAGAAATGGCCACTGTGGGAGCTGATCAAAACCCAGCTATGTGGAAGCTGTCCCACATTTTGAGTCTTTTGTGCATAGCAGCTCACTATGTACACAGAGTGTTTTTTTTAAATGTATTTTTATTAAAGATTTTCTTAGTTTACAAGAAGTATGTGCAATGTCTCTATCTCTCTTTTTTCCTCCCAGTAACATTTTTTACAGATCCGTTTCATTTGTTGAGGCATTAGGAAGAAGAAGGGGAAAAGGAGGGGGGGGAGAGATGGGTGGGGTTGGGTGGCTGTGTTTCTATTACAGTGGTACCTCGGGTTACATACGTTTCAGGTTACACACTCCGCTAACCCAGAAATAGTGCCTCAGGTTAAGAACTTTGCCTCAGGATAAGAACAGAAAACAGGCTCCAGCGGCGCAGCAGCAGCAGGAGGCCCCATTAGCTAAAGTGGTGCTTCAGGTTAAGAACGGACCTTCGGAACGAATTAAGTACTTAACCCGAGGTACCACTGTATACTTAATATATGTAGGGTTTTGTGTCAGCGTTGCTTGTGTAGGTTTTGTGCTATTCACTTGTGTTCCTTTGATGGTGAGAGAGGTTGGCCTAGGGTGTGGTTGTCTGTTTGTGGTTGGCTGTGGTGGTCTTTGTTTTCATGTGTGAGTGGGGTGGGTGGGTGTTTTGGATCAGGTTAGCTATATTGATTTGTATGCTGTAGGTGGATTTTTGTCATTGTCTTGTTCGGCTGTGTATGTGATAAAAGGAAGCCATACTGGGCTGAAGGCGTCTTCTTCTATTTGTCCCCGTGTCAGTTTCAGTTTATTGGTTACAAGTATTAGAAATCACCCCATTATCACAATAATGCCCATTTACACCACAAATAACTCACAACCCACCTACTTTCAGCAGCCAGAAACACCATAACCAGACACTGGAGAGACCTGTCAGGAGTAAGCACGGACCAATGGTACCAAATAGTACGGCAAACAACCATGTACACAGAGTTCATAGGGCTACAAGAAATGTTTCTCCTCAGCTTTGTGGTGGAAAATGGAAGCAAGGGCCAGCGAGCATTTCACACAAATGTATCATGATATGAAGGAACCTTCATTTGTAAAAGTAAAGAAATCAGTTACTGTACCTCGCCATTAAAAAAGCAGAAAATGGTTGCCACCAGCAAGCCCTGTGGAACAAAACAATAAGCTGTAAATCTAATGAGACAAATGCACTTAATAAAATTCAGATGCAAGTAAGGGTGATTCAGAAACTCAGAGGGACACATTTTCTCGCACTGGTTCTTGGCTGCTTTGAGCTCTGATTTTCTGCAACGTTGGTGCCATTCTCTTTTATTGAAGAACAGGATATTTTAATGCCACCAGAGGTGTCTGTGCGGGGAATATATTAAGTGGAAACGTCTAGCAAACCAGATCGGTAGTTGGGTTCCTACTGAGGGTATTCAGTGAGCCAACATGACAGTGACGAGGGATTAAAGTTTGGAGCGATCATTCTGTGATATTATATGACAGTGGAAAAAGCTGTATTGTAACTTTTGAATAAATGTGTATTAATTTTTTTTTAAAGGGGGGGGTTGCCCTTTTTTTCTAGTGAGGCCCTCACTCTGAATATTTTTCTCTTGCCATCACCAGCCTTTGCTAACTTCATTCTAACTTGGGCTGAGTGGAGTTGCAGTCCTAAACATCTGGAGCTCACCCAGTTGGCGAATGCTGGAAACACCATCGAACAGAAAAATCTGGTTAATAGGAAGAAGGTCCTTAAAAAAAAAAAAAGGTGCCAAAGCAGTAACTGGTAAAGAGTTGAAAAAAGCTAATTTTCAGGAATGTCAGGGCCTAAATGCAGGGTAGAGGGAAGTATGTTTTGAGGCTATGGTCCAACTATACAAACACAGCTGCTCAAATTCTTCTGCCTTGCAAAATTGTGCAAAGTGGAGGGCACATTATTCTTAGAGGAAGGAAATGTTGAAACAACTGTCTGCTCCCCTCCCCAATCCTTGTGAATCAGCTTTGTATAAAGTAAAGGTTAAAAATGTAAAGGACCCCTGGACGGTTAAGTCCAGTCAAAGGCGACTATGGGGTTCTGGCACTTTGATGTGCTTTTGAACTGCTAGGTTGGCAGGAGCTGGGGCTGAGCAACGGGAGCTCACCCCGTCGCGGGGATTCGAACCGCCAACCTTCAGATCAGCAAGCCCAAGGCTCAGTGGTTTACACCACAGCGCCACCCTATCGTCAGTGCTTAAACAAAACCAAAAATTGGAATGCATCTGACAAGGCTTGCAAGGGGCATTTGGATCAGTTATTGATCATCACGAGCACATCACTCCTTTTTTATTTTCTTTTTTGACATTCCTGTACCCCCAAGTGCAAACTCCACATGCAGGTTTGATACCTGATAGTGTATAAGGATATGCATCACATAGTCATAAATCTCTTCGGCGATAGGGCCCACGGGCCGCCAGGGAAACAGTACAAATTCGATGCCCAGAAGTGGCACTAAAATGAGGGTGGCTCTGACGGCCTTCATGTAGAGATTAGATTCTGCTTGGTGGGTGACCTTTAGCTTGGTGATCAGCACTCGCACAATGTTCAAGAGGAAAAAAAGATTCACCTACAAGGGAAGCAGAAGGACAGTGTTAACATGGATAAATTTTGTCATACGGTATCGACACACTTGTTTTGGGTGAGGCTCCATAACTCACTGTGAAAATCCTATTGGATTGCGGGCAATTCCATGGCAGAACAATCGCAGCATGCACAGCTCTGCCAGTTTATGGAAGCCAGGGCAGGATTGTGGCAGTAGTAGTAGGGAATTTTCCAATTTTGGGGGGCATTTCAGGGGAAATGGAAGATTATTGGCTACTCTAGTAGACACACACACACAAGCTCATTTTGGCTGTTGGTGGAACACAGCGAGCAGAACATCTATGTTGATGGAGATTTCTGGGTACACATGGGCCTCTGGTGGCGTAAGTATAATTCTGCCTGAGGATGATAGAATCATAGGCCTGTAGAGCTGGAAGGGACCCCAAGGGTCATCTAGTCCAACCCCCTGAAATGCAGGACTCTGAGCGAAAGCATCCATGTCAGATGGCCATCCAACCTCTGCTTAAGAACCTCCATGGAAGGAGAGTCCACCACTTCTCAAGGGTGCCTCTGTTCCACTGTTGATCTTCCCCTCTTGCACTTGTGCTGACAGCCAGCCTCAAAGCAGCTGCAGAATTGCAGTCAATAAGTATTTTTTTAAAAAATAAAAACTATTTGGCAGTTAAAATTGTAGTGAATATCAAAATAAATTATTTGATGAAATATAAAAGCAGGCCATTTTCCATCCACTGTCCAGAACACTGAAACTTTTCAGCAAGTATTCTTCTTACAGAGAATCTAGTTAGCAGAAATATAATAACTAACAACACACGCACACAAACACACACACACGGTGCGTGTGGATCATCACTACCAAAAACCCCAAACTCAGGCAAGAAGTTGGACTGTAAACCTATGGGGAGAAGGAATATTGTCTCCATCTATCTAAACAGGTTCATCTTGCCAGATTTATGTGTCCCAAGGGACAGATGAAGAAGGACAAATTCAGCACCCGGGACTCAGGCTGCCAACCCCTGCTTTAAGGCCTACTCCCTTTTAAGTAGGAAATCATGCTGGTCCTCAGGAAAGCCAAGACATAAAACCAGGATTTTTTTAAAAAAATACAATATTTTAAAAATTCATACCAATAGAGCAGCGCAAATAGGACCATGGACGATGTACAATAGATTAGTCTCTGAACTGATCCAGCAGCTGCAAGGGAGAAGAAGAAATCAGAATTAGGGAAGAAGAAGAAGAATCTGTCTTCTCGCTCATAAGAGGCACTCTTGAGATTTGTTCCAAAGATAGAAGGCTGAATTGCGTTTTGACTTACTTGTCGTTGTAATATAGGAACCTTGCTACAGCATGGATGCAGGCCGGAATGAGCGGGAATCCTGCAAAGAGAAAATGGGATCTTCGTTACTAAGAAAAAGAAGCAGCAAGGATTCCTCTGCTGCCACAGGAATAAGGGCCGCTGAGAGGTCACCTTCTCCCCTGAAGAAGGTTGTGGTCAACGGAAGTCCAGGCTGGCCCAAGCCATTGGCCAGAGAATGAGATCATCCTCATTTCCCTTCTTGTCAAAAAGACCTCAGCTTTAGCTGCCAGACAGCAAAACTGAGAGGAAGCAGACGTTGGCCAGAGGAAAGACAACAGGAACAAGAGCGGCTGGGTTAGTATAGAACTTCCATCCAAAGCAAGTGCACAAAAATGGGGAAATCATCCCAGTGCTATTTGCCTGGGAAAAGAGGTGCTGGAACTCGCCATGAACACCTCCCTCGTCCTCTTAGAATGACCACCTGAGAGGTGCCGGAACCGAGATCTGGCTGAAAAAAAGCCCTGGATCACCCTAGCATACCTGTCAATTTACAGATTTGAAAATAAGGGACCAGCAGCCTTGAAAATAAGGGATTTTCATAGCACAGGTAGGTTCAACTTCTGAGCCCTCCGAGCCAAAGGCAGAAAGCCCAGCGCAGCAACCCGACAAAGGGGATGCAGCAAGGAAAACCACCGTCACCTCTCCGCTGGGAAGCGCTGAGCAAAGGCGAGTCCCCAGGCAACGCGGCCGATTTGATTGGCACAAGGCATGCAAGCTCCACCCCCCAGTCGTTCTTAGACTCCTTATTGGGTGAGCAACGCAGCCAAGCAACACAATTGGAGCCTCCTTCCTCCCTGGCCGGCAGGGAGGGAGGGAGATCTGCTGCTTCCTTTGAAACCCGGGAAATTTAAGGGACATCATCAATAAGGGACAGCAGCGGGACACGGCGCTGGGATAAGGGAGTTTCCCGCCAAATAAGGGACGGTTGACAGCTATGCACCCTAGCTCTGCATGAAAATGAATGACTTCTTAGCAACTGGGGATCGAGGATTCTGTTCACATTTAAAGGTGAGCCTACCAAATCTAAACTCTCCGAAGCCATACACAAACAGAAACACTGGAGGGAGCACCAAACTCTGTGCGGGCAAACTACCTGTCCCTATTTTGAATTCCAGTTCAACTAGGGGCTCTGGCTATAACCTGAAGACCACCTGATCTTCCGTTCCCAGATCTTTACCATGAGGATAATAGTGTATTATTCATCAAAACAAGACAGAAGTTTGTTTGGCAGATAGGAGCACGCGCCCGAGTCAAGTGATGCCACGCCGTAATTTACCTTGATGTTATTCCGTGCCAGCGGAATCAACATTAAAAAAAATAAATAATCATGTACAAACTTGAATTTCCTTGAACAAAATGTCCCGAAACACCCTAAAAACAAATTTCTTGTGAGACAAGATTCCGTAGATTAGTGCCCACTTGATCAGATGCAGGAAGAAGTCTAGATATGTGACCATCTGGCATAATAATAATAATAATAATAATAATAATAATTTATTATTTATACCCCACCAATCTGGCTGGGTTTCCCCAGCCACTCTGGGCGGCTTCCAAAAGAATATTAAAATACTGTGATACATCAAACATTAAAAGCTTCCCTAAACAGGGCTGCCTTCAGATGTCTTCTAAAAGTCTGGTAGTTGTTGTTCTCTTTGACATCTGGTGGGAGGGCGTTCCACAGGGAGGGCGCCACTACCGAGAAGGCCCTCTGCCTGGTTCCCTGTAACTTGGCTTCTCGCAGTGAGGGAACCGCCAGAAGGCCCTCGGTGCTGGACCTCAGTGTCCGGGCAGAACGATGAGAGTGGAGACGCTCCTTCAGGTATACTGGACCGAGGCCGTTTAGGGCTTTAAAGGTCAGCACCAACACTTTGAATTGTGCTCGGAAACGTACTGGGAGCCAATGTAGGTCTTTCAAGACCGGTGTTATATGGTCTCGGTGGCCGCTCCTAGTCACCAAAAGCAGCCTCTATCCCATGAAAACACATCCCCCAATAAATCTGTTAATCTTTAAGGTGTCATAGGACTCTTTGTTGTTTTTGCTCCGCAGTTGCCCATCTGGAATTCTTCAAGAGAACCGCAAAGCAATTTCTGTTTGGGAAATGAAAAGATGTTGTTTGTTCAAGCTCCAGTTTTGGCAGAACCGATTCTTTTATTTAATAAACCTCACTTGATTGAATAAGCCTGTTTAAGTTACTTGGTAACTCAAATGTGATCTTAGCCTGAATATGGCCAGAAGGATAGATTGAAAATTCAATTGCTAAGCCCATGAATTTTCCCAGATTTCACATGCAGTTAGGCAAACTTTTAAGTGCTTTGCTGGAGTGGAGCCCATGAAAGAAAAGCACGGACAAACTTTCTTCCTCAGTGTTTATGGATTTGTTTTGTTTTGTTTACCCAAAACAAAAGAAAACTAATTACAAATGGGCTGGCACCAAGTTTTGCTACCCCTGCAATGATGGAAAGGGTGAATTGTAAGTGCTGCATCAGTGAAGCATCCTTAAAGGTAAAGGTAAAGGGACCCCTGACCATTAGGTCTGGTTGTGGCCGACTCTGAGGTTGCGGCGCTCATCTCGCTTTATTGGCCGAGGGAGCTAGCGTGCAGCTTCCGGGTCATGTGGCCAGCATGACTAAGCCATTTCTGGCGAACCAGAGCAGCGCACGGAAACGCCGTTTACCTTCCCGCCAGAGCGGTACCTATTTATCTACTTGCACTCTGACGTGCTTTCAAACTGCTAGGTGGGCAGGAGCAGGGACCGAGCAACGGGAGCTCACTCTGTCACGGGGATTCGAACCGCCAACCTTCTGATTGGCAAGTCCTAGGCTCCGTGGTTTAACCCACAGCGCCACCCGCGTCCCTTGAAGCATCCTTACACAGATATAAAAACCACCTGTGAAAATGCTTTTTAAAAAAAATGTTTTAAAAAATACATTGAATTTCCATAGCTCACTTTTGCCATCTAGTGTCACTTTTGTATATTGCACTTTACAACACACTTAAAACCTTTTATTTGCAGCTGTGCAGCTGAGTCCCCAAATTCTGAACTAGCTATTTAGACTTAGCTTGCAGTTCCCTTCTAATCAGTAAAACGAATCTATAATGCCAATGGAAGGTGAGAGACATGTTTATAAATGAAGAATGATTTAAAATTAAACCGTTTATGTTAACACTGACACCTTCTAGACGATAAATCAAACTCCGATTGATCCCTGTGGAGTCTAATTAAAAGTGACTCATTATAACGTCTGTGTATCTGAGCCTGCGTCAATCAAAGCTGTCAGGGATGTCTATGTTAAATAGTTATTAAAAGCTTTAAAATTAAAATAAGGCACATGGTTCCGAAAAGCACAAAAATAGATTTTCGGAAGCTACCCACCATGCTGTGCCACATACTTTAAAACAGATGCTCCAAACCATCATTTATCATATTCAGATTATCTTTAGCATTTGGCCTGGGGTAGGACCTTGAATTTGTTCCTTTGACCAAGGTGGCATTTTTGTACATGGGGAAAAGGGTCACAGGAGGATGGTATGATAATCTCAGAGGATACTCTGATACTCTTTCTGAAGGGCTGTGATGGTACATAACGGAACCCTCATCCGATTCCTCGCAGCCTCGGGCCTTAAAGGTGCAGAAAGTCATTTAAGAATGAAGACCAAAAGATCCAGCTTAGAGCAAGCCGCGTTCTCACTCTGGGGCAGGAGCGAGGGGGTCAGATGGCTCTGCTCAAGCTACAGATAACCCAGCCGTCACTGCTATTAAATCTCATGATCTGGAAATGGCTTCCAAAGGAGCCGTGTTTTTATTAACTCACAAACTTATAATTAAAAAATATATAGCAAGGTAGAGTACAGCACATAAGGATAAAATCAACAAACGATCCATAGAAACATATATAAATATCAATAAATACCGAATAGTTAAAAGGGAGAAAAGCATGTCATAAAGCAGAACTTTCCAAACCACACATTAGTGTGTTGGCTCTGTTGTAAACAAAAATTTCCCCCTTTTCCCCTTATGGGGTATCCAAAAGCCCATATAGAGTCCTTACGTAGGTTCCCTATTGGTAGGAGAAAATAACAGAGGCCAACCAGAGAATATTGAGGAGCAAAGCAGCTAGTAAGCCTGATCTTTATTGATCTGTTGCAACAGTGTGCTCCCCTCACACGCAGGAAAGGAGGAGGAACTCAGAACAAGTGTACGCCTGCCCTTATATAGACAATTTAAATTCTCTCCTTGGAGTCCAAGACCACTCCCAGATACATCATACCTACATCACAGAAAGGGCGGTCTACAGCGGAAATCTGACTGCTTTGCTTACCTCCTGTCTGCCAGGTTACCTGTTTAATGGTCACTTGATTGGATTGCCTGGGGAGCCTGGCCAGTCTTTCGTAATGATAAATACTTAGTTCCTGGGCCAGGTCACAGGCTCACACCCTATTCATATCTTAAATGTTCCCTTAAGACAGGATTTGTGAGGAAAGAGACAATGGGGAGGTTTCCCACTTTGACCTTGCAGAGAAATAATTGAGGTCAATTTGTTCAATACTTTTTTCTGTGGGGGTTTCAGACATGTGGTTTATATATTTATGTACATGTTTGCTTGGTACATTTATGAACATTTATTACATATCTAAGACCTTAAAATTCTTAACACAGCTCTACTAGGAAGGTGCATTGCATGAACACTCCCCGTGCTCCTCCCGAGGCTGGAAAGGGGTTAGTTTAACCTCCGGTATGCTAGTCAAATTGAATTGCTGTGTCGTGAAAAGCGTGTAGCCAACATGAAAAGTTTGGAAAGCTCTGTCGTAAAGGCTTGTCTAAACACACACCCCCCAGCGGAAAGATGGGGGGATAGTTCCTGTTGAATCTCTCCAGAGGCAGGAAGTTCCACAGGTCAGAGTCTGACACACTAAAAGCCAGATCCCAATTGAAGAATAACCAAACCTGCTAGAGTGCAGCAATGATGCAGTTTTGAGCAAGAGGTGTTTGCTTAGTTTGTCTGTGTGAACAGCAGATAAAAGGTGGAACACCCTGGGAGAGTAAAAAGCAATGGAAGCTGTTGTGGTCCATAAGAAAAATAAAAATAAACTAAAATTCAAAGAAGGAGGGGCATAAGCAATTAGTACACTACGGGCCACTGAGTCACCGAAAGAGCTCATGTGATAGGATCAGGAGCCATCTTAAATCCAAATTGAATTTGGCTCTTTTTGTGGATCAAGTTCCCCAGTGTTTATGCTCACAGGGATAAGGCAGTTCACATGGGTCTAATTTTTCTTTAAACAGAAAAGTCCAAAAAGCTAACTGGATTAACTTCAGAAATTTCAGCCTACAGTCTTCAATACTTCAATACTCCGCATCAGGTTTTTCATCTCAATAATTTTTTTTTATTTTTTTGCTTTCCTCTGAGAACAAAGCAGGTCAAGAGGAACTGCTGGAAAAATAGAAGTTGGTTCGACCTCCTACCATAGGAATGGCGAGACTTCTTTGAAAACAAACACTCATTCCTGTATAAACACCTCGGAGATCAGAAACAATGAATAATTACCCCAGAATGCCTTTTCACAATAGAAGACTATTTTTTCTCCACAAAAGAGGAGCTGTTTCCTGATTAGGCTAAATGTGCGCTGTCTTTTTTAGCCAAGATAAAGATGGCTGCCTAAATGCCACGGCAAAGGTTTCTTCGCCAGACTAAAACAAAGGGGCAAAGAAGCTTGACATTCTAAGTTGACTCTGCTTTTATTTCTTAGCTATGAGAACAAAGCAGAAAGGCTACCAACTTCCGATTTTCTATCTTTGAACACAGAGCTGGTGCGCAGATTGCCATATTTCAAAAAGTAAAAACCAGGACACCCCGAAAGTTTGACTCGCCTAAGATCCAGGACAAAGCGCCACCTCTCGGGAATTCCCCCTGGACCTCAATTCCATGTTTGAAATCCCAGCCATGTCCTGGATGAGAGAGTCGTTGCCACTGTCCCTTCCTCAGCCAACACTTATTCCCGATCCATGACTGATGTTTCTCCCATATCCTTCCCTCTTCCAACTCCTGCTTCCATTCTCCCCCACCCACTGTGCACTCCATGCAAACCCTCTGAATTAGAGATCCCTCCTCAGAGTGAGGAATTACGGACAAGTTTACCCTTGCTTTACTGCTTTGCTGCGACGTCCGCAAATTACAATGTAAAGTGACAAAGGTGAATGGCAACAGCATTGGGACTGAGTCCCTTATGTGGTTATATAATTTGCATTTAATAAATCCCTCCCCTGGGGGATTTCCTCTGGGTTTTGGTTTTTTTTTTTACATTGCTTTTAGGATTCGTTCCTTACTGATTTATTGTGGCCTCCAATGGACCACACATTTATTTTTATTATGACTTGCCATTTTAAAATGAGGAATATATGAGGGAAAAAGATGTCAAAATTAAACTAAAATTTGCAGGAGCCACCGAGTGGTTGTGGTGCAGGCTCTCCTAAGGTGACCTCAATTCACTTAGAGCAGAGCTTTTCCAAACTTTTTAGACAGGCATAATTTCGTGACACAGCGATTCAGTTTTGCTAGCAAACCAGAGGTTAAACTATCCCCTTTATGACTCCTGTTATGTTTGTAATTGTGTAAATCTTGTCATGTTGTGAGCCACCTTGAGCATAATTGCAACTATGGAAAGGCAGCATACTGCCCAGTCCCTGACAGTTAGGGGGTTGGGAGGAGCTGGAACAGATGGTATTAGACGGGCCAACCAAATAGTAGATGGCAGGAGCAGCAAAATGCCAGCCAGCCAGCCATTTGGAGGTGGCCTCATCAGGGCTGTCTTACCCATAGAGGCTAGTGGTGCGGGAGGGCGCCAGGCGAGCGTCCAGGGAACACGGAACGAGCGCGGTGAGTGAGCGAAGGTGTGTGTACAGCTCCCGCTGAGCGTCAGCTCAGTTTTTCCCACTTTAGCCTGCAGGCGTCGAATTCTGTGGGGTGCCAGAAGGCTAAAAGGGAAAAATACTGAGCCGTCGCTCAGCGGGAGTGGCACATGCTCCCTCGCTCCCTCGGCACAGGCCCGCTCGCTTGGTGTGCTGTCTGCTGTGGCCACTGTGGCACGAAGCAGCTAGCTGAGCCGGGAGGCGCCGCGTCCAGCCTCTGCCTCTTCCCCGCCAGAGGAACTACCCTCCAGCCGCTGCCCGCCTCCTCCAGCCCTAAAAAAAGGTCGACAACTGTGGGAAAGGGGGTGAGCTGGAGGGATCTTTGCACTACAGCGCCGGATATGCTTAAGACTGCCCTGGGCCTCGTGTTTGGTGGATGGGAGGGTGTTGGGCACACAATCTGTCACCTGTCTCAATCCGTGGCCTGAACCATGTGCTTCGGGACAGGCTTGCTTCAACCATGGCATTGCAAATCTCTTAAATGAAAGCACCATTATGCTTGTGCTCTCCAGCGGATATTGGCACATCTTTGGGATTTAAGAAGAAAAAGAAGGAGGAAAATAGCATACCCCATCCGAGAAGGTAATACCACAGTAGGTGCTGCTTTTCTGCAAATACAGCCACCACAATGAGCGTGTGCAAGTAAATGCCTTCGCAGAGCATCCAGAAGTAATTGCAGATCATCAAATAAAGATGGAAGAACTGAGCCACTTTGCATGTGATCTACGGGGGAAAAATACCACCGGAATGACGTCAAATCATTTGGAAAGTAGAAACAACCAAATAAGAATTGTTTTGGGCATCAATTTTAATGTGAAGAAAAAGATTTTAATTCTCCAAACTGCCATGTTTTGAAATAGATACATTTGTAACTTCCAAGTGTTAATGCTATAGGCTTGGGTGCTAAAATAAACTTGCAAAAGGAAAGTTTCCTGTTGTGTCCTCTTGCCATGCAGCCATCTATGCTCTCCAACGATCTGAAGGTCAGGAGGCCCCAGGATGGATAGGGGCAGGGACGAGGTTGCAATGAGGTTGGCATGGTGGAAACGCGCTGGCATGAGCCATGATTGATTCTGCTGGTGCTTTAGCACTGCACCAACCTGGCCATTTCCAGTCTCCATCCTGGTATGCAGCAGTGACCCAGCTGGAGCGAGGTCAGGTATAATAATAATAATAATAATAATAATAATAATAATAATATATTATTTATACCCCGTCCACCTGGCTGGGTCCCCCCAGCCACTCTGGGCGGCTTCCAACAAAAGACTAAAATACAATAACCTATTAAACATTAAAAGCTTCCCTAAACAGGGCTGCCTTCAGATGTCTTCTAAAAGTTTGGTAGTTATTTTTCTCTTTGACCTTTGGTGGGAAGGCGTTCCATAGGGCGGGCGCCACTACCGAGAAGGCCCTCTGCCTGGTTCCCTGTAACTTGGCTTCTCACAGCGAGGGAACCACCAGAAGGCCCTCGGTGCTGGACCTCAGTGTCCGGGCAGAATGACAGAATAAAAAGGGAAAGCAGAATAGCCCTACCTTGCCCTCCATCTAATCTGTACGTATCAAATTTGCCATCTAATTACTTCTGCTGGGAAAAAACTCACTTGCACTGCCTATCAGACTTTTGAGACTGGAAGGCTGCTACTTATGAAACAGTAAAACAACCAAAGGCCTGCCCACTTACTGGATTAGCTTTAACCAGCTGTTGGTTGTTGGCAACTCCTGTGAGAGAAATGACTGTAACGATGGAGTTGAAAACAAAAGAGAAAAAGAGATTTTTATGCAAAGTGATCCTCTGGCAACTCAGGCTCCTGAAAGGAAACATAGACAAGAGGAAATTAATGTGGATGGTCAAGAGATTTGCAACAGTAGCAATGCAGTTATATGCTGGAATACAGTAAACCAAGAAAGGAGGAAGCATTTTGCCTGTGCAAAATGTAGTACAAGCAATCAAACTAGGAAGCTTCCAATTAACCACCGTTTCCTGTTTCATCCAAGTCGGGAAACTATGGCTACTGCACTTCACCACAAGCCATGGCATTAAAACAACTTCAGACCATGGTTTAAGTTCCTGGTTTGTTTTGATACTGATAACCATAGTTTCCTGGCTAGGCTAAAATACGAAACTATGGCTTCCTGGTTTCATTGCTTAGGCTATGAAGGGAGGAGCAATCAAGCCGTATGGGCAGGGAAGAGATTCATTCATATTTTGGCTTACTGAGCTGAGAAATGAATGTTCAAACATGGTCAATGTAAATTACTGTTAAATGTGAATGCATCAGTAAAAATTACAGTCATCATTGCCAGTAGTTGTTCAAAATAATTTTAGACGTGAGAAATGGAATGATTTATATGTCATGGAGATTTATTAGTGTTTGTTTCCATAATAATAAAACTATACAAAGTCAGGGAAGAGCAAAATATAAACAGAATCATACTTACTTAAAATAGGCGAATATGCCAAGGGAAATCAAAAGTGAAACTATTGAAAGGCTATGACCAATGATAGTGAGATAATACAAATTCAGAGCTGTCTGCAATAAAAGACAGAGAAGAAGATGAAACCACAAATCCCATGAACTAAATAGGTACAAAGCATTCCAAGGTAACACGACTAGTATAAATAGGATATTAGCAACAGTTCATCTCACTACTGTGACTGTCTACACCAGGGACAGGGAATCTGTGATCCCTCAGGAGTTGTAGGATTACAATTCCCATCATCCCCGACCATACTGGCTGGTTTCCAGCAATATTCAGAGGTCACAGTTTTCCCATTCCTGGCCTACATGTTTAGAGTCCTAAAACCAGCTTCCATGGTTGGGCTATCTGAGTTACCATTAAGAACCATCAGGCTGGTGGGCATGAAGGCAGGGAAGGTTCAGTGGTGGCCTCATGTCTTTAGATATCTCCCTCCAAGCACCTCATTTGCCTCCCTCATTTCAGGGAGCACCCCTACATATGCCTATTCAGAAGGTCCACTGAATTCTGAGCTGCTTACTCACAAATAAGAATGGTAGCTGTTATGTACTGAGTTGAATAGGATCCAAAATGCAGCAGTCTGATTGGTCTTAGAACAATAGGATTCAGAATGCGGCAGCCTGATTGGTCCTAGAACAGGGGTCTGCAACCCGCGGCTCCGGAGCCGAATGTGCCTCTTTTACACCTTTGCCGCGGCTCCGGGGCGGATACTAGCGAGGGGAGGAGGCGCATTGTGCGCCCTGACACTCCCCACTGTGGCGGGCGCTGTACTGGCTGTGACGTCGCATGGGGGCGGTGCGTTAGTCACGCACTGTCCCGACGTCACCTTCCTGCCCGCCCGCCCGCTACATTGTAAGGGGCATGTACAGTGGTCACTGCATTGAAAGGGGGCATGTACGCTGGTCACTGTTTTGAAGGGGAGTGAAGAACACACACACACAAAAAGGTAACTTGTTAATTTTATGTTTATTTCTATGAGGAGGAGTAATTCTGAGGGGTCAAACAAAGAAATAATAAAAAAGTGACAAAAAAGTTATTTTTATAATGACGAGTTTTGCGGCTCCCAATTTTTTTTTCTTCGGAAACGGGTCCAAGTGGCTCTTTTTGTCTTAAAGGTTGCAGACCCCTGTCCTAGAACAATAGGATCCAGAATGCAGCAGTCTGATTGGTCCGCAGGAGCCACCCAATCCAGCTACAGGTGGAAGTGAATCCGCAACCTGATTGGCCTACAGGAGAATCCCGGAATTAGCCAATCACGTGGGGCTCCTTGTGTAAATAATGTATATAAAGCAGACATTCTGGGTGAACTTCCATTCCTCCTCACCACTATGAGCTGAATAAAGAGCATGAAATCCACTCTTGACTCCGAGTATATTTCAGTAGCCTTAAGCCCAGTGGTGTAGCGTGGTGGGCAGTGACCCGGGGTGCAAATTTCTGAGGGGGCGCAACAGGTGCCCTTACAACAGGCTTCCTCATCAAGGCCGGAGCCATTGGCCAGGACTTTGGGGCTGGGCGGCAGCAGGGCCTGGCTTCTCTTCATGGCTGGAGAAGGGATGCCTGCATGCGCCCCACCCCTGAGCCGAGAGGGAGGGAGGAAGAGCAAGGCAAGAAAGCACTGCTAGAGCCCTGTGCACTGCCTAGAGAGCCTCACTGCAAGCACAGAAAGGTGAAGCGACATAGCGGCACTCCTAGCTTTGTGTTTCTCTGCCTTATCTCTGCTGCCAGGTTGGGGCTGGTTTTAGAGAAAAGACTCCGTGGATTAGACACTGGCCAGAGAAGGGACTGACCGCTGCCCCACCCCCGGGTGCCAGCAACCCAAGCTACGTCCCAGCTCAAGCCCGCGATAGTTTTCCGTTTCGCTGAGCTTCTTGTTGATTTGCCAGGTGTTTGTTTTTTTAATCTGTTTTCTTCCGCTACCGCTTTCAGTAGTTTATTATGTGGTTTTGCTATATTGTTATTTTTTTTTTTTGCTGTCAGGCACATTGGACACCGAGCTACAGAGCTAAATGATAAGCTCCTTCAGATCCAAAGACCCCTGAACCCCCCACCCCCCCACCTCCACGCCAATAAAAGCTGTAACAGGAATCATGTTCAGCTTTTTGTTCAACTTTGCTTATTTGCAGGTGGCTTCTTTGAAGCCGGGGGGCGGGGGCACACTGCATTTTGAGAACAGCAGCCATTATTTCATACTGCAATCTTTTTTTAAAAAAATACTCGTCTGCTGTTGCATAACTTGAGTTTACTTTATTGAGTACAGCTATGCATTAAACTTGATCCATCTCATATTGAGCCCATTACAAATGTTCTGCAAATGAACGTGCTTCTAAAGTGCTTCGATGAAATCCATGTGTACCGCAAGAGGATCTTAAAACAGCAAATGAAAGACACCTAAATAAACTGTGATTGACATACTGAACTAATACTTTTACATCAGTTTTTTTTAAAAAAAAAAAATAAGAGAGAAGGAGAAATAAATGGAAGCTGGTGCAAATGCAGATGAGATAATCTGATACTCATGGTAACTGGTGGAATATATATTTCTGAATTAATCACATCTGTATCAAGCTTGGAGTGGCGTCTCTTGCATCTGTTTGCCGGCATTCACCGATTGGCAAATAGCGGTTAAGGGACTACGCTGTGGTTCTCAGCATAAACCACTTAGGACATTGACTGGGAGATCCCATATCTCTTCTCGGTCCCTAAAACTCTCTTTGGGAGATTCCCAGGTTCTGTGCTGGTGAGGCATTCTAGGACTAGTCCAGTTCTGCTGACGGCTGCTTCTGGCCCTCGTGCCAGAAAGCAGAGCTGGCCTCCATGATCAACACAAGTCCCAAAAATGTATCGTATTTTTTGCTCTATAAGACACACTTTTCCCCTCCTAAAAAGTAAGGGGAAATGTGTGTGCGTCTTATGGAGTGAATGCAGGCGGGAGGCTCTGCTCAGCGCTCCCTTTAAAGAGCCGTGGAGCGTGTGTGCGGCTCTTTGGGGCTTTTCCCCGAGGAGAAGGGCTGCGAAGCTTCTGCAGGGCACAGGGAGCCTTCACGGGGAAAAGGACACTGGGAGCCTTCGCGTGGCTAAGCCAGAAGCTAGAACAGCTAGAGGGAGCACTGCGCAGCACTCCCTCTAGCTGTTCTGGCTTCTGGGGTAGCCTGTGAAGCCTCCGCAGGGCACGGGGAGCCTTCATCCCGCTGCCCTGCGGAGGCTTTGTGCGGCTATCCCTGGCTTTTGTGGGAGGTGGGGGAAGGGACAGAGTGCGTGGCTCTGTCCCTTCCCCCACCTCCCAGAAAAGCCCCCAAGAGACGGGGGAAAGCCTGCATGCCCCCCCATTCCACGCAGCTAGTGAAAGGGAGCGCTGAGCAGAGCCTGGGATGCATCCAGGCTCTGCTCAGCGCTCCCTTCAAAGAATACTTTTTTTCTTGCATTCCCCCTCTAAATACTAGGCACGTCCTATCATCCGGTGCATCTAATAGAGCAAAAAATATGGTATTCACTTTAAAATCTGGCCTGAAAAGCTTGTGAGACATTACGATGAACTGGAGCCTGCCTCTGGTTATTACTGCTTGCTGGGACTTCTAAGCACAAAGGGAATCGCCATCAAGGACTTTGCAGGTTGCACAAACATGGATTACTGCATGGGCAGGCAAACTAAGGCTCGGGGGCTGGATCCGGCCCAATCGCCTTCTAAATCCGGCCCACGGACGGTCCAGGAATCAGCGTGTTTTTACATGAGTAGGATGTGTCCTTTTATTTAAAATGCATCTCTGGGTTATTTGTGGGGCATAGGAATTTGTTCATTCCCCCCCCCCCCGCCATATAGTCTGGCCCCCCACAAGGTCTGAGGGACAGTGGAGCGGCCCCCTGCTGAAAAGGTTTGCTGACCACTGAGTTAGGGTATATGAGACTATACTCAATTCTGAGGACCACAAAAGACGCAGGCTGGTTCTAAAAGAGATTGCTGCATGCCTGCTTCTCGATCCTTTATTTTACAAGAGGCTCTCATGTAACTTTGAGATCACGAGCACTTAACAGGTTAAATCTCTCTCTCTCTCTCTCTCTCTCTCTCTCTCTCTCTCTCTCTCTCTCTCTCACACACACACCCACACCCACACACCCACACCCACACACCCACACCCACACCAGCTTGCAAGGAAGCCACAGGGTGATCAAGGCCTATATTAATAGACCTTGCAAAATCCATGAGACCAACTGCACTGTAACCCAATAGGAACTTCATGGGTCTCAAGCTGTCATTAAACAAAATGTGTTTCCCAAACATCAAACACCTTTTATAGTTGGCTATGCTCCATTCAACAAAACAGCTTGAAGATTAGGATGCCGGGGCAGGGTGAGGGGAGCTTCACTCTTAAATGCTCATTGGTAGGATTTGTCGTCTATTCCATGGAACCAGTGGGCAGAATGGCCCAGCACTCTTTCACAATCAGTGCCGCTAGGCTGTTGGTCCATTATAGTGAATGGGGCACTGGTCTACCAAGCTCAGTTGGTAAAAGGTAATGGTAAAGGACCCCTGGACAGTTAAGTCCAGTCAAAGGCGACTATGGGGTTGCGGTGCTCATCTTGCTTTCAGGCTGGGGGAGCTGGCGTTTGTCCACAGACAGCTTTCCAGGTCATGTGGCCAGCATGACTAAACCGCTTCTGGCACAACGGAACATCATGACGGAAGCCAGAATGCATGGAAATGCCATATACCTTCCTGCTGCAGCGGTACCTATTTATCTACTTGCACTGGTGTGCTTAGAAACTGCTAGGTTGGCAGGAGCTAGGACAGAGCAACGGGAGCTCACTCCATTGCAGGGATTCGAACTGCCGACCTTCTGATCGGCAAGCCCAAGAGGCTTATTGGTTTAGAACACAGCGCCACCTGCATCCCTAGCTCAGTAAACCATCAGTTAGCCACCTTCCTGCCTTCCTTCCTGTGGGTGGCATCACCTGCCATCCTTAGGCTACGTACACAATACTGGCTTAAAACCAGCAAAGTTGTTCCCCCCCATTGTGTTTCAAGTCACATTTGCACGATGTGGTGCACATCAGTAAGGTCCAATGTGCTTCTAAGCCACCCATTGCCTGTCCACACCAGTGGGTAGAGACTGGGTCAGGCTAGGCACCCCTCTGCCGACTCCCAGTTGTGAAGCTGTCATCGGCATATATGCTGTCATCTGCGTATGTGCAATGGCTGTCTCAACCGTACACAATTTGCCTTAACTGCACAGTGAACATGCCTTTAAGTTTTCCGTTCGGACGGAAGCTGGTTTGAGGGAAAACATATCGAGAAATATCTCAAGAAACTTCAGGATAGATACGGATTGTGGTTAATGTTGTGCATTCATGGCTTCAAAAACCAGTGGTGCGTTATTTATGTATGCCACTACATCGGCCTGTGTTTTGTTAGCCCAAAAATGGAAAACGAGCAAGATCCCACCGAAGAAGAATGGCAACTTAAACTGATGGAATATGTTCAGCTTGCAGATCTAACTTATAGAATAAGAGTACAGCGGTACCTCGGGTTAAGTACTTAATTCGTTCTGGAGGTCTGTTCTTAACCTGAAACTGTTCTTAACCTGAAGCACCACTTTAGCTAATGGGGCCTCCTGCTGCCACCGAACCGCCGGAGCACAATTTCTGTTCTCATCCTGAAGCAAAGTTCTTAACCCGAGGTATTATTTCTGGGTTAGCGAAGTCTGTAACCTGAAGCGTATGTAACCCGAGCTACCACTTTACAAGAAGAACATTTGTTTAAGGAAGATTGGAAAATGCTGGGGGAGACGACTGTGCACACTTGAAAACGTTGGCAGCATTAAGATAATAAGTTTTGAAGGAAGTAATAATGGAATATTGAATGGTTTAGTTTATATAAAATGTGCAGGGATTTATGCAAAAGGAACCATGGAAAGAGAAGAAGGGAAGTCACTGATAAGGTTGTTTAAATGAATATTCTAAATTGTAAAACAGAATATTTAATTATATCCCCCAGTGCTGGGTGCAGAGTCAATGGTAATGTGTACACAGCCTGAGACTTAGTACTGCCCTTTTCAAAATCAAAAGAGAGGAGGATTAGAACAAAACTAGAATTAGTTGGCTGTGCCACTCATTGACTATGGACCTCCTTGCCTTTGTCCTACCAATTCCAATAGGCACCAGTTTTCACTGCCTAGGAGATCACAGTGCAAAAGTGTCTTCGAAGTGGATTCTTTTTTTTTAAAATATTTATTTGGTTTTTCAAATTACAGTTTTACAATCACATATCGAACATACAACATAAAAACAAGATTCCAATGAATCTCCTGGACTTCCCTCCTGCCCTTTGTGGGTTCTAATGTCAGTCATTTCCTCCTGCATCTTTTATGATAATCCAAATCTTCTATATCTCCATTATATCCTTAATTCACCATTAAATTACAAGTGTTATTCCAATCCTACTAACAATTTTAAATGTTTACAATGGTTTTTAAGATAAATTATAATTTCCCCCCATTCTTTATTAAAATTTTGGTCTTTCTGATTTCTGATTCTGCCGGTCGCCATTTCGGCATTAATCCATCAGCTTAATCTGCCATTCTTTTCTGGTCGGGACTCAAAGTGGATTATTCCACCCGCAAGCTTCTTGAAGCCAGCATAAAGGACTTGACAGTCCTTTCAGCATCATTCTCACAAGTCTGCTTGGGCCTGTAAGAACCTAGAAGGGAGCAATGAGTTTTCCCAAGCCTTCGTCCACCATGGAGAAAGTGGGCTTAAGGATCAAGAAGGGCATCAGGTGGCGTAGTGTAGCTTGTAGACTGGGAAGTCTAATCTACCAGATTAACTGGCCTCTCATCTCTATGATCTCTTAAGGTGTCAAATGTGTGCTTCATGGCAGCCAGCACTCAGTGCTTCTGCATAATAGCCAGAGGAATATTATTTTCACCCAAAGGGCAGAGTGGAGGTTGGATTCTATTCTGTAAAGAGAACACGGACATACTCTATGGAAGGATGTTGTAATGGGAAGACTGTTCTGCACAATACAGTGGTACCTCGGGTTAAGAACTTAATTCGTTCCGGAGGTCCGTTCTTAACCTGAAACTGTTCTTAACCTGAAGCACCACTTTAGCTAATGGGGCCTCCCGCTGCCGCCACACAATTTCTGTTCTCATCCTGAAGCAAAGTTCTTAACCTGAGGTACTATTTCTGGGTTAGCGGAGTGTGTAACCTGAAGAGTCTGTAACCTGAAGCGCCTGTAACCCGAGGTACCACTGTATTTTGGTAAATAATTCAGCGCTGCTGGGGTGAACCCTCACCCGCAGTAAAAATATAACAAAAAAGAGACTGCTTCAAGGATTGGTAAGTTTCTATCACGTTTCTAATGTACCTTTATCAAATAAAAACTCATGAAAACTGCTAATGTCTCCCCTCCAACATGCAGCAGTTCCTTAAAAACAACAACTGTTTATGATCCTGCCCTCACTAATTTGTGAGCCCCTCTCTCTATAGAATGCATTACTATCTGCCCAATTGGAAGGGGCAATAAAAGAGCCAGGGGTCAGCAAACTTTTTCAGCAGGGGGCCGGTCCACTGTCCCCCAGACCTTGTGGGGGGCCGGACTAGATTTTGAAAAATAAATAAATGAACGAATTCCCGTGCCCCACAAATAACCCAGAGATGCATTTTAACTAAAAGCACACATTCTACTCATGTAAAAACATGCTGATTCCCAGACCGTCCACGGACTGGATTTAGAAGGTGATTGAGCTGGATCCGGCCCCCGGGTCTTAGTTTGCCTACCCATGAGTAAAACCAATAGTAACCATTTGGTAAAATACTCCATGCATTTCAAACTTCCCTGAAATACAACGGCGGTGAAAAACAAAGGTTGCATATCAAAAGGCGCATGATGCCATAACAACATCAGTTCCATGTGCTTTTGAAATGGATCCCATCCCCCGATAATATTCATTTTTCAGCCTACCTGCACTTTATCATTTACTCCTAAACTACAGCGCGTGTAGTTTGTCCATGTTCTGTTGCTTTCGGGATGTACAAACCATTGCCCATTTTCTTCACAGGTCTTAAAAACTTTTTCTTGTTACGGAAAATTAAGGAGGGGAAAAACACACACATAGTCATTACTCTTGTTTCTGTATTTAACAAGTAGATGTAGAAAAATAAAAGAAGATGCCAAAATTTCAGAGAAATTGAAAAACAAACCAACCTGATCTATCTCATTATTTGACTTGGGAAGTAAATGCGAATATATCACTTGAGGTTGCATTAACGCAATAACGCAGCACAACGGTTCTGTGCACTCACATTGAAATAGAGAAACATGCATTAAAGTGGGTTGTAAACATACATAATTGCATCCTGGATTATAATCATGACAACTTTTCACATAAATGAAACACTCACTGCCCTATAGTATATTACAAATTCCCAGGTAAGATCCTCCCTCTATTGTGTGGGCAGGTAATTCCTCCCCTACCTGGCCTGATCTCCTTGGCAACGCTTCCCCCAGGTGGGATTGGACAACTGACTGAGGTAGGCAGAGACCTCCAGGTATCCCACCTGAGGGAAGGCAAAGCCAAGCCTGTGTTGATGGAGCCGCTCAAGATCCAGGGGCTGTGCGCGTCCACGCAAAGGTCGCCCCCCGTTTTATGCGGGGAGCAGTCATTACAAATTAAATGGCATAAATGTCCAATAACTGTTGAATTGAAGCACAAAGTTCAAATGGCATTATTTAGGCGCAAGATGGTCTTGCGGGATCCACTCTCACCCTTGGGCTCCAGTGCAGTTTAGGAGGCTTCGAACAAACCACTTGGCTGTCCTAACCTTGTTGTCTCACCTCTGGGTGAATGACAATTCTGCCCTGGTTTGGCATTTCAGCATCAAGAGAAAAAGTGCACAATATATTCCGGCCTACAGAACTTAAATCCTTTCAAGCTAAAGACAACTCGGTAGCCAAGCAAGGCACTTTAAAAAATATTTTTTAAAAATGCAAAGTGATGTGGGAATGCAAAGAACCAGACCTAAGACTCGAAAAATGAGAAAGTGGGGGAAACTGAAATTAACCCATTTGCCCATCTGTAGTTAGGTATAATAATAATAATAATAATAGTAATAATAATAATAATTTATTTATACTCCATTCATCTGGCTGGGTTTTCCCAGCCACTCTGGGTGGCTCCCAATAGAATATTAAAAACACGATCATACTTTAAAAACTTCCCTAAACAGGACTGCCTTCAGATGTTTTCTAAAAGTCAGGCAGTTGTTTATTTCCTTGACATCTGATGGGAGGGTGTTCCACAGGGCGGGTGCCACTACTGAGAAGGCCCTCTGACTGGTACAATGTGAAGGAACCAATGTTGGTCTAAGTCTGGTCTTAAATGGGCAAGAGAGTGGCTTTTAGAAAGGCACAAGAGCAGCACCACAAACAGCATCTTCCTTGTGGTATTGGTGAGACTCATTCACATTTTAATACATTTCCTCACTGGCAGAGATTTACCTGAGGGGTCAAAGTCCTGATAGTAATCAGGGCAGTTCTGGACGACTGTTTTCCCCAAAGCAGTATCATCCCAGCACAACCAGCCATCCCATGTCCTATTGCAATGAGGACCTAAGCAAAAGACGAGAGAAGAAGTTATGAAGTGTTTGATCCTAAGTCACCATGAAGAATGCCCTCCTGCGGAAGGAGACTTCCTTTGACAGAAGGACTCCTTCTGTTCCAGGAAGCTGACCTTTGGATCAAGTCCAGTGGATTTGCAATGGCTACATATCTGTTTTCGATGTAAATAAAAAACCTTCCCCCATGACCACTACATCTGTTTCATCTGGGCTTTCAAACATCACTACCATATCCTCTTGAGTATCTATAGATTATTGGGAGCTCTTGAGGCTCTGTCACCTACAATACGATACGATACGATATGATATGATACGATACGATACGATAATCTTTATTGTCATTGTCCCATACAGAACAACGAAATTGAAAAATCTACATAAGACATTCAAAAACCAACCAGCCTGCTATCACAACCTGGTTAGCCCCCTAAAAACTCTGATACCCCAGTTTTAAATACAATATACTCCCATAAAGGTAAAGGTAAAGGGACCCCTGACCATTAGGTCCAGTCGTGACAGACTCTATGGTTGTGGCGCTCCTCTCACTTTATTGACCGAGGGAGCCAGCGTACAGCTTCTGGGTCATGTGGCCAGCATGACTAAGCCGCTTCTGGAGAACCAGAGCAGTGCACAGAAACACCGTTTACCTTCCCGCCGGGGAGATACCTATTTGTTTACTTGCACTTTGACGTGCTTTCAAATTGCTAGGTTGGCAGGAGCAGGGACCGAGCAACGGGAGCTCACCCCATCACGGGGATTCGAACTGCCGACCTTCTGATCGGCACGTCCTAGGCTCTGTGGTTTAACCCACAGCGCCACCTTACATTGCATTTAAAACCAAAATTGCTTTTGGATAGAAACTGTTTCTCAGGGAGCTAGTCCTAGTCTTTATAACCCTGTACCTTCTTCCAGAAGGCAGAAGTTTGACAGTAACATGACCAAGAAGCAGAATGCTATTAGCCCCCAAACAGAAAGAAAAACGCACTGGCCCAAAAATGGAAAACGAGCAAGGTCCCAACTAAAGAAGAATGGCAACTTAAAAAGAATGGCAACAGAATATGCACAATTTGCAGACTTAACACACAGAATAAGAGAACAAGAAGTACATGCATTTAAAGAAGATTGGAAATCGTTGGTTGAATACATTGGGAAATAACTGTATACAGTTGGAAAAGCTGGCAGCATTAAGATAAATTCAACGGCGTAAACAAGTTTTGATGGGTACAATAACGGAATACTGAGTTGGTATAGTTTTTGTAAAATATGCAGGGATTTGTGATAGGTAAAATGAACCATGGAAAGAGAAGAAGGGAAGTCATTGCTATCTTAAGGATGTAAAATGAGTATTTTGAATTGTAAAACGGAAAATTTAAATATATACATGAAGCAGAATGCTAGAGTGAAGCTACGTGACAAACTGGTTTGCTCTGCCAGGGCCTCCGATGCAGCTGGTCAAAATTAGGGGTGGAAGGTCTGCATGGTCCCATCTCTTTTAGGTCTCATTGATTTGCTGAGACCTGCAGTCCACAATTTCAAAACCCTGATTTAATTAGGATAATTTCTAAAAATATGTAATTCCATGTACCGTGTGCTGCACCTTTCAACTCCCTGAGTTTGTTTGCTTCATGTTCTTTCTCTCCTCCTCTGAACTGTTTGCGAGGGATCCTTAATACCATATTTTTCCGTGTATAAGACGCCCCTATGTGTTTTGGGGGACTCCAATTTTGGGGAGGGTTGCCCATAGTTGTTGAGCTTTTTTGGGGGTGGGGATGCCAAAAATCACTCACCAGACTGACAAACGCTGCCGATCGCACGCATCATGAAAGCCACAGAGCGTCTGCCCGCTCGCCACCAGCAGCTGGCAAGCGCACCTACAATTGCAGCAGCGGAAGCCAATCCACAGCAGCCCTTGCCGCAGCCACCGATCGCCAACCCAATGGACACAGCAGCAGCCAATCCAAAGCAGCCCTTGCCGCAGGCACCAATCGCCCACCCAATCGCCGCTGGCAACCAATCGCCAGTCCCCCCTCCACACTATCCATGTGTAAGACAAGCCCCAATTTTGAACATTGTTTTACAGTAAAAAAGACCTCGTCTTATACACGGAAAAGTACGGTACATAAGGCATCAAGAGTGCTTTTTAAGCAGAGACTGGATGGCGTCCTACCAGGAAGACTGTACAAGTCGGTTTCCTGCATTGGCAGGGGCTACAACTCTAGAATCCTATAATTACAGGGGTTTGAATGAGATATTATGCTTGCATGGGGATTGCCTTTGTTTTTCAGAATGTAATTTTAAGTAACAACAGATACAATGCTTTCATTCAGAATATATGGGTTTGTTCAGGTTTTTTTTTTTTTAAAAAAATAACATTTCAGGTTTCTTTTTTTTTTACCTTCATTCTTTTGAGAAGGTGTTTGCATAATTTTCTGGTAACATTCAAACTGTGCTGTCATGATTTTATTCACAGTTACGCTTAGTCCATAGATATCTTCGGTTGCGTTCGTATCCTCTTTTATATAACCTTCCTTGGTTGCATTCTCGTCCGGAACCGCCGTGACAAAAATCTGAATAGAAAGGGAGAAAGAAATTGCCACCGTTCTCAGGAGGGATGCAGTATTTCATCGATTAATTAGTTAGAATAAGTGGGGCGAAATATTCCAAGCGATTAAAGAGGCTTCTTCCAAGAAACCAGGCAGGAGATTTTTAAAAAGAGGTTAATGCGTCTACCTGTAAAAACCATTGGTCACAACTTACAAGGCTCTACCCTTCCACCATTTCTCTTGCGCAGCAGGCATGACTCTTTAAATGTAGTCATATGCCTGTGCCAGTTTAAAATATGCAGGTGGCGGAAACACTTTTTGTCCGTATGCAAATTTATGCAAATGAGATCTATTCATTGATCAAATTCCCACAATTAACTAAGACTTAACAAGACCGATTTCCTTGTGAGATAATGACTTTCCACTGCAGTTTGCAACTGGGAATTCACTTTTTAAGGGACAGAAAGAATAGTGGGTTCTCTGAGATGGGGCTGTTCCACTGCCACCACAGATCTTGTGCATGCCCAGAGCTTCCTCTTCCTCTCCTGTTGCCTCCAGCCGCTTCATGCACCCTCAAAATCAGCTCCAGAAAGTTGGGGGGCACACAGGGGGAGGAAATAAAAATCCCATTGCAGCAGTGGAACCAGGCGCATTAGACACAGCACATTGTTTCATAGCTGAAATGTTTAAAGCTTGCAGAAATTTATAAATTCATTGGCTTGATCCACAGGAGAAATGCCAGTTTTCAGATTATTATTTTCTGGTGTTTTTTTTTTTTTTTGAGGGATTGATATGCTAGCGGAGTGAAAAGCATGAAAATCTGAGGCCTGACCTGATTTTGATGGTGTCGGTAATGTAATATGTGTGCTTTGCATATGCATATTGAAAAAGAAGAAGAAAAACACCTTTATTATACTGTATGAGTAACTTCAGGGAAAGAAAGCAACTCACCAAGGTCTGAGCTAAGAGGAACACCATCTGCATGATCCAATTTGTCTCCATCACTCAATATAGCTAGTGTAGTTGTTGCACCGTAGTTCAGAAAAGAAGTGTGGCTGAAATTAAGACAAACACATTTTTTAAAAAAAATTAAAAAGCAACCTTAAACCAAATAGACACTCATAATATTTCACTTGAAGAAAAATAACCAGCCAAAGTTAAGCACTTTCATTTCCATTTTTTTCCATCCAAAAGGGAGAAATTAAAATATATGGTTAATTACTCCCATTGTAGTCAACTTAAAAGTGACAAATGGTTTTACTGTGTATTATATATTTAGGAAGGGATGCGGGTGGCGCTGTGGGTTAAACCACAGAGCCTAGGACTTGCTGATCAGAAGGTCGGCGGTTTGAATCCCCGTGATGGGGTGAGCTCCTGTTGCTCGGTCCCTGCTCCTGCCAACCTAGCAGTTCGAAAGCACGTCAAAGTGCAAGTAGATAAATAGGTACCACTCCAGTGGGAAGGTAAACGGCGTTTCCGTGCGCTGCTCTGGTTCGCCAGAAGCGGCTTAGTCATGCTGGCCACATGACCTGGAAGCTGTACGCCGGCTCCCTCGGCCAATAAAGCGAGATGAGCGCCGCAACCCCAGAGTCATCCATGACTGGACCTAATGGTCGGGGTCCCTTTACCTATGCACAGGAGACTTTTGTTTCTACAAGTGGAAATTACCCTTCTTCCCCTCCACCTTCCTATTTGCCCCTGCCGTGGACTCTAGTGCCGATCTGAGGGCAAGGGAAGAGCCTGCAAAATGAAAGAAGGAAAAGTACACAAGCCAGGACTGAAATTGTGCAATTGTAATTGTAAAAAAGCAGCAACCCCAAACCCAGAAGCTTTTCTCTTGGGAATGATGGGATCAGAGTTACCTAAACAATATAGATATTCATTTATGTGTGCAATCACTGCTGCAAGAATGATATTTCCCCCAAAGCGGGAAGAAGAAGTTGTCCCGACGAAAGAAGAATGATTACAGAAATTCATGGACTATGCAGAAATGGCGAAAGTTACCGGAAGGAAAAGAAATCAAGACAACAGACTTTTTATCAAGGAATGGAAATCGTTTATTGGATCTTTACAAACAAATTAAAACATTAGCAGGATTGCTGTAAAAACTTGTAGTTTCTAAAACCTGTATGAAATGGATGAGGAAAAGAATTGATAGTGTTTATTGGGATAGTGTTTATTGGCGTAAAAAAAGAGAGGGTAAATTCATGGAACCGCTGAAAGAGGGGGAGGGAAGTCAAAGTTCGATATGTGAGAATTGTTTTAATTTCTTTCTTGAAATGTTTATTTGTTATAAATGAAAATCATAAATAAACTTCTTTTTTTAAAAAAGGACCGAAATGGTGCTGAATAAGATTGCTTCCCTTTCCACATCAACTGTCACCGATCCTTGCATGGACCAGGTTCTTTGGCTTATTCTTTGTGAAGAAAGATTGAATTATTTGATGATGGCCTGAGGCTGTTCTGGAAGGAGATCAGACAATTTCAGAGGACAAGTCTCTACCAACCACAATTAACCACAGTAGCTACATGCAATTTCCAGGATGTCACTGAATACTAAGTGTGTGTGATGTAAAGGTGAAGGAAAACAAAACAAAACTTTTTTTAAAAAAACAAAAATGCCTTCGTTTTAATCAGCTTCATTCTACTTTAATTGGTCGCTTGCTGGTTTCAGCAGAGACCCCACTGCATTCCGATGTCCATAACTTTGGTGTTTTCTGTTCAAACGGCACCAAATATGCAGAATTCTACGATTCTCTCAGGGCACTAAACTTGAAAATTTCAGACAGACTGGGCAAAAGGTCCTTGGGATTTGATATCTTGCTTTATCACTACCCTAAGGAGTCTCAAAGTGGCTAACAATCTCCTTTCCCTTCCTCCCCCACAACAAACACTCTGTGAGGTAAGTGGGGCTGAGAGACTTCAGATAAGTGTGACTGGCCCAAGGTCACCCAGCAGCTGCATGTGGAGGAGCAGGGAATCAAACCCGATTCACCAGATTACGAGTCCACTGCTCTTAACCACTACACCACACTGGCTCTCCTTGTTTTAGAGGTGATGAAAAAGGACAGGACACCCGGTAAGCTTCCTTTTAGAGGAGACCCATCCTCTTCTCCAGATTGTACCTTTGGCGTTTTCCAGACAAAAGGCATGAAATATTCACACGTTGAACTGCTACCTCTGCACATCGTGCATGTCAATTTTCAGGCAGTTTGCATGCTCACAAATACAAGTGAAAATGAAAATGAACGGGGGAGCATTCATTTGCCCTTTGCCTTTGTTTTTTGAAATAAATGCATACCCCTACTGACTGTCAGCTGTTACACTGAAGGAGAAACAGGAGAGGCATTTTGCTCCCGTGCCCAGCTTGTTTGCATCCCAAAAACATCTGGGTCACCACTGATAGAAATAGATTTTCTGGGAAAGACGGATCTCTGATCCGGAAGCCCCTATCATATGTTCTTAATTTGATCATCGAAAGGAAGAAGAAATATCCTCAACAACACTGAGCACTGCTCATCCATCCTCCATTGCTTTTGTGGCCAATGGGTGATAGCCATACAGTGTTACCTTGTTTCTCAAACTTAATCTCCGTTCCAAAACAAAAGCGTTCCAAAACCAAGGCGTGCTTTTCCATAGAAAATGGATTAATCCATTTCAGACTTTTAATAACAATCCCCAAAACAGCAATTTAACATGAATTTTACTATCTAATGAGACCATTGATCCATAAAATGAAAGCAATAAACAATGTTCAGTGGTACCTCGGGTTAAGAACGTAATTCGTTCTGGAGGTCCATTCTTAACCTGAAACTGTTCTTAACCTGAGATACCACTTTAGCTAATGGGGCCTCCTGCTGCCGCCAGAGCCCGATTTCTGTTCTTATTCTGAAGCAAAGTTCTTAACCTGAGGTACTATTTCTGGGTTAGTGGAGTGTGTAACCTGAAGCGTATGTAACCTGAAGTGTATGTAACCTGAGGTACCACTGTGAGTAGATCACAGTTTCTTGGGAGTTGGATGTGCCTGGTGTACAGTGGTACCTCAGGTTAAGTACTTAATTTGTTCCGGAGGTCCATTCTTAACCTGAAACTGTTCTTAACCTGAAGCACCATTTTAGCTAATGGAGCCTCCCGCTGCCACCGCGCTGCCGGAGCACGATTTCTGTTCTCATCCTGAAGCAAAGTTCTTAACCCGGGGTACTATTTCTGGATTAGCGGAGTCTGTAACCTGAAGTGTATGTAACCCGAGGTACCACTGTACTGCAGTCACACAATCAATCAGTAGCTGAACTGGGTTCCACACAGTCACACACACAAAAAAGAGCCACAAAAATGCAAAATAAGTAGCAAAAACAGACAGACTTCAGTGTGACACTCCAAACAGAAGTGTGGCACTAAACTTGGAAGCGTAAGTCTCAAAACGGAGCACGTTCAGCTTCCAAAAAAAGTTCACAAACCGGAACACTTACTTCCAGGTTTGCAGTGTTTGGGTTCCAAGTTGTTTGAGAACCAAGGTGTTTGAGAACCAAGGTACCACTGTATTAAGCGAAAACCCACTGAAATCAATGGCCTTGAGTGGGTTTTATGCCAATAGCTAGATCTCGCTCCATGGCTTTGCGTTGTTTAAGCAACTCTGTTTTGTACTATGGAAATTTAAATTCCTACATGCACAGCTCTGTCTAGACTCAAGCAGCATTTTCCCATACGCTCCTCTGTCTCTAATCTTCAGACTTATTTTCTCCAACAGTCATGACCTACAAGATAGATTTATGACAGTAAACAAACAGTTGACTCCATGGATACTATTTTGGACAAATACAACTCTTTTAAATAGGTATGATAAAATTCTTCTCAAACTAGGACTGGGATATGAAGCATATTTACTCAGTTCTAGGCATGTTTATTAGACATATGTGGCATTAATCTGAATGGGTTTTACTTCCAAGTAAGTGCATAGCATGATTTCACAACCTGATGTGGTGTCTTTCACTAAAACCTACATATAATGTACGTCAAAAGATTTTTTTTAAAAAAATCCTGATTTAACTTAATTGTGGTGGCATCCTCTACCCAAAAAACAAGTGTATATTGGTTAACAAAGATGTAAGAAATCTGTCAAATGCAGGCAAATGTAGGAAATCTGCCAAATGCTTAACACTTACTGAAAAAACGATCATGTAAAATGTGTGGACTCTCAGCCTAACCATGCCACCTGGATATAAATGTAATAAGAAAATGAAAATAAATAAATGCAAAAGCTCAATTATCCTCATTCAATTTCTTCACTGCATAGTGACACTAATGGCAAGAGGTAAGAAGGGAGTGAAGGCGTAACAAAAATATTGAGTATAAGGGAATAAAAGCATGCTTCTAGGATAGATTTGACATATGATAAATGCATTTTTGACATACGATTTCACTGAAGCAAGGAAGACTGTGAACCAGCTTCTGTTGCTTCATTACTATTGCAAAAGCTAGGCAGACAATATGACTTTATTTTTATTTTTATATACAGTGGTACCTTGGGTTAAGTACTTAATTCGTTCCGGATGTCCGCTCTTAACCTGAAACTGTTCTTAACCTGAAGCACCACTTTAGCTAATGGGGCCTCCCACTGCCGCCGCGCTGCCGGAGCACGATTTCTGTTCTGTGACAGATGGCCATCCAAGCTCTGTTTAAAAACCTCCAACATAAAGGTAAAGGACCCTTTGACTCTGCGGTTCTGGCGCTCATCTTGCTTTACTGGCCGAGGGAGACAGTTTTTCCGGGTCATGTGGCCAGCATGACTAAGCCGCTTCTGGCGAAACCAGAGCAGCGCATGGAAACGCCATTTACCTTCCCGCTGGAGTGGTACCTATTTGTCTACTTGCACTTCGTGCTTTCGAACTGCTAGGTTGGCAGGAGCAGGGACCAAGCAATGGGAGCTCACCCCGTCGCGGGGATTCAAACTGCCGACCTTCTGATTGGCAAGCCCTAGGCTCTGTGGTTTAACCCACAGCACCACCTGTGTCCCTTTAGGTAAAAGGTAAAGGGACCCCTGACCATTAGGTCCAGTCGTGACCGACTCTGGAGTTGCGGCGCTCATCTCGCTTTATTGGCTGAGGGAGCCGGCATACAGCTTCCGGGTCATGTGGCCAGTATGACTAAGCTGCTTCTGGTGAACCAGAGCAGCGCACGGAAACGCCGTTTACCTTCCCGCCGGAGCGGTACCTATTTATCTACTTGCACTTTGACATGCTTTTGAACTGGTAGGTTGCCGGAGCAGGGACCGAGCAACGGGAGCTCACCCCGTCGCGGGGATTCAAACTGTCAACCTTCTGAACAGCAAGCCCTAGGCTCTGTGGTTTAACCCACAGCGCCACCCGCGTCCCTTTACTTTTAGATTTATTTCACACAGGTGGAAAATGAACAAAGATGTGCTTTAAAACAGGTCCAGAATTCCACAAAGAAGCCCTCTACTTTCCTGAGCTGTGTGGCTCTGAACTGAGAACTGGCTTAGAACATCATGTTCCATCTCCTAGTGATGGCAAACCCATTTAAACTGGGTTAACCTTTTGCGACAAACTATTATCAACTCAGCGCTGTGTTTTTTCCTGTTTTAAAAACATGTCCTCAATGGACATTTAAAATAACTTTCTTTCCTGAGCAACCTGGTGCCAAAAAAGAAGAAGCAAGAAAGCAACACCCTATTTCAAACAAAGCCCTGCTAGAAAAGAAATGCATTGTCATGCTTGAAAGAACACATTTTGAAAACGCTCGCTCTTCCTAAAGGCAACACACGTTCATTACTGGGCAAAATAATCTGGGAAACCAAAGAAGCTCGTTTCTGAAGAGATAGCATCTCATCATCACTTCATCTGACCAAAAAGTTCTCTTTGGGCATTTTACTTGCGTGCAAAGTCAAGATGCAAGCGGGGAGAAGAGGACATGAGTCCAAACACAAACACCCATCTCTGCCTCCTCCATGCGTTGGGGGTCAATGCAGGGGGAGAGAGAGCAAGGGGGTGGAGCTCATCACAGTTTCCCTGCACCCATGTTGGCTTCTGCATTCAAGCAGAATGGCCGAAAACACCTGAAGACGTCAAGCCTTTCTTGCTGGTGAACCAATATTGCGGAATTTTAGCACTTCCTATCGGTAGTCCCATGGACTGCAAGAAAACCAGACCTATGCATTCTGAAGGAAATCAGCCCTGAGTGCTCACTGGAAGGACAGATCATGAAGCTGAGGCTCCAATACTTTGGCCACCTCATGAGAAGAGAAGACTCCCTGGAAAAGACCCTGATGTTGGGAAAGATGGAGGGCACAAGGAGAAGGGGACGATGGAGGATGAGATGGTTGGACAGTGTTCTCGAACCTATCAGCATGAGTTTGACCAAACTGCGGGAGGCAGTGGAAGACAGGAGTGCCTGGCATGCTCTGGTCCATGGGGTCACGAGGAGTCGGACACGACTGAACAACAACAACAATTGGTATTAACACTCCAGCTCTTGTAGATCCACCTGTTTAGAAGCAAGCATTCCCCTGAGCTTGTGCCCTACTTGTTTTTATTAATTGTTAGGCAACCCTGTATTGGTAAATTTATCATCTTCCAAAGCAACTACTCTATTCCGAACTTAAAAATAGAAAGTGTAATGCTGGTTTAAAGGGGTTTAAAGACTCTCTCAAGGCAAATCTAAAAAAATGTAGTATAAACACCAACAATTGGGAAACACTGGCCTGCGAACGCTCCAATTGGAGAACAGCCTTTACCAAAGGTGTCATGGGCTTTGAAGACGCTCGAACGCAGGACGAAGGGGAGAAACATGCTAAGAGGAAGGCACACCTAGCAAATCCACACTGTGATCAACTCCTTCCCAGAAACCTGTGTCCCCACTGTGGAAGGACATGTGGATTCACAATTGGCCTCCACAGTCACTTGCGGACTCACTGTTAAAACCGTGTTTATGGAAGACAATCTTACTCAGCTACGAATGAAGAAGAAGAAGAATGTCTAATGCTTTACAATTTTTTATGTGTTGTAAATAGTACTATTATTGTTGTTGTTGTTATCATCATCATCATTAAACTGATTTGCTTTATTGCATTTTTCAATTGCAGATGCTTTCATTCCTTGGATGGAATTCTTTTATTGTATTTTAATTATGCACTTATGCATTTACTTATGCATTTTAGTTACGTCGTATTTTATACTTGTAAACTCCTTAGAAGCTATTTTACCATGCAAGTGCATAACCTCCAACAATTCACCGATGAAATGAGGGACGGCTTCCAACATATATAAAAACATAATAAAACAAAAAACTCCCCTATACAGGGCTGCCTTCAGATGTCTTCTAAAAGTTGTGTAGTTACTTATCTCTTTGGATCAGGGGTCCAATAACTCCATACCTTTCAACATTTCCCCGATGAAAATAGGGACGTCCTAAGGAAAAGTCGGACATTCCAGGATCAACTCAGAAACCAGGATGGTTCCTGTAAATCTAGGACTGTCCCTGGAAAACAGGCACACTTGGAGCGTCTGCAAGTGTTATATTAAATTAATTTATATTAAATTAATTAAATTAATAAACAAGAACTCTGGAACCACCAAAATTCTATTTTTTAAAAAAAGTGTCACGAGGAGGCAGAAAAAAATAAGCCTCTTTCCTAAGAGAAGACTACTTTCTAGAAAATGGAGTACACAGCACTAGCCTAGATTCTGCAAAGCTTGCTTTATGCTCGATAATCAAGCTTGCTGCATCAAAGGAAATGTGCCTTGCAAAGTGCACTTAGCAAAGCAGAAATGCGCTCGCTCTGTAGTAAAAGGCTTTGCATTGATGCCAAAACCTGGACAGCCTTAATAAGAAATGAGAGAACTTCGCTAAAGTTGAAACTGATCACAACACAAGCACAGTTAAAAGCAGGACCAAGGAAAGAGGAATAAGCAAACATCCGTACAGAAAGAAATGTGATGGGTTTTTCGATTCAGACATGCATCTGCAAATATCAAAGGGGAATCAGATGTCTGTATAAAGTCAAGGGATGCTCTCTGCAAGGGCTGACATCAAAAGTGGGCAAATGCCGTTCCAGCTTGACTGGAAAGGACCCTTATTCAATTCAGTGCTTTTTCTTTTTTCTTTTTTTCTCAACTAAATGCATTTTTTATAAGGAATAGATGTCCCTATGGGTACATCTTCATACGTAAAAAAAAAAAGTAAAGATAAAGGACTCCTGGACAGTTAAGTCCAGTCAAAGGCGACTATGGGGTTGCAGCGCTCATCCCGCTTTCAGGCCGAGGGAGCCGGTGTTTGTCCACAGACAGCTTTCCGGGTCATGTGGCCAGCAGGACTAAACCGCTTCTGGCGCAACGGGACACCGTAAAGGAAACCAGAGCACATGGAAACAAGTTTACCTTTCCGTCGCAGCGCTACCTATTTATCTACTCACACTGGCGAGCTTTCGAACTGCTAGGTCGGCAGGAGCTGGGACAGAGCAATGGGAGGTCACTCTGTACCACAGATTTGAACCGCTGACCTTCTGATCGGCAAGTCCAAGAGGATCAGTGGTTTAGACCACAGCACCACCTGCGTCCCTCTTCAAATGTCACTAGTTTAGGAACATAGCAATCTTCCTAATATAGTGGTACCTCATGCTAGAAACAGGATCCGTTCTGGAGGCCCGTCCATAACGTGAAATGCCCACAACTCGGAGCGGTGAGTATGTGCAGGCATGTGGCGTGATTTGACACTTCTGTGCATGCGCAAAGCGTGATTTAGTGCTTCTGTGCATGTGAGAGTGGCGAAACCCAGAAGTAACCCATTCTGGTACTTCTGGGCTGCCGCGGGATGTACCGCGAAAAGATGCAACATGAAGCGGATGCAACACGAGGTATGACTGTACAGTGGTACCTTGGTTTACGAACTTAATCAGTTCCGAAAGTCCATTCTTAAACCAAAGCATTCTTAAACCAAGGCGTGCTTTCCCATAGCAGCGGGGGACTCAATTTACAAATGGAACACACTCAACAGGAAGCAGAACATGTTCTGCTTCCAAGGCAAAGTTCACAAACCAAAACACTTACTTCTGGGTTTGCAGCATTCTTAATCCAAGTTGTTCATAAACTACCGTATTTTTCACTCCATAAGACACACTTTTTCCCTCCTAAAAAGTAAGGGGAAATGTCAGTGCGTCTTATGGAGCGAATGTGTGGTCGACCACTGGCTCCCTTTCTGGCCCCGCCCCCTTGCCCAGGCCTCCATTGTTGAATGTTCTGCAGACGGAAGCTGTTTGTTTCCCCAGCGACATGTGAATGGCTGATGAGATTATCTGTCTGGAAACTGCAGAAATGGCTCCCTTTCCTTTCCTAAAGGAGCTGCAGAACTGTGAGTTGAACCCCATAAAAACAGGATTTTTTCCCTTTGCAAAGTAAGCTCAACAACTTTAAGCTGACCCCCTCAAAAAACGGGGCTTTTCCCCTTTGCAAAAGAAGCTGCACAACTGTGAGCTGATTCCAAAAAAACGGGGCTTTCCCCCTTTCCTCCTCTAAAAACTAGGCGCATCTTATGGTCAGGTGCGTCTTATGGAGTGAAAAATACGGTAATCTGTTCTTAAACCAAGGCACCACTGTACAGAGTCTGACAAAGGGTACATCTGCACTGTCTGTACAGACTTGCAGTGGCTCTCCGGGGGTTCAGCCCGGAGTCTTTTGCAGCACTGCCTGGAGTTGCCATTAGCTCTACCACTTTCCCCAACTTTGCTTGCTTGTCTGTTGTAACTAACTCTGTAATTAGAAAGCGAAAGGGCAATACATGCCTACACTCGTTTCTGTTTGAGACCTGCTCCCTCAGTAATTTGACGGAAGAGCTGATCTGCTGTCTTTAGGATTTCAGAGCCCAAATGAAACTGAGTGGTACTGACTACAATGGTAGCTCAGGTTACAGACACTTCAGGTTACAGACTCCGCTGACCCAGAAATAGTACCTCTGGTTAAGAACTTTGCTTCAGGATGAGAACAGAAATCGTGTGCTGGCAGCAGCGGGAGGCCCCATTAGCTAAAGTGGTACCTCAGGTTAAGAACAATTTAAGGTTAAGAACGGACCTCCAGAATGAATTAAGTTCTTAACCGAGGTACCACTGTACATGCTTATTAGGAACACTCTCAGGGCCCTTGAAAGTGCAAGAAATTAGATTTTCTTATTCTTAAGATAAAGAAATCATGGGTGAGCACGGCCAGGACTTGCTAGCACCTCTCAGGTGGGCGCCATTGCCATTCTAAGAGAATGACGGGAGCATTCATGGTGAGTTTTGGCACCTCTTTTTCTGGAAAAATAGCACTGCGTGTTTGAGAAACAGTGAAATATCATAAATTCCGAATTCACTGAAATTGATGGCTTTTATATGGCTTTTTTATGTTATTTTTCTGCTGCACCAGTCATATCAAAATAGTGTTCTTTGCCACCCATAATGCCAGTGATACTAATCCAATCAGATAGCAAATGGTTGAATGTGACTAAGGGAGCAGTAGAGCTCAGACTGAATTATGGAAACATACTGTCATATCTGCTGATCATGATTTAACTGCCCTGCTCTCAAATAAACCTAAGCAAGGATAAAAGCATCGTTGTGTTGTTTGGTTTGCCCTGAAAGTACTCAAGCGTAATGTGCGGTGCAATGAAATTAATGTGGTGTCCTCATAAACCATAGATTAGAGCCGCCACTCTGCAAACGAACACACCGCAAGTGGGGAAAAAGGCAGCAGACTGGTTTTCCAGACTTTCACCAAATGGCCCCTGTAGACAAGAATGTTTCAAGGTTCAATCGTGGGATTCATGCCCAATGAAATAACACAAGGGACCTGATGGCTTGCACTATGTTGTGAGAGCTTATGAATCCACTGCAAAAGAGTGTATGAATACGACAGGCTACTGGAGACATCTGATCTCTTAACAACTCATGGACAACTCATTTATTTATCACTTGATGCTCTAGTAAACTAGCTCTTAGTGAATGCAGAGGCAGTTCCCGGGGGGGACGGGGACTCCTCTCATTCCTTCCAACATTCCAGTTCTAGTTCATGCAATGCAACATTTGTATTTATTATTATAATCTCTGTACTTGTGAGATCCCCCAGTTACCGTATTTTTTGCTCCAGAAGGCGCACCGGACCATAGGGCGCACCTAGTTTTTAGAGGGGGAAATCAAGAAAAAAAATATTATTCCCCCCCATCCCCAAAGAGCAGCGTACAGGCTGCGCGCAACCTCTCCCTGCCAGAGGGGCTGCGCGCGGCTATCCCTGAAGCCTTCCGAGCACAGCGCAAGTTCCCGCTGCGCTCCTCAGGCTTCGGGTTCCTTTTGCTGAAGTCGGGAGAGCAAGACTCTCCTGGCTTCGTCGAAAGGAACCTGAAGCCTCCATAACGCAACGGGAACTCACGCTGCTCTCCAAAGGCTTCAGGCGGCTATCCCTGAAGCCTGGAGAGTGAGAGGGGTCGGTGCACACCGACGCCTCTCGCTCTCCAGGCTTCAGAGAAAGCAACGCAAAGCCTCTGGAGCACGGAGGGAGAGCTCCCTCTGCGCTTTGGAGGCTTCGCATTGCTATCGCTGAAGCCAAAGAGCCTGCATTCGCTCCATAGGACGCACACACATTTCCCCTTAATTTTTGGAGGGGAAAAAGTGCGTCCTACAGAGCGAAAAATACGGTAATAACTGGTCCACAGTGACTGAGTGAGACTGTTGGTCCATCTAGCTCAGAAAGCATTCTCTAAAGTTTCACGGCATATCCCAGCCTTACCTGAAGATGCCAGGGATCAAAGCTTCCCCCTTACAGACCTCCGCGTTTGCTGAAAATAACCTTCTAAGTTTTTTGCTATCTGCCTTCAATTTAATTCCCCACCTACATCTTCAATAATGGAATTATGAGAATTAGCATTAGTCATAGATGAATATGATGCACTGCGCTGTCATCGAACCTGACAAAGACAAAGGAGAATGTTTTTGGCAGAAAAATAATACTGAACACATCTGATAGTTTTCTAAAAATTGTAAAGATCTGGGCTTGATGGAATGAGACCACAGACTCATTGCAACCTGGTTCTCCTAAATCTAACAACCTTAAATACATTGCAGCTTATGCAATCATTTCTCCTATGCTGGTGGCTCTCCAAATATTGTTGTGACTCTTTACTCCCGATGGTGTGAAAGAAAGAGATATAATCCAGCAACCTCTGGAGAAGCAGGTACCCCATCCAGCTCTGAGCAACCCTGGCCTCTGTTTAGCACAGGGGTCAGCAACCTTTTTCAGCCGTGGGCTGGTCCACTGTCCCTCAGACCATGTGGTGGGCTGGACTATATTTGGGGGGGGGGGGGGATGAAAGAATTCCTATGCCCCAGAGATGCATTTTAAATAAAAGCACACATTCTACTCATGTAAAAACACGCTGATTCCTAGACCGTCCGCAGGCTGGATTTAGAAGGCGATTCGGCTGCATCCAGCCCCTGGGCCTTAGGTTGCCTACCCCTGGTTTAGCAAGACCACAACCTAAGTTCACACCTAATAATAATAATAATAATAATAATAATAATAATAATTTATTATTTATACCCCGCCCATCTGGCTGGGTTTCCCCAGCCACTCTGGGCGGCTTCCAACTGAATATTAAAAACAGTACAGCATCAGACATTAAAAACTTCCCTAAAGACGCCTGCCTTCAGTTGTCTTTTAAAAGTAAAATAGTTGTTTATTGCCTTGACATCTGCTGGGAGGGAGTTCCACAGGGCAGGCACCACTACCGAGAAGGCCCTCTGTCTGGTTCCCTGTAACTTTACTTCTTGCAATGAGGGAACCGCCAGAAGGCCCTCGGCACTGGATCTCAGTGTCCGGGCTGAACGATGGGGGTGGAGACGCTCCTTCAGGTATACAGGACCGAGGCCGTTTAGGGCTTTAAAGGTCAGCACCAACACTTTGAATTGTGCTCGGAAACGTACTGGGAGCCAATGCAGATCTCTCAGAACCGGTGTTATGTGGTCCCGGCGGCCACTCCCAGTCACCAGTCTAGCTGCCGCATTCTGGATTAAGTGCAGTTTCCGGGTCACCTTCAAAGGTAGCCCCACGTAGAGCGCGTTGCAGTAGTCCAAGCGGGAGATAACTAGAGCATGCACCACTCTGGCAAGACAGTCTGCGGGCAGGTAGGGTCTTAGCCTGCTTACCAGGTGGAGCTGGTAGACAGCTGCCCTGGACACAGATTAACCTGTGCCTCCATGGACAGCTGTGAGTCCAAAATGACTCCCAGGCTGCGCACCTGGTCCTTCAGGGGCACAGTTACCCCATTCAGGACCAGGGAATCCCCCACACCTGCCCGCCCCCTGTCCCCCCAAAACAGTACTTCTGTCTTGTCAGGATTCAACCTCAATCTGTTAGCCGCCATCCATCCTCCAACCGCCTCCAGGCACTCACACAGGACCTTCACCGCCTTCACTGGTTCTGATTTAAAGGAGAGGTAGAGCTGGGTGTCATCTGCATACTGATGAACACCCAGCCCAAACCCCCTGATGATCTCTCCCAGCGGCTTCATATAGATATTAAAAAGCATGGGGGAGAGGACGGAACCCTGAGGCACCCCACAAGTGAGAGCCCAGGGGTCTGAACACTCATCCCCCCCCCCACTTTCTGGACACGGCCCAGGAGAAAGGAGCGGATCCACCGTATAACAGTGCCCCCAGCTCCCAGCCCCTCTAGACGGTCCAGAAGGATGTTATGGTCGATGGTGTCAAAGGCTGCTGAGAGATCCAGCAGAACTAGGAAACAGCTCTCACCTTTGTCCCTAGCCCGCCGGAGATCATCAACCAGCGCGACCAAGGCAGTTTCAGTCCCTTGAGGTGACTTCCATAAACATGTAAGTACAATGAATGCAACTAGCTCCCTTTTATCTCCTGTCACTCTTCCCATGTTAAAGGAAAGCCTCTCCACTTAACCCAAAGCAACAGCAAATGTTACAAAGGATTAACAACCTTAAGTGAGGGATTAAAGGATTACGTTACCTGCAGGGATCTGCCTTTTATTTGCGAGAGGAACTGAACAATCTGGTCATTCTCCCGGAGAAATGCCAGCTTTTCTTCATTCCTACTATCTGGTGACTGACATTGCAACATGACATGTCTGTTTGTCTCCAGAACTGCTTCTGGACCCCATTGCTACCTCCTATGCTGTGGAAGCAAATTCCATGCCATCATAACAGAACAAAGCCACAATACGAGCTTCCTGGCAGTCGTGTTGCTGCCGCTGAACAGAGGTGGCACTCAGCTGAGGTGGCAGAATGGCTGGAGACGTGTGGGTTCCTTGGTGAAACCCATAGCTGTCAAGCTTCCCTTATTTGGAGGGACAGTCCCTTATTCCAGCGCCATGTCCTGCTGCTGTCCCTTATTGATGGATGTCCCTTAAATGATGTCCCTTAAATTTCAAAGGAAGCAGCTCCTCTCCCTCCCTCCCTGCCGGCCAGGGAGGAGGGAGGCTCCACCTGTGTTGCTTGGCTGTGTTGCTCACCCAATAAGAAGTCTAAGAACAACTGGGGGGGTGAAGCTTGCATGCCTTGTGCTGATCAAATCGACTGTGTTGCCTGGGGACTCGCCTTTGCTCAGCGCTTCCCAGCGGAGAGGTGACGGTGGTTTTCCTTGAGGCTTCATTTGGCTGCTGGCTGGGCTTTCTGCCTTTGGCTCAGAGGGGCTCAGAAGTTGAACAAACCTGTGCTGAGTGCTCGGATCAGAATCGGATGGATACGTCATCGACGGCCCACTCACCCTTGCCGGCAAAAAGGTCTGTCTGGAGCAGGGGCACATGGTGGGGGAAAAGGAAAGGAGATCTTGTGGGGGGGGGAGGCTGTGTGTGTGTGGCTAGTTAATGCAAGCTGAGGGGTTTTTTGAATGCTGGACACCATTTTGTTGCACGTGCTGCTGCAAACTTTGCAGTGCAAAGCCAGGCCGGGGAGCCATCTTAAGTTGAGGCTGCATAGGCCTTGTGGTGCATGTGATTCAGATTCTATTCAGTTGAACCTCTGGTTACAAAGTTGGTTGGACAGTGTTCTCGAAGCTACCAGCATGAGTTTGACCAGACTGAAGGACAGGAAGACTTGAGTACCTGGAACAGGTGAGGCTGCAGGTCCCTTATTTTGGCTGCTGATCCCTTATTTTCAAGGCTGCTGGTCCCTTATTTTCAAATCTGTAAGTTGACAGCTATGGTGGAACCAATCTGGTGTTCCTGCTTGGGCATCCACACAGCCCCGACCAAACTATTCTCATTTCCTCTTCCCAGCAAGCAGTAACAACACGACCGCTTGGAAGTTAGAACTTCACTCTGACCCACCAGGCAAGCTGCTTCAGAGGCGTGGCCAACATTGGCTAATGGTCAGGTAAGGTAAAGATAAGGTAAAGGACCTCTGGACGGTTAAGTCCAGTCAAAGGCGACTATGAGGTTGCGGCGCTCATCTCGCTTTTCAGGCTGAGGGAGCCGGCGTTTGTCCACAGACAGCTTTCCGGGTCATGTGGCCAGCAGGACTAAACCGCTTCTGGCGCAACAGGACACCATGATGGAAACCAGAGTGCACGGAAACACCCTTTACCTTCCCGCCACAGCGGCCCCTATCTTTCAAACTGGTGTGCTTTCAAACTGCTAGGTTGGCAGGAGCTGGGACAGAGCAATGGGAGCTCACTCCATCGCGGGGATTCGAACCACTGACCTTCTGATAGGCAAGCCCAAGAGGCTCAGTGGTTTAGACCAGGGATGTCCAACAGGTCTATTGCTGTTTGTTTCCCCTGCGATCTGCTGGTGATGTTCCTCTTTTTCTCCCCAAACCAATAAAAATGGGAGTTGGGAGTTGGCCACCTGCGTCCCAATCAGTCAGGGAAGATTGGAGTTGCAGTCTGACAACACCTAGCAGGCCACAGGTTCCCCATTTAAGGAAAAAGATGTTACAGAAAAAGGACATTTTGTGGCGCTAATTGCAGAATAATTACAGGACAAATGCCCAGATGGTCTCAGCTGTACTTTGGCTGCTTGCACTCTGGTGAATTATGGAGGACACTGTTTGCACTGTCTTTCTGCATTGGGTCCCATTTCTGCAACAGGCAGGATCAAGCAGTCCCCAGACTGTACTAACTGCAGGTGGAAGGCTGCATATTTGAATGCTCCCAGACTACAAACGCAACAAGGAAGACTCGGTTAAAACACACCCCACGATGTGCTGCTGTTCCACAGGCAATGAGTCCCCAGTGGAAGAGTGAATTCAAACATACTTTCTTCATCCTGCAGTCTAAATTGGTACAGTCCGGGGAGGGGGGGGGGAATAGCAAATTGACCAATGAATACAGGCATGTGTGCACGGCACACAGAGTATTTTCTTCACTACACGACATTTGACGAAGAATGCCAGCATCAGTCTCTGAAAAGCAGGCACAACGCTGGGGTGAATTTGAGCTGGGCTCAGATGCTTAAGGCGTGGTCGTGAGAAAGTCTGCTGCTACTTAGACTTGGCCCCTGAAGTCCAATTAGCATTCTTCTTAAGTACAAGCAGATTTCCACACACACACACATCCTTTAGCGTTACTCCACCCTGTCGCTCTACCTGACAACGCAAAGTAACAACATTTCTCCTGAATATTGAAGCGCATGAAGCTGAAAATCAACGACGGACACATATTTCATCCAAGAAATCTATGCGAGTTGCCAATCCCTCCTGAGATTTAGGCGGAGCACTCCATCTGTGGGAAAGTCGAAGCGGAGCAAACGAGACATTGGATGGGACGTTGGCGCAGCAACAATATGGATGGAATCAACTGACTGGAGACTGAGCTCAAGATCCCACAATCTAGGAGGCTCCACATAAGGTAAAGGTAAAGGGACCCCTGACCATTAGGTCCAGTTGTGACCGACTATGGGGCTGCGGCGCTCATCTCGCTTTATTGGCCGAGGGAGCCGGTGTACAGCTTCCGGGTCATGTGGCCAGCATGACTAAGCCGCTTCTGGCAAACCAGAGCAGCGCACGGAAATGCCATTTACCTTCCTGCCGGAGTGGTACCTATTTATCTACTTGCACTTTGACGTGCTTTCGAACTGCTAGGTTGGCAGGAACAGGGACCGAGCAACGGCAGCTCACCCCGTCGCGGGGATTCGAACTGCCGACCTTCTGATCAGCGAGTCCTAGGCTCTGTGGTTTAACCCACAGCGCCGCATGTGTTATATTCAGTGGGTGTATACATATTTTGAGCGGTGAGCCCTCAGGCACCATTTTTGGGCTGAATGCACAACCTTCCTCAGAGAACTGAGCTCAGGGGAAGTAGGTTCTTCCTCTTTCCATCTAAAGCTAGCTGTGCAGAGCTCCGACTGCCACATGGGTCAGCCAGCCACAATCAGGGGCACCAAGTATAGGGGGCTCTGGGTGCCTGAGCACCCACAAAAAATTCATTGTGAGTGCTCAGCACCCGCACTGCAGCCCCCCAAACTTCCGAGGTCTTGCAAGGCCTCGGATAGCATCTCTGAGGCCCTGGAGATGCTTTCTGAGGTCTTCCTAGACCTTGGAACCTGACTTCCGGTGCCACTGAAAGTCAGGTTCCGAGGTCTTGGCAGGGGGCGCAGCATCATGACATCATGTTATGACATCACGCCATGACATCATGCACACTGGGCACCCTTAACCTGGGGCCCAACTTGGATCTCCTGCCACACCTCTCCTTTCCAGCAAGGTATGCAAACAATCACATAGTTATTCCTCCACCCTGAAGCAGCATTTCCAGTATGCTTACTGGGCAGGTAGGGGAGATGGGATTGACTGGCTTGCAAAAAGAGGTGCTGAGAAACATTTGAGTGCCTAAGCATGCTGGGTGTCTGATTAATTATTTTAAAAGCTGGAAGCTTGTATGGGTCAGCACCGGATTCAGAGAAAGATATGCTAGTGACTACTGGAGCAAAGGTGAGGAAAGCCAGGGTTGGAATTATGGAGAGGACTTCATTAAATGCACCACCCCAAACCCATGACATCCCTCATTATTATATATATATATTAACCCATACCCTCTGATCGTCATCTAAAAATAGTAGCCAAGTGGATGTAACACAGAACACACCCTCAGCAGGAGAAAAAGAATTGACTGTTAAAGGTTGGATCAGTCTGTGTTCACCTTTACAATAGAATTAGCATTGTTTTCCTACATTTCATGACTATGCCATGAGGAATAAGGAGATTTTACCTTTGGGTTAGACTAGCTGGTGGTAAACAAAACTAGGAAAGAAAACCCAGATTCTGGCCTCGTTTGTGTGCAATATTGAGCTATGGTGAAGGTTAAGTAATGTTATAAACCAACAACAAACCAGTCTTGGCTTATGAGTGTGGTTTGTTTGTGGTTAATAAATCATAGTTAAGTCACTGGGCTGGGTTTTAGATGATCAGCTGAAACTATGACTGACTCAACTATGTGCCTCAGTTTCAAAGGCAGAATTGACGTCCAGTGGGAATTTCTGAAAGGCAGAGCTTAGTCCTGGATCTTAGGCAAGTCAATAGAAATATTGTGGGTTTTTTGGCGTTTTTGTAAAAAACCAAAACAAAAAAACCACACAACTCAACAATTTGGGGGTCTTCCTAAAAAAAGCTTCCGGTGTGTCCTGGTTTTCACTTTTTGAAATACAGCAACCTTACAAGCTCTGAATTGTCCCACCTCAGCCTCACTTCTGCTAAGAGCTGCATTTGTGCTTCCTGTTATCCAACAGCAACATAAAATTCCACTTGCCAGCACATTTGCTTGCAGCTGCTAACTTGGCAGCCTTCTGAAACTGAGAAAATTTTCCAGACTGTGGTGGAAACATTACAACAAAGCTTTCATCATCAGCGGCCTTGATGGCCTTGAAAAAGAAATATCGCCCAACGTTCTTCCCATGTGACGAGAACACTAAAAGCTCTCCTACATTGACTTCCTCCGGGATACTGTGAGCCAATCTTTTTTTTAATTTAAAGGTAACGGCCTATCGTTTATCCTCAGCTTCCTCTCAGTGCTGATGGAGTGGGATATTCACAGATGCAGCCGGCAGTCCGAGTGCTTCTGGATCCATCAGCACAGAAAATGAGACGGTATTCTGCGTCAAGCTGCCATGTGATGAAAGAGCTATTCTAAAACTCACTGGGAGATGTATCTTTCCAATAATGGAAGACCGATTTACCTGCGGCTACAACCATCCCTGTTGTATGCTGCATGACACACATGAAACTGAAGGAGGGCTTGGTCTCCAGATGTCAGGGACCGTGCTGAGGAGGGCTGCACTGAGGAGGAATGGTGGGAGCCACCCCTCCCCCTGATCACGATCCTGAATCTTCCCAGGAGCAGTAGGACAGTATAGATTTGGAACAGTGGTTTGCAGAAGGGCATAGTTCCGAAGGCAGAAGCTGGGAACTACTGGATGGGGAACAACTAGCAGAAGAAACACTAAGAGAGAAAGAGTTAACAGATTCACAGTCTCTGGACAGCATTCACCCCCCCCCTTCCCCAAAGACACAGAGAGCTCAGAAAGTGTTAGTGCAGAGGGTACAAGCTCAGATTACAAGATGTAGGAGTGATGTAGTTTAATAGGGACGGAGGGGGTGTAAGCCTTAATTGGGAGCACCGCCATTTCTAGGAGATGTGTTCTCTGTTCTCTCTCTGCGATTATAAAAGTTTCTAACTGGTAAGACGTTCCTTTCTTTGATCTTCTTATCTGCCACGGGGGAAGGCGATCCCCCAAAGCCTGACACCAGAAGGGGCTACACAGCACATCCAGAAGTGCATACCCATTAAAATTCCTCAGATGAAAATAGGCACATTTCTCACTCCTCGCAACTGACCCTCCTTGATCCCACCTCTATTTTTTGTGTCCCCCCACCCCACAGAGCATTTCCTACCAGAAGGGTGAGTGTCACCAGCACAACGCCATTGGGGCACAGCTCACACGCCCTCCTGAGAAAACTCCTTAATCCTGATTTGATTTAATTCTTTGGTAGATTTACAAAACACACCCACCCACACACACCCCAATAAATCAAGTTGAGAAAGGGGAAGGTTGGAAGCGGACACACAAAGCATTTATAGATGATCGATAGATAGATGATAGAAATGATTGATAGATCAATAGATCGATAGATGATAGATAGAGAGATGATGACAGATGATAGATGCTGATCTATAGACGATGATAGATAGATAGACTCTGCTAACCCAGAAATAGTACCTCGGGTTAAGAACTTTGCTTCAGGATGAGAACAGAAATCGTGCTCCGGCGGTACAGCAGCAGCAGAAGGCCCCATTAGCTAAAGTGGAACAGTTTCAGGTTAAGAACGGACCTCCAGAACGAATTAAGTTCTTAACTCGAGGTACCACTGTATTGTGCAGAACAGTCTTCCCATTACAACATCTTTCCATAGAGTATGTTTGTGTTCTCTTTACAGACTAGACCAGGGTGGGGGACTTGTTGCTGGACAAAGATAAAGGACTAGGGCTGATGGGACTTGGAGTCAAACAACATCTGGAGGAATCAAACAACATCTGGAGGGCAATAGGTTCCCCACCCCTGATCTAGAACTAAGAAAAAGATCTCTGCGGTTCCCAAAAGCACACTGGGATTTGGCAGGTCCACTTAGCTGTGACTGCATGTTAGCAATGTGATGTTCTGATCAAGCAAAGGAAGAGCCAGATGTGGACAGTGGGAGCCAATGATGCTGAACAACCAATGCCAGATGCAGTTAAACATCTGTGTTTCCATTTGCGTCCACATTGCCATACTCATATGGGCCCCATTGGTCATGAAGAACCTGGATGTGTCTCTTGATATGGATGGGAATGTATATCCCCATCCAAAGTTGACTAATATGTAAGACAATACGCTTGTAACTGGACGTGGATCAGGGCCATAGCATTTTAAGAATGTAAAGCTGCCAATCTGTACTGATTATGCATATCTGACTATGTTCACATACTGCAGCACAGAATACTTCAGTGTTTAAAAAATGATCCAGATCATAAGAGGCAAATTGTTACATAAATAGGGCTGCCATACATCCGGATTTTCATGGACATTATCAGGATTTCAAAGGTGGAACTGATGTCCGGGGGGAATTTCCGAAAAGTGGCAGATCTTAGGCAAGTCAATCGGAAAATTGTGTTTTTGTCCAAAAGATGCTCAACAACTTTCAGGGTGTCCTGGTTTTTACTTTTTGAAATATGGCAAACCTATATGTAAAGGTTATTCCATATCCTGGTGTTTTTAAGAAATGAAAACGTCTTTCTCTTTTACGGGCCGATAAACGGTGGCACACTTGACAGACAAGAACACACACACAAAAACCACACACACAAACATTTAATCTCTGAAAGGCTGTCAAAAGTTTCAGAGCAATAATTCAGAAAATTCGGAAGAACAGTCTGCAACCCAAATCCAGTGTTACACATTTAAAGACAGCGGAGTCATTGTTGACTACAGCTGCAATCAGAAATGCACATACTAATGAGTGAACTTAGTGTGATTTACTTCCATGTAGATGTGCTACTTTTTGGCATGTTATATAGAGTGCAAAGGCCAACCAAGGACTGACTGAGAGAATTCTGCTGGAATTCTAAGACAAGCCTACTGGAGACACAATAAATAATACCAATATTACTCACAAACTTACGTTTGTCTACACCCTAAGTAACTTGTTCGGTTCCTACATTCCAGCTCCAATTGAATAGTCACTATCTGCCCATTTTGTATTTCCTTTCCCTCTGACTTCATTGCTTACAGTCCACTCCCCACAATTCTATATATGTTTCCTGTGTGTGTTTGTGAACATACAAGGACACACCCCTGAAACTGAAGGTTGCTCTCCATGCATGTGATGGAGTGCTCTTAATTATTACTACAATCAATTTATTGATCACATTCTAAACCACCATCTCAAGGTGATTTCTGCATAAAAGAATTGAAAAACAATTGAAAACACAAAGGCAACAATAATTTAAAACAAGACTCAAACCCTAACAAGTGGACACTCATGGTAAAGATTATTTTTAAGTTGATGATGATGATGACTAAAATTATTAGAATTTATATAATGCCCTATACCTGGAGGTCTCAGGGCAGTTCACAGAAAAGATCAACATAAAAACCACAATATATATACAGTGGTACCTAGGGCTAAGAACTTAATTCATTCTGGAGGTCCGTTCTTAACCTGAAACTGTTCTTAACCAGAGGTACCACTTTAGCTAATGGGGCCTCCCACTGCTGCCACACCCCTGCCGCATGATTTCTGTTCTCATCCTGAAGCAAAGTTCTTAACCCGAGGTACTATTTCTGGGTTAGCGGAGTCTGTAACCTGAAGCGTCTGTAACCTGAAGCATCTGTAACCCAAGGTACCACTGTAATCAAAATAAAAGCAACCCAATAACACCCCCTCAGAAAAGAGCCACATTTTAAAAGGGCATAGGATGCCAATCAGATCAACCAAAGGCCTGGTTGAAAAGGAATGTTTTTGCCTGGCACCTAAAGATGTATAATGAAGGTGCCAGGCAAACTTCCTTGGGGAGAGCATTCCACAGATGGGGAGCCACTGCAGAGAAAGTCCCGTTCTCGTGTTGCCACCCTCCAGACCTCCTGAGGAGGATCCGCAACAAATTAAGGTCCACAACACAGTTGAGGATAGACAACCGAGTAAAAACAGCAAAAGAGTAAAAGAAAGCACTTTGTTCCGCTGCACGTTCAAGCCTCATTAAATTCCTTAAAAGTGTAGAAAGAAGAAAGGGGCATGTCAAAACTAAAGACAGACAAATTACAATACCCCTGGGAGCGTGTAGATGGGGGCTACTGAATGACAGGCATTTGAAAAGCAGCAGAAGTATACTGTGAACAGCGATAGCCATTATGTGAGCAACGCTCGCAACCTTGTCAGGAGAATCGATAAGAATAATGTTCTTTTTGCAAAGCACCAGAGCATAGAACGAAACGCAAACTGCAACTGACTGAATTTGAGTTCAGATAATGGGCTGAAAAGGCAAACAGGTTCAGAACAGTGAGACTCATCCTTATCAGGGACAGTATAAGAAATGGGGGTAGGTCTAAAGCAAGGGTAGGCAAACTAAGGCCCGGGGGCCGGATCCGGCCCAATCGCCTTCTAAATCCAGCCCACGGACAGTCCAGGAATCAGCGTGTTTTTACATGAGTAGAATGTGTCCTTTTATTTAAAATGCATCTCTGGGTCATTTGTGGGGCTTAGGAATTTGTTCATATTCCCCCCCCCCAAAAAAAAATAGTCGGGCCTCCCACAAGGTCTGAGGGACAGTGGACCAGCCCCCTGTTGAAAAAGTTTGCTGACCGCTGGTCTAGAAGAAGAAGAAGAAGAGTTTGGATTTGATATCCCGCCTTTCACTCCCTTTAAGGAGTCTCAAAGCGGCTAACATTCTCCTTTCCCTTCCTCCCCCACAACAAACACTCTGTGAGGTGAGTGGGGCTGAGAGACTTCAAAGAAGTGTGACTGGCCCAAGGTCACCCAGCAGCTGCATGTGGAGGAGCGGAGACGCGAACCCGGTTCCCCAGATTACGAGACTACCGCTCTTAACCACTACACCACACTGGCTCTCTAAAGGAAGGGAATGCCATAGCTGTGAGGCTACCATAGAGAAGAGCAGGTGGCGCTGTGGACTAAACCCCTGAGCCTCTTGGGCCTGACGATCAGAAGGTTGGCGGTTCGAATCCGCGTGACAGGGTGAGCTCCCATTGCTCTGTCCCAGGTCCTGCCAACCTAGCAGTTCGAAAGCACACCAGTGTGAGTAGATAAATAGGTACTGCTGCGGCAGAAAGGTAAACGGCGTTTCCGTGCACTCTGGCTTCCATCACGGTGTCCCATTGCACCAGAAGCAGTTTAGTCCTGCTAGCCACATGACCTGGAAAGCTGTCTGTGGACAAACGCCCTCGGCCTGAAAGCGAGATGAGCACCGCAACCCCATATTCCCCTTTGACTGTACTTAACCATCTAGGGTGTGACGTTAACATATGAGAGTGCTGGAGGGAAAATAGTTAAACAGGTTACCCAATCAGAACCCGGGGGGTGGAGTCAGAGGGACTATGAAACCAGCTCTGGGAGGGGCGAAGGGGGAGTTCGTTGGGAGTTGGGTGGTTGGTTGGAGTGGGAGTGAATTGGGATAGAGTCTGTGGGTAGGTTGAGTTAGTGTAGTGAAATAAGCTGAGTCAGCAACAGTTGGGAGCTAGGAAGACAAGTACAGTGGTGCCTCGCAAGACGAAATTAATCCGTTCCGCGAGAGTCTTCGTCTAGCGGTTTTTTCGTCTTGCGAAGCAAGCCCATTGACGGATTAGCGCTATTAGCGCTATTAGCGGTTTAGCGGCTATTAAAGGCTTAAAGGCTTAGGGATTAGCTGCTAAAGGCTATTAAAGGCTATTAAAGGCTTAGCAGATTAGATAAAGGGGAAAGCGAAAAAAATCTCAAGACTCGCAAGGTATTTTCGTCTTGCGAAGCAAGCCCATAGGGGAATTCGTCCTGTGAAGCAACTTCAAAACGGAAAACCCTTTCGTCTAGCGGTTTTTCTGTCTTGCGAGGCATTTGTCTTGCGGGGCACCACTGTAAATATCTGAGAGTTGGTTTAGTGAGTGAGAGCAGGTAGCGGAAGTTATAGGTCTGGATAGGCACCCCATGATTGTACAGTGGTACCTCAGGTTACATACGCTTCAGGTTACATACGCTTCAGGTTACATACGCTTCAGGTTACAGACTCCGCTAACCCAGAAATATTACCTCGGGTTAAGTACTTTGCTTCAGGATGAGAACAGAAATCGGGCTCCGGCAGCGCGGCAGCAGCAGGAGGCCCCATTAGTTAAAATGGTGCTTCAGGTTAAGAACAGTTTCAGGTTAAGTACGGACCTCCGGAATGAATTAAGTACTTAACCTGAGGTACCACTGTAATTGATGGAGACTGTTTATGGAACCACATGCTTGTTAAACTGCAATAAATAAACAGAAGTTTATGTTCCAATTTAACCCTGACTGGACTCAGTATTTTACCAGGTAGGGCCTGGGTGGTGGCAGTGAGAAATAAAGTGGTGGCACTGGGATCAATAGATGGTGAAACGTCCAGGGACCCTGCGTGATCGCCACACAGGGGTCCTTTACCTTTTTACCATTTTAAGAGAAGAGCTTCTCCCCCATGACCTTAGGTGACTTAGATGATGGGCACACCAGAAGAGGCTTCGCCACAGATCTCAAAGTTCAGGCACGATGCCGATAGTGGAAGTGAACTCTTGCATAAATAAGACCCCGTGCTTCTGTTTCTGCGAGCTTTGCTCAATGGAAGCACTCTGCATGCTATCCGCATTAAAAGCAACTCTTCCGTTTTCAAATATAAAAAGTACAGCAGCATCCATCTGTGTCCATCTACGCTGAAGTGTAAACATGGACGGTGGACAGGGGTGGGGTGGGGAGGAGAACAAAAGAAACAATAATAAAAATAAAAGAAATCCCTGAAAGGGGTCAATGTACACAAAGAATTGCAAAATGTAAGCAAAGCAGACGAGAATAGACAGAAATAGTATTATGAAAGTTTTCGGCTGGAGTTACATGACTGGGAGGGATGTCAGAACTCAGAAGACATCTGGAGACGAATTGGCAACCGAACCTGAGCTATTAAAACAATTGTTAGGGCAGAGGAGTACTGCCAAGTGCGCTCAGTTGTGTCCCATCTAGATAGTGTCTCTGTGTAGCAACACATCAACAAAGCCAGTTTGCAGCCAAAAGAAGGAAACTGAGGATTTTCCTCTGTCAGCTGTGCTGCATCCAGGATTTGAGATGCCCTGGGGAAAGCTGGTCTCAGCGGGGGTCTCTTTCTTCAGCAGGCCTCCGCCTTGCTGGCATCGCCCGCTGCTTCTCCTTGCTACTGTTGCCAACTGACTTATGAGAGAGCGAAAGAGACAAAAAGACGAGACAGACAGACAGAGATGCTAGACAGACATACAGTGGTACCTCAGGTTACATACGCTTCAGGTTACAGACTCCGCTAACCCAGAAATAGTGCTTCAGGTTAAGAACTTTGCTTCAGGATGAGAACAGAAACCGGGCTCCGGTGGCAGCGGGAGGCCCCATTAGCTAAAGCGGTGCTTCAGGTTAAGAACAGTTTCAGGTTAAGTACGGACCTCCGGAATGAATTAAGTACTTAACCTGAGGTACCACTGTAGAGGGAGAAGGGAAGACGAGATAAGAAAGCAGAATTTCGATCACCACCGTCCACAGCTTTTATACATGGTTGCTCTTTAACTTGCCTGAATGGGCAGGAGGGATTCCATTTCAAAATGTATGAATCTGGAGTGTGTTCTGGAGCCACCAGGACTGGGTGGTAGACCCTCCCAAACCTTTGCATTTGCATCATAAATAGAAGGGCCGGGGGGGATGTAATAGTTGGGTGGGTTTTTTTGCATATACAGTGGTACCTCGGGTTAAGAACTTAATTCGTTCCAGAGGTCCGTTCTTAACCTGAAATAGTTCTTAACCTGAAGCACCACTTTAGCTAATGGGGCCTCCCGCTGCCACCGCGCCACATTTCTGTTCTCATCCTGAAGCAAAGTTCTTAACCCGAGGTACTATTTCTGGGTTAGCAGAGTCTGTAACCTGAAGCATCTGTAACCCGAGGTACCACTGTATTCATAAACTGTATTCAGAACCAGGCAGAGGGCCTTCTCGGTAGTGGCACCCGCCCTGTAGAACACCCTGCCATCAGATGTAAAGGAAATAAACAACTGACTTTTAGAAAACATCTGAAGGCAGCCCTGTTTAGGGAAGTTTTTATTATTTCATGTTTTATCATGTTTTTAATATTCTGTTGGGAGCTGCCCGGAGTGGCTGGGGAAACCCAGCCAGATGGGTGGGGTATAAATAATAAAATCATCACCATCATCATCATCATCACCAGTGCTATTCACATTTCACAGAATTCTATGTTCAGGGTAAGTTGCTGTACTTCATATCAGACCAATGGAGACAGACAGCTTATTTGGTGATATTACCCCATGAACATGGTATGCCAGATCCCATCACCACCCAATAAGAAATAAATATGGCAGGTAGGGCAAATCTGAACCCCTTGCTGCCTGACTACAACATCTGTTAACCCACACCAATGGCCACACTGATGGGAGTCAAACAAAATCTAGAGGTCTACAGTTCCTCCATCCTTGATATAAGGCGACCACTTGCAAAGTGGTCTGTCTATTTAATTGTAGCAGGATGAAAATATTCCTTTCTCCCAATCAACAGTCCTCTTTCTTTTGTTGTTGTTGTTTAGTCGTTTAGTCGTGTCTGACTCTTCGTGACCCCATCGACCAGAGCACGCCAGGCACTCCTGTCTTCCACTGCCTCCCGCAGTTTGGTCAAACTCATGCTGGTAGCTTCGAGAACACTGTCCAACCATCTCGTCCTTCTCCTTGTGCCCTCTATCTTTCCCAACATCAGGGTCTTTTCCAGGGAGTCTTCTCTTCTCATGAGGTGGCCAAAGTATTGGAGCCTCAGCTTCAGGATCTGTCCTTCCAGTGAGCACTCAGGGCTGATTTCCTTCAGAGTGGATACGTTTGATCTTCTTGCAGTCCATGGGACTCTCAAGAGTCTCCTCCAGCACCATAATTCAAAAGCATCAATTCTTTGGTGATCAGCCTTCTTTATGGTCCAGCTCTCACTTCCATACATCACTACTGGGAAAACCTCTTTCTTTTATATCTGGCCCATTTAGCAACGAATCAGATAGGATTGTTGAAGACACCAACCCGAATGGCCAGCATTGTCAAAGTCACCTACTGTGGCAGAAAACTCAATTTGGGTCCGCTTGCCACTTGTACCATCCTGCGACAAAACATGTGGTCTGCATCCTTTTTTTCAAACAGGATTTGGAAGCTAAAGTCATGGAATTATTTTAGTGGGAAATGCTGGAGGTGATGCGTTTGATATATTTCGTTATCTGTAATAATATTTGTTCGCTGCCTCTCTTTGCTAACAGATATCCTAGAAGGAGAACGTTGGTTAAAACAATCAGTAAACAGCAAAACAACAATCCTATGAGTACCGTGTGTGGTGGGGATCAAAGCAACATCACAACTAATAAGCAGCACAGAAAACCTGAAGAGGATGCAAAAGAAAATCTAAGCAACAGAAAAATCAAAAGCTCAATGGAACAAAAACAAAACAACTTATCAAAGGTAGCTCATGATAAAACAAAATCTCAGCATATACGTCTTCTGTGTTAAGGCTTGAGAACAAGGAGAAACACATCAGACATAAACACATTTATATCTGGTGAATTTAAATGTACTACCTTTGGGTAACATACTGTATAATCAATGTGTCAATGCAGACAATCAGGAATATGGGTTTGTGGGCTCCTCTTTCACATGTAGATTTCCTTCTCCATTTCCAGTTTGCTCTTACTGTAGCCTACTGGTCTTTGAATGGTTAGATACTGATCTAATCTTGGTTGTAACAGGAGCAAAACCACCCTATAAATATATGGCAAAAGATTAAGAAATGGATCCTCAAATGCGTGCTTGGGTTATTTATTTATTAAATTTATATACCAGCTTTCACCCAAGGATCACAGAGTGGTGTAAAAACACAAAAATACACAACACTTTAACAAACAAAACAACCCCCCCAAAAAATGGTTTAGAAGGCCATAGATGGTTTAATTAGCCAAAGGCCTGGGAAAAGAGGAAGGTTTTTTTGTCTTAAAGAGCTTAAAGAGATGTAATGAAGGCGTCAGGTGAACCTCCCTGGGGAAAACATTCCCTCCTGTGGAGGGAGCACATGAAAAAGGGACTCAGATGAAGATTGCAGGATCCAGTTCGGTTTATATGGGGAGAAACGGCCTTTGGGCTATTATGGCCGTGAGCCATTTAAGGCTTTATAGGTCAAAACCAGCACTTTGAATTGGGCCCGGAATCTAACTGGCAGCCAGTGCAGTTGGGCCAGGATTGGTGTAATATGCTCAAACCATCTTCCCCACTGGTGAGTACCCTGGCTGCCGGATTCTGCACCAGCTGATGTTCCTGAACCGTCTTCAGAGGTATAACATGTTGACATAATCTAACGATAAAAGTGGGTCTTGACTCTTAAAAATCCTAGTCCAGTAGTCTGCTATGCAATATCCACACTGAACAACTAATGTTGAGACTAAAATCCAAGCTTGCAAGTTAGCGCTAATTCGGATGCTACAATTTGAATGTCTGGTTATCGCAGTCTAAGAAAAGTTGGGGCAAGGAGCCTGTGAGCCCGAGGAGGAAGAAGAGGAAGGAGGAGCACAAAGCCCATGATGAGGAAGAGTAGAATTCTACATCTGAACTGAGCTATTCTCTGTAGCTTGCTGCAACAGGCACGGAAGCAGTGCTGATTAATATCGTTGCTATTAATGGCATTTGTAGCTATGCAGGTCATAATAAGGGGAACCAAATATAAGACTTTTGGGAAGCGAAAGTCCTTGAAAATGTCACGTTCCCCCCTCTCTCCCTTGCTTAAGAACATAAGAGAACTCAGTATCATGAATCAGTGGAATGAGCATACTTACGTGGGGGTGTGCTTATACTCTAAGCCTAATTTAGACATTTGTCCTGGCTTTCACCCTGCGTTGCTATAATTCTACGTACAACACTATCATTATTATTTTATGGGGAAGCATTCAAAATATACAGTTCCCAACCTACAGTCTGGAGAGGCCATGTCCAGGAAAGTGGTCTTGTCTGGGCTTTGCCACCTGATTCTATTGTCTGTACAAACTGCTCCTTATTTGCACCAGGTTGCCAGCAGACCATTCAGGACTGGGTCTAATGGACAGCTGATATTGGAGGGGGCCAGGCAAGAAGCCAATTATAGCCAGGGAAAACCCTCTAAGTAACATGGAGAGATGGAAATGCTCCAGAACTTCCTTCAGTTCTGACCACTTAGGTGGGAGTTACATTCCTGGCCATCACGTGTATAAGCCAAATCATGTAAAACCACAATAATAACAACAACAGCATTATTTGTTTGTTTGTTTGTTGATACATACATACATACATACATACCCCACCCATCTGGGGTTGAAGACACACCTTCAGGTATACTGGGCCAAGGTCGTTTAGGGCTTTAAAGATCAGCACCAACACTTTGAATTGTGCTCGGAAACGTACTGGGAGCCAATGTAGGTCTTTCAGGACAGGTGTTATATGGTACCGGCGGCCACTCCCAGTCACCAGTCTAGCTGCCGCGTTCTGCATTAGTTGTAGTTTCCAGGTCAACCTTCAAACTTAGCCCCACGTAGAGCACATGACAGTAGTCCAAGCAGGAGATAACCAGAGCATGCACCACTCTGGCAAGACAGTCTACAGGCAGATAGGGTCTCAGCCTGCGTACCAGATGGAGCTGATAAACAGCTGCCCTGGATACAGAATTGACCTGCGTCTCCATGGACAGCTGTGAGTCCAAAATGACTCCCAGGCTGCGCACCTGGTCCTTCAGGGGCACAGTTACCCCATTCAGGACCAGGGAGTCCCCCACACCTGCCTGCCCCCTGTCCCCCCAAAACAGTACTTCTGTGTTGTCAGGATTCAACCTCAATCTGTTAGCCGCCATCCATCCACCTCCAGACACTCACACAGGACATTCACCACCTTCATAACAACCCCTAGAAGACCGCAAAAAAGGCACAAATCCACTGATGACTCTCCAACCTCCTCCACAGCTTTCTCTGGCCTCCTCTGATCTCTCTCCAACTGCTTCCAAAACTCTCTGCTCTTAACTCACACGCCACTTTCCAACCACACCCAAACACTCTCCCAATGCCCGATAGGATTGCTGGCCATCCCTGCTGTCTGCCTATTATTTTTTGGTGATCCACGTAAGGCTGCAATTGTGTGTGGGAAATACACAGAAGAAGAGGGCTACCTGTATCTTCAAATGGACACATAGCTGTCAAACTCCAGTCCCTTAGGATCTGGCAATGGCCACTAATTATACCTGGAGCACCCACACGGAAACACAAGTTGAAATTAAGAATGTGGCATGGCCGTTAGTTGCCCTTTTGTGATGTGCTGAAGAAATGCTTTCTACAATACATGAAAGGAACTCTGCTTTGTCATATATATTGGCGCGTCAGTATGGTTTGTGATTGTAGAGCAACGGTGGCTAAGCTTTGAAATGTTTCATTAGAAACCTTTGCCATCGCATCTTCAAGCTGACCTCTCTAACAGCCACGAAATGGAGCGCAAGAATGGAATTCAGTAGCAGAAGATGTGGTTTCGGGCTCTAACTCAGATTGCTGTCAAAGGAGATGGGTCAAATTCATAGAGGCTATCAAGGTTGACTAGCAGGGCCGGCCCACCTGTGAGACAAAGTGAGGCAACCACCTTGAGCTTTGGGATCCATAGGGGCAGCTGATCTGCACCACCCACTGCTGCGGTGCCTCCTTGGCAGCCGCCCCCTTCAATGCCACCTCTACAGTTGACCCCTTGGTGAACAGGAGGCACTGCTGGTTTCCTTCCACCCTTGTTCCCACTGTAGATCTTTATTCCCTGCTTGGTCCTGATGTAGATCTTCACATATCCCTTCATCCCTGGCGGTGATGGGAAGAATCATTTGTGGTTTGTCTCAGGTGCCAAAATTTCTTGGGCCGGCCCTGAGCATGATGGCTGTATGCTGCCTCCAGGATCAGAGGCAGTATGCTGGGGAGCAGCCATGGCGAAGGAAGTTATCCCCATGTCCCACATGGCCTCTGGTTTGCCCCTATGTGATGGCCCTGCAGAGTCTCTTCTTGTGCTGGTGTGGTGTAGTGGTTAAAAGCGGTAGACTCGTAATCTGGTGAACTGGGTTCGCATCTCCGTTCCTCCACATGCAGCTGCTGGGTGACCTTGGGCTAGTCACACTTCTTTGAAGGGGTCCCTTTACCTTTACCTTTACTGTAAGTTAGTGTCCATTTGGAAGAAGATAACTCTTCATGCTCCCTTCACAATTAGAAGTTGGTCCCTACCAAACAGATGTAAACTCTACAACCTAATTGTCCCTGCTTCATTTTTCCTTTAACTTTACGGAAAATATTAGTCATCTAATGACACCGGGGTCTGGGAACGGAAAAGGAAATCGATGTACACAGCTGTTTTGTTGATGGGCAAAAGCTCGAGAGCTAAGGAAACGCAAAGATGTTTCCTCTCAAATGAAGACGAAGGTTGGGAATGGAGGGAGGGGAGCAGGTAGCAATTAAGAGTAATTCAGTGGTCTGATCCTATTCTGATATAAGTAGAAGCCATGTTGTTTAAGAAGCTATTCCAGATTTCTTTGGCCAGAAATCCAGGATGGGAACCTCATTAAAACGGGTTTTCTGGTAAGACCGTAGATACTTTATATGTTATAATCATCATCAAGCTATAAATAACGCAGCAGAGAGGGGGCATTTGCCTTCCCCACCCGAGGCATTTTAGTACTTCCGTTTCCATTTGTGGCCCGAGAGTAGGAAGTACACAGGAAAGGGAACATTTGATATATAAGCAACTCAAAACTTGCGTTTTTCCAGTTCTCTGTTTATCGGCAGACGGGGGCAGCTTTAATTCCAGTTTCATCTCCACCCAATAAAAAAACCATGACATGTGTCCCACTCCAAACACCCCCCCCAAAAAAACTAGCAGACATCAGGAACCTTCCAAATGGTTGCCTAATCAGGGAGTCATGCCTTTGCAGACATTGACCCAAGAAAGGGAACAGAACAGCTAAATCCTCACAGGTTCAAGGAGTTCAGAATCATTTATTTTTTTAAGACACTGGCAAAAGTGCTCAAAAATGACAAGCAGGAAAGAAGGCCTGCGCATTGCAGTAACCACTGTCAGGACAAGGATAGCCCCTGTGTGTGTGTGTGTGTGTGTGTGTGTGTGTGTTGCTTCCCCTTCTCCCCAAACAGGACTCAAGCTACAGCCAATGTCACATGGGCCACAGAATTCAGCAGCACCACTGGGAACTGAAGCCCAGTGTCACCTCAGTCGCTGGAGCATGAGACTCTTAATCTCAGGTTCATAGGTTTGAGCCCCACGCTGGGAGAAAGATTCTTGGGCTAGCCTTGCCTTCCCTTTCAACTCTACAATACTATGATACTATGCCCTAGTCAGATGTGCAACCCTTGGCTTTGCAAGACCAGGGCTTCCCTTTCTTGTTATGATCCCTTTACCTGTGAAGTTTTGCTAGTGGGTCAGCACAAGAGATCCTGCTGTTTCATGTACCCTCAGCGTTGGGTCTGATTCCAGCATTATCCCAGAAAATCCTGCCTGTATCTGAAAAAGCTCCCTGTAACAAAGCAGTTTTAGGATTGTGGTTATCACCTTCCTTTCTACCCACACCTCCCATGTTGGGCTTTCCTGGCCCAGTACTGGACAACCTGGCTGAGAGCGCTTTAACCAAACAGCAGCAAGAATACTTATTGCAAAACATTGGAAGACACAAGATCTACCCACACTGGAGGAATGGCAGATGAAAATGATGGACTATATGGAATTGGCGGAAATGACTGGCAGAATCCGAGACCAGGGAGAAGAGTCGGTGGAAGAAGATTGGAAGAAATTTAAAGATTACTTACAGAAATATTGTAAAATTAATGAATGTTAGAATGATGACGGATTGAAGTTAAGTGGTTTCATGCGGTAATGGTATAAAAGAATATGGAAAAATTGGTCTTTAATATCTAAAAATTTAATGTTATAATATATCAAGATTAAAGATCAGGATTAAAAAGGAGGGAAAGGAATCGCTGGACTAACAAATTGAATTAGAATACAAAAGAGGGAGGTATGAGGAGGTCCGGGAAACAAGTAAATGTAAAAGAAGTAATGAAAAGATGGAATTGTTTTTAACTGTTTTTTCTTTTTTGTATTTTGTATTTTTCCTTTTTATTGTTAATTTTCTTATTAATGTGATCTTTTTCCTTTGAAATTTTAATAAATATCATTTAAAAAAAGAAAGAGAGAGAGCGCTTTAACCAAGAGACAGCTCCGGGTGTTCAATTAGACTAATTTCAGCCACCCGTTTAGCGCTAGTAAGTAATTAGGAAGAAAGTGTGTGCTTGTGTCTGAAAGGAAGCATCTGAAGCGTAACTAGAAGGGGGGAATATGCAACCGAATTAAAAAGGTAAAGAACGGAGGGAACGTTCTTTTATATGCGGTGGACTTGTAAAAGGGTAAAAGAGTATTAGGAAATTATCCATAATGAATTGGGGAAAAAATATGTTTAAAAGTACTTTCCCAAAAAACCCTGAGTCCTTTTGTTGGGGATAATTCAAACTGAAATTCCCAGGTGTCAAAAATGTTTATTTATGTATGGTACTACTGCGGCCCGTGTTTTGTTAGCCCAAAAATGGAAAAAGAGCAAGGTCCCAACCAAAGAAGAATGGCAACTTAAGTTGACAGAATATGCACAACTTGCAGACTTAACATATAGAATAAGAGAGCAGGAAGAACATGCTTTTAAAGAAGATTGGAAAACGTTTATTGAATATATGGGAAATTACTGTGCACAGCTGAAAAATGCTGGAAGCATTAAGATAAATTCAACAGTAAATAAGTTGATGGATGCAAAAATGAAATACAGATTGGTATAGTTTTTGTAAAACATGCAGGGATTTTTGATAGGTAAAATGAAGCATGGAAAGAGAAGAAGCGAAGTCTTTTCTCAAGGATGGAAAATAAGTATTTAACAAAAAATTTATATATATATATAATGCCAAACTTAAGCCGATCCGTGCATTTTTAAAAAGAAGAAGAAGAAAAGATTGACTTTTAATATTTGAATATTAGCATGTGGGAGTCCTTGATAAGTATTAACGGTTTGAGCGAGCTGTCAGCTGTACTATATAAATTAATACCTGACAAGCTGTCCAAAATAAATTTACTAAGCAGAGGAGCTCCAGGTGTTCGATTTCTATAACTGCATTTGCCCATCACGTCCTTAGAAGTCATTAGGCTCCTTTTCCTTTCAGAAAGGAAGCTTTCAGGGTACTTCCATGTGCTGCTAAGTGCAGCTGACTCAGGAGGAGCCCAGCAGGAGACAGGCTTTTCAAAGATTGATTCCCGTGACTGAATTTAAAGACTCGCTTGCTCCTGTCTACCTTCGCCTCCGGCAAACTGCCCCCTGAATGCTAGTTCCTGAACAAACAGGAACAGAGGAAAAGGAAAACAAGGCTGTTTGTAGCCTGGATAGCCGCAGAACTAGTGTGTGTAGTGAGCCAGTGTGGTGTAGTGGTTAAGAGTGGTAGACTCGTAATCTGGTGAACTGGGTTCGCTTCCCCGCTCCTCCACATGCAGCTGCTGGGTGACCTTGGGCTAGTCACACTTCTCTGAGGTCTCTCAGCCCCACTCACCTCACAGAGTGTTTGTTGTGGGGGAGGAAGGGAAAGGAGAATGTTAGCCGCTTTGAGACTCCTTTGGATAGTGATAAAGCGGGATATCAACTCCAAACTTTTCTTCTTCTTTTTCTTCTTCTTCTCTGAGCAATTCACTATCCCTCAACCTAATTAACTCCAAGTGCAAAGCAGTCTGAAGAGCTTGACCGAAATAGGGTATTTTATCAGATCAGATTCTATCCATAAGACGGGGTGCTGTCGGAAGCAGGAGCCCGTGTCGGCAGTGTCGTTTTTGCCGAATTTCCTGGGCCCCCCAAAAGCAGGATAAAGCAGGATATCAAATCCAAACTCTTCTTCTTCTTCTTCTGGTCGCCCTTGTTACCTCAAGGATTTCTTAAGTCCTACCAAGCTTCCAGACCATTCATCTGGTTGGGTGAAGAGTAGTACAGTGGAACTTCGGGTTAAGTACTTAATTCATTCCGGAGGTCCGTTCTTAACCTGAAACTGTTCTTAACCTGAAGCACCATTTTAGCTAATGGGGCCTCGCACTGCCGCTGCACCGCTGCTGCACGATGTCTGTTCTCATCCTGAAGCAATGTTCTTAACCTGAAGGACTATTTCTGGGTTAGCGGAGTCTGTAACCTGAGGCATATGTAACCTGTACAAACATTCCCTAGGTCACATTGGCCTTGTCTCTCAGGCCTTATCCAGACTGCCACTATTTCTTGGAGGGATCCAACCACATACCAGCAAATTCAGGCTGCACAATTATAGCTGGAGGAACTCAGCAAACCCATTACTTTGAAGGACTGGACTTCTTGCAGGAAGGATAGTGATGGGGAAATGTACTGGAGAATGTACTGTGACACGAGCTTTGGCTTAACATTAAACGTGTCCCCCCCACAAAGAATAAATGATTGTTATTTATCTAATCTCCCTGCAAATTAATCAGGATGAAGAAACAGGTCATCCTCAGATATCTTTTCTTTTGTTCCTTGGTCTGCTTTTTGCCATCAGCTGCAGACTGCTGGCCCCACACTGGCCTATATGACTGCAGCAATGAGCCACTATGGGGTTCACCCACGGTGCCCCAACTTAGCTGCTGTTCTCAGGCAGGCAGGCTCACACCCACAGATGTGTGTGTTCCCCCCACAGAGCTTTCTTAAGCAAACAAAGATAATAGCCATATCTGCATCAGTTTGGTCTTTCAGCGGCCTGAACTGATTCTGTTAACTTGGATGATTTGTCCTGAGGAAGCAAAAATATGGAAGAAAAGCCAATGCACCAAGAAGGTGCTTTTTCACACTTTTCCATCTTCCTGTGCAGCATCCTTTGCTTGTGATCGTTGGTAATAACTTGTTTCTTCAGCCAAGGACGTAATGGCCAATGGGGCCTAAAACCAGGGTCTTCTTACAGCTTCTGAAATTCCAGAATCGGTTTAGAAGCACCAGCTATTCCCAGAGTCAGGTCCCCTGCCACAGGCATGTACACCAGTTGTCTGCCAAAGGTAAAGAATGTGCTATACAGATATTTTACTCCTCATATAACAGAGTCCATCTCGCTACATCCGTGTCTGTCAACGTGCTGTAATGCGACTCCAGGAGAAGCTCAGTGCGTCAGCAGATTCCTGGCCTTATCTTTCCGCCTCTAAATAAAACAGGCCAAGTGCAGCTCTGCAGGTGCAGGGCAAGTTTCACCTTTACACAATGTCTGAAAGAACGTAATCGGTATAGAGATATATCTTGTGCACCCCCCTCCATAGATCAACAGAGTTTGTATATGACTAAAGGAGAGGCGTTAGCTGGAAATTAATCATTTATCTTTCTCTATCTTGGGAAAGGGCAAGCATCCATGGGAGAATGACAGGGAGATTTTACCTGATGATACATGCCATGCTAAAACTCAACCTTGTACTTGAGCATCAAAGCCAAGCCAATCCATCAAACGATCCACAGGGAACGAGAAGCAAACCTCACCCAATATTGCTTCTCCAGTTGTGGCCAGGCCTCAGAGGAAGAGAAAGGAGACAGGATCTTAAAAGACAGGGATGTTTCATTTGTAGAGGGTTGGAGTCAGTTTCAAAACATCTCTGGCATGTTCAAAATGTGCCTTTTTCTCTCCTTGCTTGAGATGTAAGACAAAAAACCCCACAATTATTCTGCAGAACCTCACACGGGTAACACTGATTGACAGATGCCCATGACATCATAAATACACTTGTCTTCGGCCTCAAATACCTGGAGTAGTTTTGCAACTTAAAAAACAACAACCACACACACTTAAAAATTAATGTTAACAGATGGCTATATGATTTTTTTATATACATAAGGCAGACAATTCACTTAAAAATATAGGGCTGCAAGACTGATGACTTGAACCAATGTTCAGTTTCTTCCAATGTTCAGTTTCTTTGCATGTGTGTCTAACATGCACACTGCAAAGCCAGGGGAAACCAGACTGAAAACCTCACTGCAGGTCCTCTTTTTAAATTACAGCTATTTTTATTGAGAGAAATGCTTTATATTCTTCACTCAGTTCCTCCCTTGATCCAATAGGATGACTTTCATAATGTTTTAATTTCTGCGTTTCACGGTTTGTGGAGGCTCTGCCTATTACTTAGACAACCTTTTTTAAACAAAAATCATTATTCTTCCTGCTGTTAAAAGAAGAAGAAAAAAGGTCACGCATCCACAACCCATTTCAGAAACGGTTTAATTGAAGAGCTAATTAAAGAGCTAATGACAGTGATTGGACCAGGGGAATCTGGGTTTGAATGTCAACTCAGACGTGAAGTTCACTGGGTGATCTTTTGTCAATTGCTCTCTCTCTCAGTCTAAAACCACTTTTCAAGGTTTCAGAGGAAATATGGGACAATCCCCATGGGTGCTACCCGGAGCTCCTCGGAGGAAAAGAAGGATATAAATGTGAGAAATAATAAATCGCCACAGGTAACATGGCCACTTAACACATTTCCCAAAAGGAAAAGGGAAAAAGGAAGCACATCTCTGAAAAAGAACACAAAGAGATCACTTGGATACAATAACTATAACTGAAATGGTTCAACATGGGAGAAGACTGAATAGGTCGCCTGTTTAAACTGGACAGCCCTTTAAATAGAAGACTGCCCTCTGTAAAATAGGGCTTAAAAGGAAAAGGGACCCCTGACCATTAGGTCCAGTCATGACCGACTCTGGGGTTGCGGCGCTCATCTCACTTTATTGGCCGAGGGAGCCGGTGTACAGCTTCCGGGTCATGTGGCCAGCATGACTAAGCCACTTCTGGCGAACCAGAGCAGCGCATGGAAACGCCATTTACCTTCCTGCCAGAGCGGTACCTATTTATCTACTTGCACTTTGACGTGCTTTCGAACTGCTAGGTTGGCAGGAGCAGGGACTGAGCAACGGGAGCTCACCCCGTCGCGGGGATTCAAACCACTGACCTTCTGATCGGCAAGTCCTAGGCTCTGTGGTTTAACCCACAGCACCACCCGCGTCCCTAAAATAGGGCTTATGGCCCCCTAATCTTACAAATCTTCAAAAAACAGTGCTTGATTTATGGAATCAAATATAGGGGCACCACCCCAACTCCTCTCAATCTTAGCAAAATCACAACACACAAAATACTAGCTTAGGGTGATGTCATGAAAGGTACAGAGGCTACCCCCTTCTGTAATTCAGGTACCATTAAAAAAAACCCTGTTCATATCACCTTTGCATTCCTAGAGTTGTCTGCAGGAGGTATAGATTAACAAAGGCGTCAATATGGTAATTAATCAACCATTACAGGTTTGTGGATAATCTGAACGTTTGAAAAACGTGCGATTCCTAAAACGTACCATGGGATTTTGCAAACCCGAAGAAGTTGCGACAAATGGAAAGTAGATTATACAGTCTGTTCATCCAACCATCTTTAATCTTTACTGAGTAATTTTGATGGGATTTTACTCAATATCAGCCCAGTTCGGATGTACAAATCTTGGATTACGAAACCAAGACACAAATGAGTCTTGTGTCTTCTGGACGCAGCCATTTCCCTCGTCCCTTCTCAGCACAATGAAATTACCCCATTTCAGCTAACCATTGTTTTCTGTTGCTTCCAAAATGGGAAATTATCATTACCAGGTTTGGATCGCACAAAGATATTAAATAAATTTGAAGCCATGGTTGAAGATCCTGACTCTTAACCTGGTAATACCACAGTTTGACAGACCCTCCAAGTGTCCCTATTCTCCAAGGACGTCCCTGATTTAGAGAAGTTGTCCCAGTTTCTGATCTGATCCTGGAATGTCCCACTTTTCCTTAGGACGTCCCTATTTTCATTGGAGAAATGTTGGAGGGTATGGAGTTATCTGCCCCCTGAACTGTCTGAAGTATAGGGAAGTGTTTTTTAATGTTTAATTATGTTTGTATACATGTTGGAAGCTGCCCAGAGTGACTGGGGCAACCCAGTAAGATGTGTGGGGTATAAATAGTAAAATTATCATTATGGAATGGGATGTCTCTATTTTCATCGGAGAAATGTTGGAGGGTATGGTTTCATGGTTTGGTTCTAATGAGAAACTATGGTTAACCAAATAATTCCCAGGGTCATTGTGACATGAGAGAAGAGAAGAGAGAAATTTGTGTATATCTTGGCTTGATCTATATGTATGAACTAGGCCTTTTTGTAATATGTAACTACACAGAGCTCCTTCTTTGTCATTACACAAAGAGCAACCTTCCAGGGAGGATATTTATCCAGCATCTATTTAGTAGTCCTACTTTCTCAGGGGTATTCTGAATGTGGAAAAGGCTGCCTGAAAAATCTAATATTACAGGCACACATTAAAATAAGTTTGAAGCAGTGCTTAATGCCATACACAGTGGTACCTCAGGTTACAAACACTTCGGGTTACAAACGCTTCAGGTTACAGACTCCGCTAACCCGGAAGCAGTACCTCGGGTTAAGAAATTTACTTCAGGATGAGAACATAAATCGCACAGGTTAAGAACAGTTTCAGGTTAAGAACGGACCTCCGGAATGAATTAAGTTCTGAACCAGAGGTACCACTCTACCTGAAACCAGTTTTGGAAAAACGTGGCTGGTTTTTATGGCTTGCCAAAATATCTCACTCAACACCATCGCTGGAGAGGAAATAGAAAAAAATAAGAAAGGAACAGGATAGATCTAGAGAGGAAAGAAAGGAAACAGAGATGCTTTATGTGGTCTGAGGTTGCACACGCATGTGATTAACTGTATTTACTGTTTCTCTCCAGCTCAGTGACAAAGTGGTTAGACATTCTAATAATATCTTAGATTCATAGGAAAAGGTTCAGAGATAGGCTAGCTGTGGTTCTAGCAGTGGTTGTATTCAATGTAACAAAGCGTGTTCTCCAATAAATGAGAGCACGTGTTGCGGTGTGGGCCGCCGGGCCAGCCCTCTTGTTGCCAGGCAGGTTAATAGTTGTTGCCTGGCATTGTGATTGAATAACCGGGTTGCTGGGGCAAATTGTATGTTGCAAATTGGGTGGGTGGGACCATAGTCTTTAAATATTGGTGCACTCTGGTTTCTCTTTCTCTTTGCAGAGTGCATCGGATCGCCCGCCTGCCCGCCTGCCCTCTTTTCTGGTTGACCTTGCTTTGCCTGTCATGGGGTCGTCTGCCTTGGTGCAGGGGCCTAGTAGGAATTTTGCCATTTGGTGATTGGCTGTGCCATTTGGTTTTTGCCTACTACTCAGCAACTCGTCACAACATGTAAGGTTGCGGTTAGGCATTGCTTATAATATGCTGGTGGTGGAGGGGTCAGGATAGGCTGTGCCTGCCCCTCCTATTGCGCTGAAGGGAATTCCGTTTCAAGTTAAGAACGGACCTCCAGAACGAATTAAGTACATAACCAGAGGTACTACTGTATATTAAATCTTGATCACTAAAATATAACCTAAAATTGTCATTTAAAACCTCAATCATTTTGGTAGTACAGCTTGTTCTGTAGGTTTTATCGTAGTACAACTTGTTCCGTAAGTTTTTTATGACTGTTTGTGATTTTCGGCAGAGGTAGAGAGCAAAATATTCAAGCCTTGTTTAAGCCCCTGAACTGAAGTGGTGGGGTGTAAATCAGTTGGAAGGGAGTTCCATTGCTGTGGAATCACTGCTAAAACGGCCCTGTTTCTTGAGAACACTAATCTGAAGCTATCTAAAAGCACCAAGCCTGTTATCATAGGTTATTCTTGGAAAACTACTGTGCGAACCACTATCAAAACTTGGCTTAATAATGGGCAGCCTTAGTCATGCATGCAGCCCCTAGAATTGGCTGCACATTCCATTGAACTCCAGTGACATGCATTTCCAAGGGTACATGCAGGACCGCATTTAGGTTTGATGAGGCCCGAAGCTACTAAAGGTAATGGGGCCCTTTATATGTCCAGCTGTCCTTTGTCAACAACAAATTGTCGCTTTTTGTGTTGAATATATGCTATATGGTAATTTATGGACCTAAAAGGTATCTAAAGCCATTTGCATATGTTGCCATGCAACCAGTCCATGCAAAATGTAGGCACCCTCTCTATATATATATTTCCAAATTTTTTTATTGATTTTCCAAAAATTTTAAACAAACAGACATACGTACATCTTAATTGTACTTAATCCAATCTTAGTAACATTGTTAAGTGACTTAACCTCAAATCCCCCTGACTGAATTTCAGTATATATCATTGTAACAGTTTTCCAAAGCAAGTTTCTCATAAAATTTACTTAATCACTTAACATCTTTCTTTCTTTTCATCTTTACTTTAAACATATTATTCTATAATTTCACATATTTAAATCCTAAGCCTATCTGTTATTTGCAAGTATTTCTATTTAAGTTATCTTAGCATATTTAACTAAATAGTCTTTGAATTTCATCCATTCTTCCTGGTGCTTTAACTACCACTATATCTGAATTGTCTCTGTTATACCCAATTGCAATTCAATGTATTCCTGTTGTGTTTTATGATTTTCCTGATATTGTAAGTGAGCCGGAACAGGTCTGTGACCGTAATAATAAAATTCAATTCAATTCACAAACAGTCTGTATGTTTCAGTTTGAGCTTTCTTACATATAATGCACACATCATTCTGATGTCTTCTATCTCATAGCTCCCCTTTTTTTGTAGATTGTTTTGCGAGGGCAATGTACTTATAAATAATATTGACTTATTAATATTTGGAATGAATGAATGAATCAAGTAGCCAAGACCAACAATTCACAGCACTTACAAACAAACCATTTGTCTCAACTAAACCTCCAGCTTCCCAACAGGAACAACACAGCAAATCAGTTCCCCGCTGAGCCCAAAGATAATTTCAAGACATATTTCTACAAAGAGGGACTCACACCCTTTCATAAAAACATACACCCGCTCTAACCTTTTTTCATAAACGCATGACCTTTTTGTTGACAAACCAATAAAGTTGCCTATGTTATTGCTATCAGACATGGAAAATGTTCTGGCTTCCTCAACTCTGTACACTTCTTTGTGGATTTAGCATCTCAGAACATACGCACTCCTCTTACCGTGGGAATATTCTGCGGCAATATCATTTTGCCTAGTGAGACAGACCATAGGCTCAAGCTGTAGCCATAATCAGTGTGAGAAACTGAGATATGACAGCTAAGAGTTAAATGGCACCTTAAACCAAAGTTATGGGTGCCACAACGGAATGCCTAGGTGTGCGTTTTTTATAACAAGAATACAAAGCTGAAAATGAATGAAACCAAAATAGTAGGTTCCTTTTTCACATGGTCTAGTCCTTCCCCTGCCCACCTCCTGATAGTCTTAAGAGGGTCCCTTCTCCAGTCTTCAGAGAGCAGCTGGAAGTGGGGAGGCAGAAAAAGGTCCTCCTTTCCTCCCACTCTACAGTTTTAATCTGAAATCTCAGGCGCAGCATTACGCCCAGAGCTCAGAAGCTGCTCGCGCTAATGGAATTCCCTGTCGCAAAATGCGCCTGGAACAAGGGGAGTTTCAAACACTGGTCATAATCACAGTTATCTGCAGCAACCCATTGTGTATGTTTGCTTAGTTGAAGCAGCTGATTATAGTCAATGAATGCAAGCACCCTATCCAGGGCCATGTGTGTGTCATTCTTAAAGTAGATTGCACATCAAAGTTACAACAGAGGAGGAGGAAGGTCTTGAGAAGCAGCTTAATGCCAGCTTAAAAGAGAGTGAGATAGAACTGCAGTAAAAGGACTTCTTATGGGTTATGAAGAAAATATCTTTCTTCAGCACATCCTATCTCCAGGAAAAAACACATCATTCTAACATCTCCTTCATGTTTAGTCCCCAGAGTGACACCTGCTGGACTCCATTGACAAAACCCACCACAAGAGTTAAGATATTCCCATAATAAACTCACAAGTATATTTCCATTCGGAGGAGCTCAGTGTCTATGATAAAGGCTGTTTGCTTAGGACTATTTCCCCTGCATATCAAGAACTGATCTACTGCACTCGGGAGAATACATTCTTTTTAAAAAGTTTATTTTCTGTTTGCGGGGTCCAAGCTAACTTAGTTGCACTTCATTTCTACGGGACTCAACGGGGCTTACACCCTTGTGCAAATTAATTGAAACAAAGCATGTTTTCTATCTTACTCGTAATCCTGTACTCAGAACAAACACGAAATGTCAGTTGATCATTATGGTGTCGGAATCCTGCAGCCAACAGAAGAAATGATGTGCTCCCCACAATATATTGAGGTTCTTCGAAAGAGGGTTATTCCAGAGCTGGAAAAGAGGTATCCTGACGGTACTGGGATATTGCCCCCTGTCACACATCGAATGTGGTGAAGAAATTCATGACAGAGCAGCAAATACAGGTACTTGATTGGCCAGGGAATTCCCCGGACGTAAATCCCATTGAGAATTTGTGGGCTTTATGCAAAAGTCGCCTCCGTGCTGTAGACTGTACGACTATGGAGAAGCTCATTCAGGCGCTGATTCAAGGGTGGTACAGGGATCCGAAAATCAACAGTGGCTATTCAAAACTAGTAGATTCCATGCCAAACTGTGTTCAAATGCTGCTTAAAAATAGCGGAGGTCATATCCATTACTAATGTACATATATGTGAGTTTTGTACATATATATGTGAGTTTTGTACAATAAACTACATTGTTGGTTTCAATTAATTTGCACAAGGGTGTAAGTCAGGACTAACATGTCCCATCGGTTTCAGAGGGACCCCGGGGTTTGCGCATGTAACAACGAGACAGCACTCCAAAACAAAGACACTCCAAAATCGCAATTCTGAATTTTTAAAATGGCAGCTGCCGGGTCAGTGGCAGGTAAGTTGAAGTGGGAAGCAATTGCTTTTGTGGCTGGCAAAGAGGGCATGGTGTGAGAGTTAGACTCCTTTAAGAGCAGAAACGGAAGGAATAAGGCATGAAAGGGAGTTACATCATGAAGAAGGTCCTTTGTGTTAAAGTTAAATTTGTTGGTAGCGTTCAATAGTTTTCAGCTTTTTTTTATTTATTCCACTTGACTGTATCCCCCGCCCCCCGGCAGCCCACCTCAAAGCGGTAAACAAGGAATGTTGTTGACTGAGCCACTACAAGCACTTTGCCTGTTTCCTCAGACCTGGAAAGCTGTCGTTGATCCCATAAAATCGCATTACATCCTGGCACATCGGACCTTTATTAGCCATGACATCTGAGTTGTTGTGGCGATCAGCAATTTTATCTTCAAAGAACCTAGCACATCCATTGGCATCCTAGTCATTGTTGGGCCTGCATCTTTCCCAACAATGGCTTTAGAATCAACCCGTCTTCCCATGGAATTCTGGGAATTGTAGTTCTGTGAGGGCAACAGGGGTCTCCTAACAACTCTCAGCACCCTTAACAAATGACAGTTGGGGAGCCATGGCAGTTTAAATCCCGACAATAGTGCTTTAAATGTAGAGTTGCCATATAACATTAGTTGTTGAGCTTTTATTTGACAAGATAAAAAAAAAGCGCATAGTAATTTGGAACTGGACTAATTTACTTAGTGCTATTATTAAAACCTACCCAACACTGTGTTTAGTAAACAAGAAACTGTCTTACTGTCACTAACCTTCAGGCAGACAAGAAACACAGCTGCTTTAAACCAAAGACTTCGTTTTAGATATAGAGGAAACGAGCGTTCTTTTTCCTGGTGTTACTAATTATACAACAAGCTGCTCTATTTACTATTTGCATAACTACTTAACTTCTTTCCCACGCTGCCCAATAAACAACCTATTTACTTCAAAGAAGTACTCCAGCTAGGGTTGCCATATTTCAAAAAGTGAAAACCCAGAGAGAAAAGCTGTTGAGCTTTTTCTCGGGCAAAGTCGCAAGGAGATTGGACATTTTTGAGCTGTTTCTGAGGAAAACAACACTACCGACATAGGCTTTCGTACGTCCGAATTTTCCCAGACATTCCGCCGATTTCTATCCAGACACTGCTTGCAGCTGCAGTATTCCGAATATGTCCAGGAAATTCCGGACGTATGGCAACCCTAACTCCAGCTGAATGGCTTCAAAGAAAATGTTTCAGGACCATATTTGCTGCAGTCAACAGACACACTACATATGTAGACACTGTCACGGAATTCTACTCAATATTGATCCAGAACAGAACTACAATATATAGTTTGTTGTTGTTTAGCCGTTTAGTCGTGTCCGACTCTTTGTGACCCCATGGACCAAAGCACGCCAGGCACTTCTGTCTTCCGCTGCCTCCCGCAGTTTGGTCAAACTCATGCTGGTAGCTTTGAGAACACTGTCTAACCATTTCGTCCTCTGTTATCCGTTTCTCCTTGTGCCCTCCATCTTTCCCAACATCAGGGTCTTTTCCAGGGAGTCTTCTCTTCTCATGAGGTGGCCAAAGTATTGGAACCTCAGCTTTAGGATCTGTCCTTCCAGTGAGCACTCAGGGCCGATTTCCTTCAGAATGGATCGGTTTGATCTTCTTGCAGTCTATGGGACTCTCAAGAGTCTCCTCCAGCACCATAATTCAAAAGCATCAATTTTTCAGCGATCAACCTTCTTTATGGTCCAGCTCTCACTTCCATACATCACTACTGGGAAAACCATAGCTTTAACTATACGGACCTTTGTTGGCAAGGTGATGACTCTGCTTTTTAAGATGCTGTCTAGGTTTGTCATTGCTTTTCTCCCAAGAAGCAGGCGTCTTTTAATTTCATGACTGCTGTCACCATCTGCAGTGATTATGGAGCCCAAGAAAGAGTTAGCAGAGTAAAAACTTAAATCTCGTTGCAGGATTCCCAAAAAATAGACCAGAGGCAATTAATATTACATCCAGCAGAGCTTTATTGCTATTGAAGGCAAATGAGCATAATGGCCACAAATCCAATGCCTTCATATGTAGGCAGAAACGGATCATCTGAATTTTAAAAACTGTGCTCAATGGCGGAATTATTATTAAATGTTCTTAACAGCTATGTGATTGTACTTTCCTTTGCTCAAAACCCTTGCATTTAAAATTCAGTAAGCTCTGCCACTTGAATTTAAAGTAATCAAAATTATGTTTTCCGAGTGGATTACGCAGAACGATTTTGGCCTCTTTCTTTGCCCGGAAACGTTAATAATCTGAATCTGGGCTGCAAGATTTGAAGTCTTTATCACACACACATAATAAATTCATACCCTGAGGAAAAGTTGCTTCCCTGTGATCCAAAACGCCTATATTGCTCAGTATATTTAAGTGAGGGTGGTAAGGAACTGCTGTTGAGGTGGGGGACAACATCTCATGAGACATTTTGCACTTGGTATGAGCACCAGGAAACAAAATTAATGTCCCCATACAATTAATATGGTTAAATTGCCAGTTTTCTTTGGAAAACCCACACAGAGAGAGGCCTGAGCTGTTCCTGATTGCTACTTCTGTGTGTTTTCCCGGGAGAAGGTTATACTTGGTTCACAAGAGCCACCCACAATGGATGCACCCTTTGTTTTTACACTGCGTTTCACACCCCTCACAATTCTCCATTCAGACAAAAAAAGTGTCATTAGCACAGTTTAAGGCATGGGTAAGCAAACTGGGGCCAGATCCGGCCCAATCGCCTTCTCAATCCGGCCCGCGAATGGTCTGGGAATCAGCGTGTTTTTACATGAGTAGAATGTGTCCTTTTATTTAAAATGCAACTCTGGGTTATTTGTGGGGCATAGGAATTCGTTCATTCCCCCCCCCCAAAAAAATATAGTCCACCCCCCCAAGGTCTGAGGGACAGTGGACTGGCCCCCCGCTGAAAAAGTTTGCTGACCCCTGGTTTAAGGAGTTCTGGCCAGGTAAATCACTCAAGGAGAAGCAGCGCCAGTCAGGAGTGCAAAGAGAGTTCCTGAGGACAAGGCTGAGAGTGCTGGAGTATTTGGCTCCCAGGTCTGAGGTTCCCACCCGCCCCCTCATGTCAGAGGAAAACCACTTCTGTTTGCCATGCCACAACGCTGTGTATGTTGCCTACACAGAGATAAGATACAGAGTGGGCTGGATCTGGGCTTCCTTCCAGAAAGTTTATGTAATGTACACATATGCAGCTGACTGCGAAATAATAAAGCTCAGCAAATGTTGTGGTTACCAGGTTAAAAATTAAATATATATATATGTGTATATATAAGGGAATTGCACCTTATGTAAAGAAGCCGAGCTGCAAAACAGGAAGTCCTTACTTTTAAATGTCACATCTGCTGTGAACGCGGTGAGGAGCTTTGAACAAGCTGCTTTCGAATTCTTGGACAGAGGTGCTTCCTGGGTTCTTCAAACTTTTCAAAACACAAGGCGTGCCAAAGAGCAAGCCCCGTCTTCTCCTCCTTTATCGGCACGGACGCAGTTTCAAAGCCGTCAATAAAACCATAAATTGACTTAAGTCACATTGCAGGTTTGCTTTATAGAAGCGCCAAAAACAGGGCAGAAGCTTTCAAACGCCAGGGCCCTTTTGGTAAATCTGTGCAAAAGCCACAGAAGCAAAGGGAAAGAGGATAGGTACTTGAAAGGCTTGGGGGGCAGGCTCACGACACAAGCTTGCACCTGCTAATTTATATGTAGATGCACACTGAGGCTGGCTTTTAGGGGGGTAACTCTGGTTGTCGGGGGGGAGAGCTCTGGGTGTCATAGGGCAAAACAACCTCTGCATGTCAGGACTTAAGCTGAGCGATGAGGTGCTTAAAGGATTTCCTAGATCCACAACATTGTACGTGTGCACTGGTAAAGGGATGCGGGTGGCGCTGTGGTCTAAACCACTGATCCTCTTGGGCTTGCTGATCAGAAGGTCGGCGGTTCAAATCCGCACAATGGGGTGAGCGCCTATTGCTCTGCTCCAGCTCCTGCCAACCTAGCAGTTCGAAAGCACACCAGTGCAAGTAGATAAATAGGTGGCGGAAAGGTTAACAGCGTTTCCATGCACTCTGGTTTCCATCACGGTGTTCCATTGTGCCAGAAGCCGCTTAGTCATGCTGAAAATTTACAAGGAACTGAGCAGCAAAGAAAGATGTGTCCGTCCTCAGATCTGCTTTGGTCTTTTAGGCTGCGTGAGTCACCTTCATGGAAGCTAGTGAGATTTAGTTCCTAGTATACCTGTTTGGGTATAGGGATGCGGGTGGTGCTGTGGGTTAAACCACAGAGCCTAGGACTTGCCGATCAGAAGGTCGGCAGTTCAAATCCCCGCGACGGGGTGAGCTCCCGTTGCTCGGTCCCAGCTCCTGCCAACCTAGCAGTTCGAAAGCACACCAGTGCAAGTAGATAAATAGGTGGTGGAAAGGTTAACAGTGTTTCCATGCACTCTGGTTTCCTTCATGGTGTTCCGTTGTTCCAGAAGCCGCTTAGTCATGCTGGCCACATGACCCAGAAAGCTGTCTGTGGACAAACGCCGGCTCCCTCGGCCTGAAAGTAAGATGAGCGCTGCAACCCAATAGTCACCTTTCACCGAACTTAACAATCCAGGGGTCCTTTACCTTTTTTTTTATGTGTGTACTGTGTCCTCTACCCTGCTCAGGTTGCAATTTGTACATGAGCACTCACTGTGCTACTGTATGAAATATTTCAATAACTTTTGTCTTTTGTCTCTGTGTGCAAGAATTGTGCATATGTACTTGAACATTTAAAAAAGTCCTCTGGGTAAATTAAAACAGCAAGTGGCTGGGGTTTCGTTTTGGGTACTCCAACACGTAGCACACCCAGTCACCCTGATTTATTTATTTTTAAATTAAGTTTTCAAAAGGAGGAATGGGCCAGCAGATTTGCAGCCTGCCACAAATATCCCCTGAAAATCCCTCTTCATCTAAGCAACAATATCCACATCCATTCAATCTAATTTTCCCAAGGCCTGTAAACGTGAACTTATTTCTGCACGATTCACTCAGAAACATGGGCAGAAGGTGAATAGAAGGAAGGAGGTTATGTTTGCAAAAGTGTGACTGCGAGGTACAAGTATACTTCGCGTTGAAACTATAATGCTGACCTGAAGCGGCGACAAAACTTTTTTAAACACCGTTTAACAAAACTGCATTGGGAATTTAGAGTGTGTTGCCCCCCCCCAAAAGACTTCCACTCAGTGAGAATAAAAGCGGTTGTGATGCAATGGCTTGTTGGTTGGGTGTGGATGTGGGAAAGTTGACATTCCTGCTCCCCCTTCCTGATCAACATGGGATTTTGAACAATACAGCTAAAGGTTAAAGGATGCTTAATTATTATTATTTTAACCCTAGCATTTGGCCAATTTTGCCATGCCAGGATGAACCAGCCAGCCTCTATCGCTCACCACACCTCCACAGCCCTGTGGAGGTGTGCACTGGTGACGGTTCAGCTGGCTTCACTGAAAAGGACTGAAATATTTCGGTGAGCTTCTGTTCAACACATTTGCAGATCTTCAAAAAGAGTAAGTATAGACCTGCCACTTGGAGGGAGATGCAGAGATCAATGGCCTGCTGGAAATTACGAAAGAAGTGAAAACTGCTTCACCTTGTGAATCTTATTTGTTCCAAAATAGTGGCTTTGGTGAACTGTGCACGTACCATTTTAAAACCACCTCAGCTTTGGCAACTCGTGTGTAACACAGTTACAGTTATCCCCCTACCTTTCCACTTGCCCGCCTCCTCAGCTTCTATTAAACATAAAACCAAAGACACCAGAAGATTCACTCTAAATTTTGACTTATGAAAGATCAGGCTGAGGTTTCAAACAATTGTTTTACTGACTTCTAAAGTAACCAAAATTAGCCAGCATCACCACCATTGAAACATAAGTTTTGTAGGCTTAATAACTAACCACTGAAGAGCTACAAAATGTCCTCTTGCACGTCCTTCTCAAACTGGATGAGCCAATGGCTTGAATCGAATGCTGGTGGTACTCTTTCATTTTCCTAGCTACAGGAGCACAACTGCCTATACCACGTCAGTACTGAGAGTGTTAACAAGCAACATAAATATAATATAAAAAATACAAAGTGAGACATTAAGGAAATCCAAAGGGAAAATATGAAGAACAGAGGTTCTGACGAACGGATTATTAAAAATGCGTGAGGTAAACGGTGGAAGTCTTTTTTTTAAAAAAAACCAAAACACTTTATTTAAGGTAGATACGGACAAGATGAAATTATTCAAATGAATATAAATATAGATGGGAAACGGCTATGTATTGTGAGTACTTATCTACTTTTAAAAATTTTCACCTATGATCTTTTTCTTTTACTTCTTTATTCTTTCTTTGTTCTTTTTTCTCTTTTCTGATATATTATCTTTCATTTCACTGCTTTTTTGTGAATAGCATTTTATAGAGGTATAAATAACTGTAAATATGAAAAGAGACAAAATATTCTCTAATTTCTTTTCCTTGGTTAGATGTGTTTTCTTTTGTTGTGATGTATGTTTTCTAATTTGTACTTAATAAAAATTTTAAAAAAAACCAAGCAACATATCCATAAACAACAGAACAATCCATCTTCTTATATATACCATTTTAAGCAAACTAAAATAAAACGTTTATATCCCAGAAAGCAAAAACGTTTGCATTTGAACCCACCATTGCTTTCAGTTTATACTTTCTTTCCTTCCGGGATTCAACTGCAAAAAATATAGGCTGAGAAGCCCCTTTCAGCCTTTCCTGTGCCATGTGTGAATTATAGATGGATCTTTGGTTTGATCCAGAAGAGGTCTTCTTACATTCCCAAAGTGGTTAATGCTGGACCAAACGCAGGGGGGGAAATTGAATGTAGATTTTTTTATTAATGAAGTTTCCTATTCACATTTTAGAGGATGTTCAATGCAAAGGGTGATTTAAGCCTTAGACATGAAAACTACTGTGGATTTCAGTTCGCAAACAAACTTGTTTGACAAATTTATGATGTTAGATTTGGATTTTACAGGCTGCCTAACCGCCATACATTCAAAGCACACACAGAGAGTCACAAAAGGTGTTTGCTGTAGCTCTAATCTGGATAGTTTATTCACTGACTGTGATAGGATTTGGTTTTGCGGATGAAGTGGCTTTCTAAGCACCTTGGGCCAAAATTAAACGATGCTGCAGGTGCCGGGTGGCCACTGAAAATAGGAGCCCTGTGTCTTATTCTCTCTCCTGCTCTTCTTCCATGGTGCATTGTGGTGTCATGGTCAGAATTCCCCTGCCTCAAAATGCTACATAGAGTGACATGAGGTGAGGATGAGGCCCCTGGAAACTGCACACAGCTACCGTTCCCAGCACCCATAACAAACTACAGCTCCCAGGGTTCTTCCTGCCCCCCCCCAGTGGTGCTTTAAATGCATGGTGCATGTGAATCCCTTTGCGACACAGGGAGAATTGTATTCGCCTGCCTTACAGGACTGTGGTAATGATTCTTGAGTGGTGAGGAACCTGTGGACCTCCGATGGATTTCATGCAGTTGGGGGGAGCTGGGAGGAAGAGAAGGAGCGCAGGGAAGCATAACACACACAAAGCCAAAATGGGTGGCGCAAGGAGGAGGATGGATGGATGGATGGAAATCCCTCTGGGAGCAATCAGTTGAGACCTCTGGCAACAGCAAACTGTCCTTTCCTGGCAGTTCTCTGGGCAGGGAGGAAGAGAAAGAGGGAGGGAGGGAAGGAAGGAGAGAGAGAGAAGTGGGGAAGCAGGTGGCAGAAAGAGAGAGAAAAAACACAGGCCATGACCATCTTTGCTTCTAGCCTCAGTGTTATGTAGCCATCACCACCATGTTTCCAAGGGATTGTGGCCTTGGAGTGGAGGAGGTTAACTGCTGCGGTGTTCATGGCTGCACTGTGAGTGCTGGAAGGACTACTACTTCAAGGCCCATTTTCACCTGTCCTAGGGGATGGGGCCCAGACTCACCTTTAGCAGCTAAAAGAGGTTCCTGGGAGGCCATCGAGACATTGCTGGAACAACTCTTGGGTTGGGGCAACTGGCTAAACTGTTTCACAATGCTTTAACCGGTTCCAATTCTGGTTCCTCTGTTTCGTTTTTGTCAAGTTGGTGTTAGTTAAATGTTTAGTTGGGGTTGGTGGTTATTTTAATTTGAAGAAGCTGTAAACTGTTTGTTATTGTTGTTGGTTTCTATTGATTTATTGGTTTGTTTGTTGCTTGTATAGGATATGTGGTTTTTTAATGTTTGATGTTTTGTTGTGTTTTTATATATGTTGTAAGCTGCCCAGAATGGCTGGGGAAACCCAGCCAGATGGGCGGGATATAAAATAAATAAAAATTAAATAAATTCACACTCCCCTTTACAGTGAACTCGCTGCATTTGCAGTGCTGGGTTTTGAACCTGTGTTCACACAGCTCAACATCTTCCAAAATATAGTTGCATCCTCTACTACTGTCATAAGAAAACTATTCACACCGGCGAGAGTCCTTTGGCCATTCCTAGCAAAGGTGTGAGGATCCCTGCCCATCAATGCCCCCTGTATACAAACAGACACAAATATGACACTAATGAAGCCATGTTGATTTGAACATCTGAGGAAGGGGTTGGAGGATGAGCTGAGGAACACACTGAAAAGAAACACACAACTTCACCATCCTCTAAGATGGTAATGTGAACTATAGTAAAGGTAAAAGGTAGAAGTTAAAGGCAAAGGACCCCTGGACAGTTAAGTCCAGTCAAAGGCAACTATGGGTTTGTGGCACTCGTCTTGCTTTCAGGCTGAGGGAGCCGACGTTTGTCAACAGACAGCTTTCTCGGTCATCTGGCCAGCATGAAAAAACCACTTCTGGTGCAACGGGACACCGTGATAGAAACCAGAGCGCACAGAAACGCCATTTACCTTCCCACAGCAGTGGTACCTATTTATCTACTTGCAGTGGTGTGCTTTTGAACTGCTAGGTTGGCAGGAGCTGGGACAGAGCAACAGGAGCTCACTCCATCACGGGGATTCGAACCAACAACCTTCTGATTGGCAAGCGCAAGAGACTTAGTGGTTTAGACCACAGCGCCACCTGTGTCCTGAACTCTAGTTTTGCAGCACAGCTAAGCACTACTCAATGGCCAGTTTCTTTATAATCCAAAGAAAGATAATCTGATCTGATGTTTTAGATCTGTGAATGTTTATGAGAACAGGTCCCAAATCCCCTAGTCCACCCTCTGAATGAACTGGCAGAAATACACCAGTCAGCACTTATCTGGATCATGGCAACAAAGAGCAGGATTTTATTTGACCGTTTGCAAAGCGTCTCGTTCCTTTTCCTTTTCTTTTTTTAAAAAAGGTCAAAAGTAGTAATACAAGCAGACAACTGGTATCCAGCAGACAAAAGGAAACGTTGAAATGTAGAGCAATAGCCCATTATGGGTTACAAGCAGCAAGGGACACAACAAATGACACAATTTCTAACCATTGCAATGGACAGACCTTTCTAGGCACAGTCAAGAAACGTGAGACATGTGAAGCAATTCATGCACTTCTGAGCTATAGGGATTTCTCCTCCTGGGGGAATGGAGACAAGGTACCAGCCTGAATTACCTCATAGGGTTCATGGATGAAAGTTAACCCCGTGCCATTTGAGTTCCGAACGAACAACAGCAGTACTTAAAAATATGATAAAACCAGGTGTAACTCTTAACTCCAGAAGGGAAGAACAACTCCAATCCTTTAGCAGCTACTCTTGTATGAAAGGGGTTTACTTGCACTTATCTCCGGCAAAAGAAAAGCCCCAAACAAGTCTTTCCGAAGCGTTTCAGCACTCTCTGTTATTTCTATCGGGGGTTTCCTCAACAACCCTTGACCTTCCAGGTAAGTGGAGTCCTGCTCCCCAGTGCTAAGAAGGGTTAATTTCAAATGGCCAAAATAGCAGTGGAGGCTTGGACCGCACATCCATTCTGGGCTCACAAATTCTCCATAGAGTTTAAATGTAGGGCTGCCAACCAAAGGCATTTCTTTCCCTCTATACACCTCAGTAGAATTTTTATCATTGACAACTCATCACACAGGAGCCAATCCTCCTTAAACTATTTCTTCCTTACACACAGAAAGTCAATCACCAAAGCTGAACCTCATGGAAATAATAATAATAATAATAATAATTTTATTTATAGGCTGGCCATCTGACTGGGTTGCCCCCAACTCTGGGCAGTTCCTAGCCAAATATTAAAAACACAATAAAACACCAAACATGAAAAACTGCCCTATGTTCATGTGCGGCTGCCACTTTGCTACATCCAAATCAAGAGAAGTCAAACCACACGAGGATGGGGAGAAAATGTAACCCTACAAGTCCACACGCTTCCACATTTTCACGGCTCCAATGGTTTTGAGGTTGAAGGAGAAAAAGCGACAGTGTTTGTGGTGAACACATGAGCCGCTAATAGGCCAGTCCTAATCAGGCTTACTCAGAAGTCCTCTCACTCAGTGTGGGATTGCCAATTGCTTGGGATTGCGACCATGTAGTCCAATCCAAACAATGTATGCCTACTCAGAAGAGTGACCAAATTGAATCTGGCTTGTTCCCAGGTAAGTGTGTGCAGAATTGCAGCCCTGGGCAGAAATTGGCACCTAAAGGACTGGTAGCAGCAACCAAGGCTATGGACCTTAAAGCATATTTCCTAGAAATAGCGAAGCCGGCTGGATTCGGGACCTAGGCTATTCATACATGAAATCAGAAATAGCAACATCTAGATGCAAATGTGATTAGTACCAGGTATTGAACTTTATCTACAGGTGAAGGGTGGTATACAAACAACAAAAACAACAACAATTTATAAATATGACCCCCATCTGACTGTGTTGCTCCAGCCACTCTGGGCAGCTCCCAACAAAAAAAACCAATAAAAGCGCAATACAACATCACACACTAAAAACTTCCCTGAATGCTAATAACGATGCTAAGCCTACTCAGGCACAAGTGCCATAGCGCATGGCCTCAACTGTGTCTCCTTATGTAGGAAAGAGCCCCCCTGATCTCCGTGGGACTTCCAGAAAAAGCTTTCCCCCGTTTACTTGAAGGAAGCCCCCTGAGAGCAACGAGGCTTATTCCCAAGTAAGGACGCGCAGGTTTACAGCCCTGAGTCTGATATGACACGAACAGCAAAGGGCTACCGGGGGTGCCTTTTCGTACGCTCCTCTCTCTCCACGCCTCGCTTTCCGACACGCGAAGGAGCTCGCAATGCGCGCAAACCCTCGCGCCGATTCAGCCACCGAAACGGCACCGAGGCGAGCGCGGCTGCAGCGCCGGCATCGCCCTCGTCCTCTTCTTCCGTTCGCCCCTGCTTTGCCCAAAGCCGCCTGCTTTCCACGCCGGGCTTTGCTCCAGAGGGATTCTGAAAACTCCGCAGGCGCCCGGTGGATTTCCTGCACTTCCCCAAGGCGAAACCGGGTGCGCCCGGGTGTCGCTTGCTGCCAACTTGGGGTCTGTCTCTTTACGCGCAGCCGGAGAATCCCCGAGTTGCGTGTGGTCCCACCGCTCTCACCCCTACACGGAGGCGCGCTTTCGAACAAAGGGGTTTCCCCCCCTCCCTCCCTCCAAATAAAGTTCCTCTCCACGGCTTGTGCAAACCACACGCGCGCGGGGAGCCCCCAACTTCGCCAGCAGGAGCGATTGCCTCTCGCGCGCGTGGGTAAAGAGTGCTCTGTATCAGGATCGATGCTCACCCAAAGCTCTTCCTCCTAGCGGCACCTTAGGCAAGGCGATCGGATGTGCGTCCAACTCTCGGTGGGTTCTTCGTTTCGGAGGCAGCTTTGCCCCCTTCCACACACACACAACACTCCAAAAAGGCAAATGCGAAGCGGAGTCGAAGCGCACAACAAAGGAGTCGATCAGGAGAGGCAGGTACAATCCAAGTTGGGAGATGGGGCGAAGGGAGGCGGCTCTGCTGCGCTCTGCCCTCCGGAGGAGGCGGCTGGGTCTGAGGAGGGACTGGCGAGCGTGGTCCGGTTGTAAGCGATCTGCAGCGCAAAGGAAACATCCCCGTTTCCTGTTACATCAGTCCCAGACCCCGCCCGCCGGGAGGATTGGGTTACTTTCTTGGCAAGCCGAGCGCTGCTCTCTTTCTCTTCCCGGAGACGCGCTCCCGGTACGAGCGCAGGGCTGCTGCTTGTTGCTGCTTTTTCCACCTTCTTTAACCGACCGTCCTGAAACTTGCCTGCGCGCACCCAGGAACTGAAGTGAGGCGCGGGACAGCGAAAGCTCTCCACCTAAGAGGCATAGAAAACGGGAGTGGTGCAGCAATAAAGGCGCTGGAACGTTTGCAAAGCTAAGCAGGGTCCGGTGTGGTTTCAGATTGGATGGGAAACCTTGTGTGGAGGTGGGGTTGGGCTAGATGACCCTCAGGATCCCTCTTAACTGTTAGATCACACAGGCTCTCAAGGCAACGAAAGTGGAAAGCTGTCATAAATCCCCTTGCAGCCTACCTTTCTCCGTTGCAGCCTGCCTTTCTTAGGAGGAGCTCAAGGCAACATGCAGATCCCCGCAACAACCCCAGGAGGTAGGCTGCTTAGGCATAGCGATTGTGCATGACCCAAGGTCATCCAGCAAACTTCAGGGGAGAATTGGAACCTGGAGACTCCCTGGCTCTTGCCCGATGCTCAGTCTAAACCACTGCATTGCTCTGCTTCAAGTGGGGCATGGAGGTGCAACAGAGGAGAGGCAGTGTGGTGTAGTGATTAGAGTGCTGGATTACTGCTGGGGGTTCAGAATATGATGTGGAGAGGCCTCTGATTGAATTGCCTGTGACTCCCCACCCTGCCTCAAAAGTCAAAGCAGATGCTGGAAGTCTGTACTGGGCAGGCTACTCATTTCTTTACAGTGGTACCTCAGGTTACATATGCTTCAGGTTACATACGCGTCAGGTTACAGACTCCGCATACCCAGAAATAGTACCTCGGGTTAAGAACTTTGCTTCAGGATGAGAACAGAAATCGTGCTCCGGCGGCACGGCGGTAGCAGGAGGCCCCATTAGCTAAAGTGGTGCTTCAGGTTAAGAACAGTTTCAGGTTAAGAATGGACCTCCAGAATGAACTTAACTCGAGGTACCACTGTACAGTGTTTTCCCAGCCACATCGCACATTTACAGGACATGGATTCCCTCCACCAAGAATCACAGGAGCTGCAATTTGCCTCTCACAGCCAGAACTACAATTCCCAGCTCCCTTAACCAACTATAGTTGCCAGGAAGTCTTAAAATGCCTGGTGTGGATGTGGCTATGCCCAAGCTACCATTTGCATATACATGCCATGAAACTCACGGAGTGACTTGAGGCACTCAGCATAACCTCTCTCGCAGGGGTAATGTGAAGACAAAGTCATCATGAGGGTCTAGATTGGGTATGTGCTTGAATGGCTATGCTTGTGCGTGCTGTGATGGAGTAAACGCATCATTAAGCAGCACTTCCTTTTATCCAATTGCTGGATAAAGCTACACTTAGTACTCTTGAGTGATTGAGACCAATCACTCAAAGCCCCATTACCTTGAAATTCTGCCCTCCCAACAATGCAGGGCCTTTCTAGAACTAAGGTTTCAACAGATGCCCTCAGCATATTTAGAGGGGAGATACCAGAGAATGCCCCCTATGCAGGGCCGGATTTAGGTTTGATGAGGCCCTAAGCCAGGCATAGGCAAACTCGGCCCTCCAGATGTTTTGGGACTACAACTCCCATGATCCCTAGCTAACAGGACCAGTGGTCAGGGATGATGGGAGTTGTAGTCTCAAAACATCTGGAGGGCTGAGTTTGCCTGTGTCTGCCCTAAGCTACAGAAGGTAATAGGGCCCTTTATATGTCTAGCTGTCCTTTGTCAACAACAAATTGTCACTGTTTTTTGTGTTGAAAAGCTGGCCGGGGGGAAGGGGGGGAGGATCCCAGGACTGACCAGAGGCATCCCGCGATCAACCTGTTGGACAGCCCTACTACATGGTAATTTATGGCCGTAATAGGTATCTAAAGCCATTTGCACATAACAAAATATGTATTTTATCAAAGCAATTGTTGTAATTGTTGAACTGAAATACAATTAAGAAGAAGTATATTAATAGCCAACAAAGGTCTGTATAGTTAAAGCTATGGTTTTCCCAGTAGTGATGTATGGAAGTGAAAGCTGGACCGTAAAGAAGGCTGATCGCCGAAGAATTGATGCTTTTGAATTATGGTACTGGAGGAGACTCTTGAGAGTCCCATGGACTGCAAGAAGATCAAACCTATCCATTCTTAAGGAAATCAGCCCTGAGTGCTCACTGGAAGGACAGATCCTGAAGCTGAGGCTCCAATACTTGGGCCACCTCATGAGAAGAGAAGACTTCCTGGAAAAGACCGTGATGTTGGGAAAGATGGAGGGCACAAGGAGAAGGGGACGACAGAGGACAAGATGGTTGGACAGTGTTCTCGAAGCTACCAGCATGAGTCTGACCAAACTGCAGGAGGCAGTGGAAGACAGAAGTGCCTGGCGTCCTTTGGGCATGCTTTGGTCCATGGGGTCACGAAGAGTCAGACATTACTAAATGACTAAACAACAACAACAACAATTATTAACCTCTAACTGTATGTAGATTATATTTTATTTGTTTTTTATCTTATATTTTGGAAATGTACATCCAGTTGTTTTTTCCTTTAAATTTTTTGGGGGGCCCAAGAGAGTGGGGCCCTAAGCTATAGCTTGTTCAGCTTATACGTAAATCTGGCACTGACCATATGGATCACAAATGTATATATGGATGCAATCAGGTAGAGGAAGAGGACATCACAAACTATCTGCTGATTTTCCCTCTGTATGCATCGCCGAGAGGAAAATCTATATTGCCAATTATTCATTGGCTTCCAGGTTGATCCACACTGGAAGTGAGAGTTCAACTCCTAGCAGATAAACGTCTATATAATATACACCAGGTAGCCAAATTTGCGCTGGCATCCAAGAAGCTCTGTTCCAGCTATGTGAATGCACTCCAGTCTTAATGTTGTAAATTTCTTTTTATGTTATCTGCTACAGGTTACATTGTAGGATTTTAGATTAAAGTTTCCTTTTATTCACTGCTGTCCATTGTAAAGGCCTTTGGCGATATACGATAAAATTGATTGAGTACTCTTAGCCTAACTGACCTCTCTCTCCCTAAAGAGAAAATTAAATCCCTAAATACTCACACACATGCTTTGCCGAAGTGGTTGAAAATTTACAAGGAACTGAGCAGCAAAGAAAGATTTGACCCCGTCCTCAGATCTGCCTTGGTCTTTTAGGCTGCATAAGTCACCCTCATGGAAGCTAGTGAGATTTAGTTCCTAGTATACCTATTTGGGTATAGGGACGCGGGTGGTGCTGTGGGTTAAACCACAGAGCCTAGGACTTGCTGATCAGAAGGTCGACGGTTTGAATCCCCACGACGGGGTGAGCTCCCATTGCTCAGTCCCTGCTCCTGCCAAGCTAGCAGTTCGAAAGCACGTCAAAGTGCAAGTAGATAAATAGGTACCGCTCCGGCGGGAAGGGAAATGGTGTTTCCGTGCACTGCTCTGGTTCGCCAGAAGCGGCTTAGTCATGCTGGCCACATGACCCGGAAGCTGTATGCCGGCTCCCTCGGCCAGTAAAGCGAGATGAGTGCCGCAACCCCAGAGTCGGCCACGACTGGACCTAATGGTTTGGGGTTCCTTTACCTTTATACCTATTTGGGATCCCGCACCCCCATAAACAGACATAGGATCTGTCTGCCATTGTATCAAATGCAAATAAGTCCTCGCAAGCCCAGGGTGGATCTCAGCCTGCCTGCAGATTTGTCTCACGCAGAAGATGTCTCAGCCGTGCAGGGAATCCCCATACCATATCACACCTATTTTTAGCACGCACGGAAAGACCTTTCGGTGGGAGCATCCCCCATGGTTCAGTTGCAGCCCTGAAGCACCTCTTTGGAAATGTGCAAAATTCTTGGCCAAGGAGGCAGACCCATGGCATCTGAGAATGCCGGAGCAATCCAATCTGTGCAAATCTCTTGGCAACCTCCAGCTTTCTGCAACTAGTTGCCGCAGGGGCACAGCTTCAATGCTGCTGTCGTTCTAGTAGAATAAGAAGAAGAAGAAGAAGAAGAAGAAGAAGAGTTTGGATTTGATATCCTGCCTTTCACTCCCCTTCAGGAGTCTCAAAGCGGCTAACATTCTCCTTTCCCTTCCTCCCCCACAACAAACACTCTGTGAGGTGAGTGGGGCTGAGAGACTTCAAAGAAGTGTGACTAGCCCAAGGTCACCCAGCAGCTGCATGTGGAGGAGCGGGGAAGCGAACCCGGTTCCCCAGATTACGAGACTACCGCTCTTAACCACTACACCACACTGGCTCTCCACACTGGCTTGCTTGGATTACCTGAAATAAAATGTAAGGTGAACTCTGAACACTTTAAAAAACAAAAAACCCCCAAAGCTAGTGTTCACAAAGTGATAATGGCTTTATTTTCTATTTGCTCATGAAAGCAGCAAACACTAATATAACCGGTTTCAAAATCTGTACTTCTGCCTGCCAGAGATGTTTGCATTGCAATTTTCTTCTTTGAGTTGAACCACACTATAGGTGGTGTTTTTAAAAACAGCATAGCTTTAAAGGCCCATATTTTCTAAATATTTTGCACAGTTCTATTTTGCACTTCTATAGTTTTATGTTGATTTAATTTTGGCTTATATGTGCATTATACTACATTATTTCCTAGCGTGCTTGGTACCTCACCTCTCCCCTGTTCCCCTCCCTGTCATGTCTTTGCCCTCTGGTTTTAGAAACCTGGTGGTGGTGACTCCAATGTTCTGGAACTCAGAGGTGCTTAAAGCTAGACAGAGACCAGCAAACATCAGCAGATTCCTTCAGGATGAGCTTAAAGAGACCCAGTGCTCTGATGGGCAAGCCCTGCCTCTCTTCACAGGACTATCAGCTCTGCAAAGCAATGGACTGGGAAATTTGAATAGTCATTTTATGCCACATTTCTTTCTTTCTTTTCTTTTTTCTTTTAAAGGAAGATGTTTATAATAATATACAGGGCTGGATTTAGGTTTGATGAGGCCCGAAGCTACTGAAGGTAATGGGGCCCGTTATATGTCCAGCTGTCGTTTGTCAACAACAAATTGTCGCTGTTTTTTGTGTTGAATGTATGCTATATGGTAATTTATGGACCTAATAGGTATCTAAAGCCATTTTCACATAACAAAATATGTATTTTACCATAAAATACATACTTTATGTAGGCATCCTATATATAGAAATGAGCAAATTTTAGGGAGCAGGCTAGCAGGCGGGGCCCATTACTTACATCATAGGAGCCTACACAACACAAAACACTGTTGCTGTATGTAGGTTTTATTTTATTTGTTTTTTATCTTATATTTTGGAAATGTACATCCAGTTTTTTTCCCTTTAAATTTTTTTGGGCCCCCCCAAAAGAGTAGGGCCCTAAGCTATAGCTTCTTTAGTTCATACGTAAACACAGCACTGATAATATAGAAGAAAATGATCAGACAACAGCATTGCAAATCCAATCGTTAAAACCAGTTACAAATCAGAGAGTTTAAAAAACCTGAATCAGATGAAAAACGAATATAAGGTAAAATAAAAATAATATGCACCCTATAAGACTTGGATTTTTCATATCATGAATCCAGGAATAAAGGGATCAGAGAAGGGGCTTGAAAGTATGGTTTGGTTTGGATCAAGGTTAAAGCAATGCAGAAAGAGAATTGGTCTGTTGTATGATGCTGACCTCTAGTGTTTAAGCACCAACAAGCCACCTTTCGATACACAGTTAGCGCTGCTATACATCCAGATTTCCCCACACATTACCGGGATTTCAAAGGTAGAATTGACGTCTGAGGGGAATTTCCTAAAAGCTGCTCTTTGTCCTGGATCTTAGACAAGTCAATCGGAAAGCTTAACAATTTGGAGGGTGGGAGGAGTGCCGTAATATTTTTTTTAAAAAAAAGGTAAAGGACCCCTGACAGTTATATTAATAATCTAAAACTTGAGAGAACAATGTACAAGATCTACTACAGAAGCCACAAACAGAAAACTCATTCAAATTGTGTCCAAAAGGAAGATTCAGTCTTTAAAGGTCCTTTAGCCAGGCTCCTGTAGATATCAACGAAGATAAGTTTGATCAAATGAAGTGTCGGTGATGTTACGCACAAGAATTAGACAGGGTACCGGCGTTTGTCACCTGGTTCGCCCATGAAGAGTCTCGGGCTTCTTCAGTAAATTCTCTCTCACAATTTTGATATATTTATAAACATTCACTGGTGGTATAAACCAAAACTTGTTAGTGTTTAAACAAGATTTCTAAATAATATCTGAACAGACAAGTGCA